GCTTTCAGAAGGGGTAATTTACAGAAGATCCAAGAAAATAACTGGAGTGGAAAAAAAAATGTCTGTCTTGTTCCCATAAAAAACACTACCAAGAACTCTGGTCACACTTGCCAACCATCTAATAATTCAAAGTTCAGCATAACCTCAGCTAAATTTCTCAACTTGTTACTATAAAAAATATTGAACCTTAATAATACATAGCAATTCCTAGCCCATTTAAAATAAAGCATACCTGTCAGTGCCCTTGAGAAAGATCAGAGCTTTAAATTAAGTGTGAAGAGCTACACAACAACTGCCTATTCTGAGTAAACTGGAGATTGACATAGATAAGAAGGCCCATGAACAGTAAAGTTATATACATCCTGATATTGTTATGTGAATAATTTTGAAGGCAGCAGCTAAATATCGTCCTCCTCATACTGTGAACGTGTTTAAGACTGCATTATGGTGACAGACTCAGGTTACACTGATCATTAAAATTGACATGACCAACACCACTGCTGTCTAAAGCCTTTGTATGTACCAATTTTGTATAGTCCAAAGTTTCTTATGTTGTATTGCCAAAATATTGGCTTTTTCTGATTGCCTGAAGCAGTAACAATTGAAGTTAAAAAATCCTCTAAAAAATAACCCACTGAAATCAGACAAGTAGGGCACCATAATTTTTGGTAATAGATTTTGAACTGGGAGTAATACATAACTGTACTGTTCTAGCAAAGCTTTTCCCCACATTATTTGGAAAAGGGCATCAAAACATCTGCATAAGTGCACCAAAAGTTCAGCACCTTCCAATCCTATTTAATTACCACATTCAATCATATTTTACAATAAAATTTTGAAATGTTAAGGGGAAAGAAATGGTTTTGATCAAAACCAACCACTTAGACATATTGCATGGGGCTCAGAGCACAAGGACTCCCAATCCATAGGAATATCACTCCTCCAAAAAAGCTGATGATTTCAGTGTTTTTTAGGTACAAAGTGTGGTGGATACCACCCCAAAAACTTCTGAAGGAAGCATGCTGCTGAACAACACGGGCTCAGAAAAGATAAAAAATTACAGAAATGCTACAGTGTTCTCAGATCTTCACAGTAAAACTATTCACATTATACAGAATATACTAATTCTGTTGCAAGTGAATGCTGTCTGCTAAAAGCAGGTCTCCAATACAACCAAAGAAGGGAATGGCCTAGTGTGAGGTAATAAGATGCTGAGTATTATAAGATCATACAGATATTGTGTTTATCTACTTCAAACTATGTGTCTAAAAGAGTGCAACATGGGAGAGAGAGGAAGCGGGAAAAAAGCTGAATGAAACAAGGGTGTAATGTTCAAGAAAACCACTGGAATTTTCCAGTTCTAAAAGAGATTATAACAGTTCTTTCAGAAGCTGCATCGTCAAACCAGTATTACTCCCAAATACAATATCCCCAAAGACTGTAAGGCTTCAGGACAGGTAAAAGCCATGGTATCATCTAATCTTTCAAAAAGTAAAGAATCTCTGTTCGTAATGAAAGCTAGTTTCCCATGACAAAGAAGAATGTTGAAAAAACTTTGTCAATGCACTGGTCAAAAAAGTCATGTGCATTAAGTGAGAGCTTTTTACAGGAACTTCAACAACAATCACCTCGTAGCATGGCAAACAGACCTGGTAATACTTGAGCCAGAGAAGTGAAGAATAAAAAGCTGTCTCCGTGTTCGCTGAGTTTGCTTGGCCAGGATGTCTCCATGACACCAGCACCTTACACATTTCATCAAATATAAACAAAATGTTCTCTTTTACCTTTGTGTCCTAAACATTTTAAAAATGTTGCTTTGTTGTATTATTAGAGTGAGACTGCACAGGATAACGGACTTGTGCTTATTCCAATCTCTCCTACAGTAGGCATCAGACACTGAAAAAGGTGCTAGCAGCTGAGCACTCGTGTCTCAGAGTTAACAGATTCATCGTTCCAGTGCAGTTAAATTTTCTTCTAGGTTAGGAATGTGAAGGATGACGGAGTTGTACAGTTAGTTTCTTATTTACAGAGATCAGTAAAAATAACAGAAAGATCTCCTTGCAATTTTACAATGCATTCTTGAATGTACACACAAAGCTATTTTTATGCAGTGCAAAGAACACTCACATAGCTCATAGCTATCCAGCTCCACATCCACACTGGTGAAGTCCACCCTCCTATGTCTATCAGTTTTTTATCTGAACAATCACTCTTTGGGCCTGACAAACATTTATCTTCCAAGCTCACCTCTTTTTACCCAGAGCTCTTTATATCTAACTTACCATTCACATAAACTTGTATTGGATAATTTTGGTTGATTCACCTTTCAACTGCTCATGTGTAGACACTGAAGAATTACATTTCAGACATGATGCAGATGTTTTTAAAGGAAGTCAGCACAATTCACCTCCTGGAAAGCTACATTTTTTTGTTCTATGACAAATATGAACGCAAATATCAGATTTTAACTTAACTGTGTATGTATATGCAAATTCTGAAAATGACTGAGTGACAAAAGATGCACAGAATTTATTTTATACTCCTTTTTCACAAAACTGATCTCTTAGAAGACTTTGTAACTATAAAAACCCATATGGGTTTTTTACCTGCTCAAATTTCCAGCCATCGGACATTGTGGAAACCATTTGAGTGAGTTCCTCTTCCTGGCACTGCAGCACTCTGTATACGTGTTTGACTGGCACCTTCAAGAAGAAATATAAGATGCTCAATAGGTCATGGAATTCACCATGTTTGTGATTTCTCTGAAGCAACCCTTACTTTCTAGAAATGATAAGCAACACCACCTTGAACCCATACAGAGCAATGAACGACTAGGACCATTTTAGCTGAGACCTTTAGTAAATGCTATCAGAGCAACCCTGTGATCCCACATCCTGACTTCAACAGAAATTTGGCAACATGAGTTTGGAATATCTCCATGAAGACTCAGTTACAAAAGAAGGCCAGAGTAGCAGAGTTAAAGAACAAACTTTCTCTATTGTATTCACTTCCATGGAGAAATATTCATGAGCTGCTATGAGAAGCAGCAGTCTTCTCAACCACAGAGCACTACAAATAAACTAACTTTGCTACAGAAATGTATGACAGGAGCTAAATAGCATCTGTATGCATGCTGCATAAACATACTGTATAAACAGCAGTTGTACCATAATTAGGCAACCTCATCATATTCAGAGTACTTAAATGCAAATGAGAAAGACATATTCTAAAAAAGCTGTTCTCTAAAATAACTACTTGCAGAAATGATATTATGACAAATTCTACTGTTACCACACATTTTGGAACAATTATTTAGATGGTTTTCATGTTTTGAACAAGATTTGTGAACTTTGCAAGTAGACTGGCAGGAGCCAGAAATTAAGAATATTAATCTTTGTATACTAAGGGTTCCAGCTCATCCAGAGATGGAGGCAGTCATTCAGTATCTTACTGGGGAAACGAGCAGTTACATAAAAAACGAATGGAACCCACCCAGTGCTTGTCATAGAACAAATAATCAAAAGCACACTAGAAAACAGCCTCACCTGTGAGATTTTGCTGTCTCTTTCCCTTATTTTGTCCTTTACCAGTTTTATTAGTGATGTGATATTGTAGAATTCAGCCTCTTCCAGTACACCTAGTATGAAAACATTTTTTGGAAAGACAGTGTAACCAAAGATTCCAGAACAAAATCATCGTCATTTCCTAAGATTATCCTCTCTACAGCTATAGAAAATTATTTATTTTGCCCATAAGATAATTTACCAACCTAATGATTCTTCCCTCCTTCAGGCACAGGTAGTTCAATGTTTAGCTCATTCTAGAAAATTGTCCCAAAAAACTCCCAAAGAAAACAGATGCCATTTCACATACAGAATGAGGCAGGAAACAAAAAAAGGAGAACAGATACCATTCCATAGCAGACTGATAGACCACCATAGCTCAGGCCCTGCCTCTGGCTGGAATGCAAAAGAGAAATTCAAATAATCCTACTGAAAAGCTCTGCAGCTGCTAGCATGCAGGAAATTTTTCTTCCTGTCATTTGAGATCTTAGGTCCTGAAACAAAAGCTTAAAGTTACTGCTTCAAGTCTTACCTGTTCTCCACACGTAGTATGTGCTTAACAATGCACATGGAAATTATATTTCATACTTCTTTTGCTTGAAGAGGACTAAACCCAAATATTTCACACAGTCATAAATGAAAGATACAAGACTATACAATAAAAGCCATCTCCCCTCCTGCTTGAATACTTACAGGGGTTGTGAAAATAGGAATCATACTCAAAACACTCAGCTAACAGCACATACTATAACCACATGATGCCTATCAGCTTTGCTTGAAACAGATTGAAATGCTACACTGATTAAGATTTACCATCTAGTTCTAAATTAGTTTTGATGACTCAAAAGCAGTGAAAATAATAAGCAAGTGACAAGTAAACAAATAAAGGATATTTAGGAATGTCTTACCTTCCTCAGCTAGGTCCTTGTTAATAACCAGTTTCCCATGTCTCAGATAGTTCAGCACTGGCCCGAAGTATGTTGGGTCTCTGTCTATTAAATAGGCACCTGTTTCATCCTAGATTAGAAAAAACAAACAAACAAACAAAAACCAAACAAAACCCCAAACAAGAACAACAAAACACAAAACCCCAAACAAACAAGCCAAAAAAAACCCACAATGATTTGAACATCCAAGTGAGAATTGCAAGCAAATATTCAGCTTGGCATCTGAATAGCAAGCAGATATTCAGATGTAGCCACATCCATTAAAGCCAAATTTATTAAAGACATTAAAAGGAAGGAATTCGACAATGTAGTTGTAATTTTACGAGACTGATCACTCAAATCATGTAATACCCAACTTCTCTTACCTGATTAATCACCCACAACCATTTATCAAAGATTATCAACATTGTTAGCATGAAAGATCTAAGTAGTAAGTAAAAAGTTAAGGCTAAAATTAACACTTAAAATGAGGAATTTTATTTTTTTTTTGGAAACCTGAACAAAGGCTACATTCTAGCAAGGATCAAATACCAGTTTTTCCTTTTTCTTTTTTTTTTTTTTAATTAAAGGCAAACAAATCTACTTCTTTTTAACCTCAACACTTTGTTCTAAAAACATTTAGTTTTGTCTTAGCTCCAATGTACAAAACCTCACAGGGTACTGAGAACTGCCATGTACCAAGCAAGAGTCATATGTGCATCTTCTAAAAAAACATACACTGAAGTTGCAGTTTCTACCTACCTCGTGCAGACAGTGAAGGAACAGATCAAATTAACTAACACTCAGTTTACTGAACAGACTACAGCGTTTTGTGAAATGCAAAACACATCAAGAAATCCAGAGCTGATATTCCTGACAAAGAGATAAAGAGGCAAAATTGGTATCTCCTATGTTATTTAGAATCTATGTGTGAACCCCTGTGATCAATGCAGTACTGATATATTTCATGCTGGCCAGAGGTCTAAGGAAGATTCAAAAGACAGATGTCTAACAGATCTACTGCTTCTTTCTACTACCAAGTGGATCACTGACAGTATTAATCCTTTAGGTTTTGGCACAATAAATATCTCACTGATACATACTGAAGATGTGGCAGCACCCCAAATACTTCTTTTACTTATTCTTAATATTCTAGTAGTTTACAGGAGATACTCAAATAAGCATCATTACTAACAATCCTAGCTACATTTGAATCATTCTCCCTGGAAACCACATATGCTAGTGATACTTGCTGTTCCACATGAAAACAAAAATTCTACTGACCCAATCCTTTGCATTTGAACATTAATGCTTATATATAAGGGTTTGCTTACTGAACTCAGATACCTGAAAACTCTTTCTACTTAAAAGGACCTAGAATTCCAAAAAATGTTTAATTGGAAAAAAGATGGTGAATATATCTTCAGGTACACAGATTTAGTTTCTGAATAACTGCACTTGTCTAGCTGGGGCTGGTAGAATGTAGAAAGACCACAGCCTGAACTACAAAAGCCACAAACACCTTTCTATAATTACAAGCTAAATGCTGTACACACTTAAGACACACTGTCATTTTAGAAGAAGTGAAGGGGTGTTTAATTTTATATAAAATTAACTGTTCAAGAAAATGTTTAATACATTAAAACACGATGTCAGCTAACCTGCACTCAAGATCAGACAATGCTTGATGAAGTCTAATCACAATTTCTTCTGATCTAAACTCAAGGTCTCACAGAAGCGAGGCTATGCGCCAAAACCAGCAGATAGACAAAGTGCGTAAGATGGTATAGTTTTAATATGTCACATTTAAATACATTTACATTATCAAAACACTTCAAGAACGAACAATCTACAGATAAAACCCAAACAAATTAAATTAGCTGACAACTGTATGAATTATAAACTGAAATGTATTATTCAATACAGGAACAGAAACCAGTGAAGTTGAAAAGTATAATCTAAAACAGATAAAAAGAAACACTATTTTAAAGAAGAAAAGCACAGTACTTGGTCATCAGTTGAACTGAATTAAGAAACATATGGGCCTACAAAACTGGAAGTCCTCCCAGTTAACAGAAATAAATCTCTAGAAATAATCTTGTTCAATAAGATTATTGTAATTCTTTACACTACAGTGTTTGCTCACATCACCTTATGAAGCAATACTGGCCACTAGCTCTACAGCCCTACAGAGATAGAGAGGTCAGTCTGGGAAGCAAAGTAACTAAAAGCTCTAAATGAAATCTCAAGTAACAGCGGCTACTTCACTCTTTGCAACATTTCTTTTCTTTCCTCTTTTTTTTTTTTTTTAAAACAGGCTACACTATCTGAAATTACCCTTCCCTAAGCAGATTTCTATACACTAAACAAGCTTTCAACATAACCACAAAGGGAAGAAGTTATGTCAGGCCTTCTCTTTAAACTTCCACCTTATGAGAGGTCACGTATGAATAAAACGCAATTCCAGCAGGGTCATTGTTTACTCTGTGAAGCATTTCAGGCAATAATATGTCTTGAAAAATAATAAAAAAGAAGAAGGCACACATAAGTCTTATAATTTATGATGCAACAGAAATTAGCAAATATCAATACTTATAAACTCTGGCTAAATGCTAACAGTGTGCAGTACAAATTCTGTCAATAGCATTCACTTCAGCGTGTAAATTCTCTGCAAAATTTGCCTATCCAAACATGTCTACAGATATGGAAAACATGCATTAATTAACATTATTCCAAAGAGGAAGATGTGTGTCTTGAACACTGACCTCACAGCTCAGGTTTGCTACAGACTAGCAGCAGGGAATCACCCTAAAAGGAAAACCAATCAGTAAAGAATATTGTAACCATATGCAAAAAATGCACAGGCAAAAGGGGCACAAAATTTACTTCCTTGGCATCTTCCTGTAGAAAATGCCTTATCACTCCTCCTTTAGAGTGAGCTGCCCGAATATCCTTCAACGTATGCTAAGCACTTCATGTTGAAATCTAAGAAAAGCCGATTACACTAGATCTTTAAGGATATTTATGTAAACATAAATCCAATAAAATCTGACACAGAAGTGTAATTATCTGTTCTACCTAGAACACTCAAAATACAGGTCATAAGTCTATCAGAATATCATCAGGATTGTTTTCATCCACATGTACATGAAAGCACATTGTATTCTCTTGAGTAATTAGCATTTTGACATTTTCTAAAAGAAACTTTTATTTTAAGATAAGAATATTAAATTGCAGTTAACATGTGGTCTAGCAGTTTAAATACATAGTTACAGTCTGCACAGACATAACTAGCTTTAAGCTGCTAGCTTAAATATTAATAGACTTTGGTGTCCCTGCTAAGCAATTTCCTCTGCTAACTAGTAAATTCGGCTTCTACAAGCTTCGAGCAAGTTTCAATCTTCACTGACACAACTAGTGTGGGTATTTTAAAGACATTTCCCGAACTTCAGGCAAATACCACAAATGTCAGACAAATCTATATTCTTAATAAGATTTCAGTTTTCTCTTTTGTGTATATATACATACATATATAATGCAAACAGGTGATAATGTTTACCAGAACAGCAGCTGAAACTCATTTCCTCTCTATTCAGTAGTCACATCACCCCAGATTTTGACCCCAGAGGTGTTTCATGCAAATTTTGACACTCTTCATAAGAAAACACAAAGCAAAAGTGCTAATTAATCACACAAGTGTTTGTATCTTTACCCAGTTCTATTTTTGCATTACATCTCTAGCAAGTTTTTCCTTCCTTGTCCGTAAGTCCTAGAACCTTTTTCCACACGCACTTACAAGGACACCATTTAAAAGAAAGCATTGATCAGGTACAGTGAACCTGCATTTGTTTATCACCACTCTCCCACACCATGAAATTTTAGAGGAAGCCCTAATAACTTGCTCTTAAATTTTCAATCACCTAGTTCTGCAGTACACAAGTATTTTCAAAGAATTTGAAATATATTGCCCAAAACTTTAAAATGATTGTGTATTCCTGTTGCAAACATTTCCACTTCAATTATAGAGACTGAGGTTCAAAGGAATCATAATGAACACTTACCCTGATCTTAGTTTAAAACACACATAGGATTCAATTTATTTACAGTGAAATTTAACCTTTAGAAAGAAGCGGTGAAACCTAACCTTTTAGTGCAAGCCATTCCAATAAATAATTACTGTCACTGTTAACATCATGTGCTTTCTAGCATGGACATCTATAGTTTGACACTTCAATAGGAGGATCTGACAATACCTTTGCTAGATTGAACAGGCTTCACTATTAGATTTCTAGTCTCCATTTATGTAATTCTGGACTGAGAAGTCACTCCTTAAACTCCTTGCCAACAAAACAGTTTTGTTCTTTATAACCCTCTGCCAGATCATGTTCCGTGTTGTGACTACCCACTACCCCACTGTGACGCTGAACTGTGGACACTAGAGTCCGGTTCAGGATTCCAGTAGGACTCATAAACGGTGGACCAAATACATACACCTCCCCAATCCCATTTAACAGTCTCCCCTGGGAACTGCATTAAAACAGTATTTGAAATGTCATAAATTTATTTCCAGTTAATTATCTTCACTGAGACCAATACTTTTCCAGAATGGTTACACTCAGAATCCACAGCACCAAGCTCTTGTCTCAAAGTTGTGTGCTCTAACATGAGTATTTTTAAAAAATTACATCATTTACATATACTGAGCAAGCACAAGTTCTGCTAAAGACAGCAATATGCACAGAAATATAGTAATATTTGGCACTAAATCTGGATTTAAAAATAATTGTCTCCTCTACCCTCTGTGCTTTTTAAATCTTGAGCTAGTTGCCGCCCAGAACACATTTTTCACAAACTATGTGGCCTAAAAACTTTGAGTGTCAGCAAACTGCTAGTACTTATCAAAACTACATCAGTAACACAACCCATCTAACTAGTTAGAAATGTCACGGACAAATATAGTTTATCTCAGTTATTTCTTAGAATAATGACTACAGTTTAGATATTTCTTACTAATGACAGTTAAGGATGTGCTGCCAGGAAGATTTTGATTTCTTTGCTTTCTTCCTCGACAGATTCTACCTCAGTACAAATTCATCTAACTTTAGAAAGGCATTAAAAATCAAGCATGAATACGGTTGCCAAAGCCTTATTAAGAAAGCCTGACAATCTCCTCACTTAGGGGAAAATTAAAAGACCGATCGACCAGTTTGAAAAAGAAAAACTGGTATATAGCTAAAGTAGGAAGGTGTTGAAATAGGAAAATATCTGGAAATAATGCAGTAAAAGCATTAAATTAAACAATGATGAAAAGGTGAGCAAGGCTCTGCTTGTCTATTTTTATGAATTCAATTCTATACCAAGATTTAAATATTCCAGAAAACAAATCCTATTGTTAAGAGTAAGTATGACTACTACCATTCATTTGCTGAAATGATTCCCAAGAAGTCTTAAATACAAAGTTGTGCATGACACTGTGACACACACTAAATTCAGAGAACCTGTGTCAGCATCTTATTCCATTAAACACTAGTTTTGCCTCAGGGAGTGCCAAGGTTAATCTTCCCTCTGTTGCAAGTAGGAACATATCTGACACTAAGAGACAGGCTGCTCCACCCTACTCAACATTAGCACCTGAAGGTAGCTTGAAAGCAAACGTGGTCCCTTTCTTTAAGCCTTTCAGTTCTTTTTAGTAGCAACCATTAAGGAAATCACAGAGTCATAGAATATCTTGAGCTGGATCACTGATCCTTGTGAGTCCCTTCCAACTCCTGGCCCCACCCACAACACCCCAATAATCCCACCTTGTCCGTGAGAGCTTTGTCCAAACGCTCCCTGAGCTCTGTCAGCCTTAGGGACATGACCACTACCCTGGGGAGCCAGTTCAGTGCCCAACCACCCTCTGGGAAAAGAACCTTTTCCTGACATCCAACCTAATCCCCCCTAACACAGCTCCAGCCATTCCCTCGGGTCCTGTCACTGGTCACAGAGAGCAAAAATCAGTGCTGCCCCTTGTAAGGAAGCTGCAGACTGCTATGGGGTCTTCCCTAGGTCTCCTCTTCTCCAACTGAACAAGCCAAGTGACCTGAGCCGTTTCTTTTATGGCTTCCCCAAAAGACCCTTCACCATCTTTGTGTCCCTCCTTTGGATGCCCCTTTAAGAACTTTGGATTCTTCTGATATTGCGGTGCCCCAACTGTGCGGGACAATCCCGTCCCTTGCCTGGCTGTTGATGCTGTGCCTGATGCCCCCTAGGACATGGCTGGCCTTCCAATCTGCCAGGGCATATGGCAGTGCCTTATCTTTTGTTTAAGAAAACCTTAAACCTTTACTCTCCCAAGTAAAGACAATTTCTGACCTATCAGCAAGTCATCTACATTTTTAAATTTGCTTTTATAGGTTAGTTTAAGCTCTCCAGAAACACTCAAGCCAAATCAATGGCAACAACAAAAAAATCCACTCCCACACCACTACATCTGAAGTTGTTTTTTTTCTCTAAATCTGGAATACTAGGTCCTGTTCCCTACCTTCTTAAGTGTTGAAATATCCTTCCTGGAAGTTATACCTGAGAAAATAATGAAATCTACTACAAGTCTCACTGAAAAAAAAAGTCATATATATTTAAAAAATTAAAATTTTAAAAATTCATATATAAAAAGCAACTCTTTATTTTAAATCTGTTGGTTATATATTCAAGGGTTATAAGCTGTTCTTTTCTTTTCCCTAAGCGTACTGTACTGGAAAAACCTTTTTGTTCATGCTGCTCCAAAACTGCTTCCAGAGCCAGCACTATATACAAATACTTTTAATCTGTTACCGCATACCACACCATAGATAATAACTCTTCTTTCCCTACTAAAAAGGAGTCAGAATGAATACTGAAATATTCAGTATCACCCACCATTTGTAATCTATGCAGAATATGCAACGTTTTTCTCAAAGAACTGCTGAAAGAGAGAATGCCATGCCCAAGTCAGAAGTTATTATCAAAAGTACTTTGATTAGGTTCTTGAAATTGAACAAGTGAGTGATGACAGTGCAGAAATAACAAAATGCTAGTGCACATAGATATTCCACTAAAATGCTAAAACTAAACCCCATCAGACAACATAAAAAATCATACAAATGTATGAACGATCCTGTGCTCTCTGTTGTATTTATGAGCAGTTGCGTTATTCACGAACCCAATGGTTTCGCACGGCATCAGCCCACCTTACACCTCAGCTCCCCTGAAGCTCACGGACTCGTTAAACAGCACCCCTCAGAAACTGCCCTCGCGGCGGCAGAGCCGCTCCCACCGCCCCTCACGGCAGCGCCGGGCCCAGCGCTCCCTCCGCACCGGCGGCCGCCCGACAGGACACAGCGCGGGGACAGGGGAGCGGGCCCGGTGCGAGGACATGCGAGTGGGCCCGCAGCGGGGCCCGCGCTCACCTTGTCCGAGTCCAGGTCGGGATCGGCCTGGCAGAGGCGGAAGAGGAAGGACTTGGGGTCCCTGCAGAGCGTCTGCCGAGTGGTCAGGAAGCAGGTGCCCCCCACGTTCAGCCGCACCCACTTGCCGGGCCCCGCGCCGGGCGGCGGCGCGGAGCTGCAGCGGCGGCAGGGCCCGCCCGCGCCGAGGCCGCCGGCCACGGGCACCGCGAACTCGCAGTGGTTCTCCGCCGCCATCCTCGCCGCCGCCGGAAGGGGCCGCCCCGCCGGCCCAGCCCCGGGCGCGCCGCCCCCCGGAAGCGCCCGCTGGAGCCGCTCCCTGCCCCCTCTCTCCGGGGAGAGGCCCCGGCCCGGCCCCCGAGCCCCGAGTCCACCCCTGTCCCCACCCCGACCCACCGGAAGGAAGAGGCGGAGGCTGCGCAGGACCCTACATGCCTTTATTACAGACTACCAAGCATAAGTGAAATCCGTCATCCAGTCACTAACTACACATCTACAGCACAGAGATCTGTCGAGAGGAGAATAAACAGTCATTAAATTATGAGATATGATTAAATCATCGACCGATAGAAAATTTATATAATAAAGCCAGAAAAAAGGTGTAAAATATAGTTTACAATAATTATTCACATTCAAGGCTGTACATCAATACATACAACACCATGGCCCCGAACATGAATTCAATCCAAATAATTCATATATTAGAATTTAAATAACACAGACTGAACTAGAGGCCAACAAGAGCCAGCAAATAACCTTATAAGAATAAAAATACAAAAGTGTGTATCTTATATCATTGCATTATTTGCTTCTGTTTTCACAAGTTCTTGGAACAGGGGAGATTGTTTTGTTGTTTGTTGAGAGGGGCTGGGGTTATTTTTGTGGTTTGTTTTTTTTTTTTTTTTAATCCATACATCACAGTTACAGCTACAAACCAGGTAGAGCATATTACACATGTAACCGACTGCCACCAACCTGAAAACAGCTAGCATACATCTATCAAAACTGAGTATGGTTCCTAGTTCCAATTTTTTCTCTTTTGTCAGATACAGTAACTTTAAATTCTGTCACAATTTTGAACTTTTGCCACATCCAATCAGAGTTAGTACATGGTCATAGGAAGCTTTGTCAAATAGCAACCATCTACCTTCAGTGCCCTGCTGACAGACAGACTTCATTCTCAGGAGCAGTGACAGGACTCAAGGAAATGTCATGAAGCTGAGTCAGGGGAGGTTTAAGCTGGGTATCAGGAAAAGGTTCTTCCCCCAGAGGGTGGTCGGGCACTGACCAGGCTCCCCAGGACAGCGGTCACGGCCCCAAGGCCGTCAGAGCTCAGGGAGTGCTTGGACAACGCTCTCAGGGACAGGGGTGGGACTGCTGGGGTGTTGTGGGCAGGGCCAGGGGTTGGATCAATGATTCTTCTGAATCCCTTCCAACTTAGGATATTATGTTCTAAAACCAGGTTATTGGGTGCTTAAGAACCTCTCCAACTGTTTATTGTATAAAAGTCATATTTCTTCTACAAAAGACAAAACATTCTTAAATGATCAGTCTTAAAAGAAAACATGCCATTTTGGGTCACAGAACTACTTGTTTGTAAGCTCACTTGATCAACTGATGGACAATCTGCATCATGAAGCTTTGCAGGAGCATTTCCATTTGATTAATAAAATATTTGCATAAAGTATACCAGGCATCCAGCAAAATTTCAGATATAAATACCACACCTATTTGTGTAATTTGCTAGTAGGAAGTGATCAGAATCCACAGGCCACATCTTTAGGCAACTATTAATAGACAAGTTCTCTAGTCAGTAAGATGTTGAAATCAAATGTTTTGTCTACAGGCCAAATGAAGTAATTTTCTTGACTTCACTAAATCGTTCAAAAGAAAATGTACATGTGGGAAATTCTCATGATTCTTCAAAGTTCCCAGCACAAAATGTAATGATATCAAACACATTAAATTAAGAATCTTGAACTATGAGAACTGATTAGAATCATCACATCTTTTTTTCAATCAACAGTTATTTCCAGGACTATATATAGCAGATACTTCACAACTAAAAGATGTGAGAAAGAGAGAAGTGGAGCACAGTACAGATACTTTGATGTTTTCAGCATCTAAGTGCTTAGCAAATGGAATTGTAATAGGTCATATCAGTCTGCTCACAATGCCTCATCCTCACATCTGAAGCAAGTCTTCCATAATGTAAAACCTTTACGAAACTGGACTTTTAAGGCCAATGGTAATAAACTAGTTTCTCCAGTTTATCGAAGTAGTTTTAAACTTCCTGTGACTAGGCTGGATGCTGAATAAAACAGTGTTATTCAAAAGTCCTTTCTAGTAGTAATAGATGTATGACTTATGTGAAGTAGTACTTCATCCTTTCTTAAGCTCCACAACACAGAAAACTGATGCAATAGACACCTTTCTGAAATTCAAATCCCCAACAATGAAAAATTACAATACTATTGACCGGATTCTTCATAAATGATTGGCAAATGTTCAAATTGCAAAAGATGGAATGAATCAATAGATTGGGTTTTCTGGAGGTTTGCAGGAAGACTCAGGAAGACTCTTAAGAAGAGTCTTCTAGTGATTAACAACTTTTTTTTATATGCTTTGAAAACCTTGGATTAAAAGCAGAAAAATCACCTGGCTTATCTGCAGCTCTGAAGAACCTCCCGTGTACATTTCATTCCATGAACTTCCATGAACCATAGGAGTGATCTTCAGGACAAAGATTTGAACCTACCCCAGGTATAAGCATTTAAAATGGGAGCCAGCCCGTCATAGTATGCAGCACCTGTCAATACACATTTAAGTGGACAAACTGGTATAACATACTTGAACCCACAATTGCTTTGTGTTGCCTCACTGTTCTTCTGCCACCTTTCAAAACCAGAGATTTCACTTACAGTACAAGAAATACAAAGACGTCTCCCAGAAAAATTCTAGATCCTTCTCAAAAAACCAACAGCTAAGTAAGACTGGATTAGGAACACTGAAGCTCTAAGTGGAAGGATGCCTGTATGAGATGCTCACAGTTTTCTAATGACAGCATTGTCAGTTAAAAAAAGGAATTCTAGAGTGCAGACATCAGCCTTCTTGACAGCTTCCTGCTACCAAGATCTGGCTGGCTGAAAGCTTTTGGTGGGCAGGACAGAAGTCTACTGAGAGAGGATTTTCCAGGTGTGAAAAAGCATAGTAATTGCTTTGTTATGGCAAAACGACTAAAAGTCTAAATATTACAGAAAACATGGTTAAGCATAGTTAGATTTCCACCTAGTGAACAAACCAATGGAGATCATTTTGCCAGACTTTTGTGTGAGACCAAGGTTTGTCACACTGCACAGCAGTGGCACCGTGAATCTCCATTACTGCCAAACTCTCCTGTATAAAGTTGGGAATACGTCTACATCTCTATACCAGAGCCTAAATCCAAAAATGGTAGAGTTGCCTCCAGTGGACACAACATATGGCTGGAATTTGACAGCCGGAGAACAAATGGATAGCACTGCAACAAACTTAAAATACCTGTCATCTTGGTTAGAATGGCAAATATAGCTTAATACAGACACAGATCAGAGGTGCATTGTGCTATTCCAATTTGAGTGACAGGGAGTGTACTTTGTATGTGATAGAATTGCTCATGATGCAAAGGGAATGCTGTTCTCTCTTCCTCATCTCAGCCATTTACAGGACACCTTCACTCCCTTAACACCAGGCACTGTAAGCCAGGAATTTACTTCTCTCAGGTCCGCTGACATGGTGGGATACAGAAGACTACCAGAATGCAGTTCCTCCAAAAGAAAAGGCAACTGCACTGTCTCTTTTAAAGAGTAAAAGATACTGGAAAAGCTGAACTGCCATGAAGTTCAACCACATAACACAATTTTTAAGAGATCAATAATAAATCTCCTTCACCCTGTATGAGAAAATATTCAACGTGTATCTGTTTTCAGAGAAATCCTGATAAGCCACTGCTTTTAAAATACTGCTTCTAGAACAGTACCCCACGAGATTTTTCAACATTGTAGTGAAACCTTTCTTTGGTGGAAGGAAAAGCATATCATAGTATGACAACTCAAAATTCAAAGAGATGGTATGTGTGGAAAATGAATAAATAGGTGTGATGTTTATACTGCTTTTTAAAAAAAGGAGGAATGCCTTTGTCCAGACCTTGGTCACTCCTCTCTGCAAGATTCAGGAACACAGGCATGTTGAAAATACCATTAAGGGAGTTGGTTTTAGCACACAAAGTTGTGTCTTTGCAACACCGTGAGAAATGTTTGACCACAAAAAAAGCCTTAATTTGAAGAGGATAAAGGAGATCGATATGAAAAATATTTTCATTTTATAGATATGCTTTAAGTACCATATATTTTCCCCTTTGTACGAATATTTTCTTTTGATTTTCTAACCAGATTACTTTATTATCTAATATTTCAATTGCTTACATTTTTTTCTAGAGTTCCTGAATATTTGGCCAAGGACCAAAAATAGGATTATTTGACAACTCATTATACAATGAGACAAAAAAAGTCAAGTAATCAATTGTACAAAGCTTTCACACTTCCTTCTCTACCCAAGTAAATAGGTTGGCCCCACTAAAACGCACAAAACATGCACACCCTGGAAAGAAAGCTTCTAACTCTCATCTGCTGAAAAGGTGAAAAACTATTTACTACTCCAACAGTAACCTTTTCCCCCCATACTAACTAGCTTCTTTTTTAGTTAGCATTAGTTAAAAGCATGCTGGTAAGTTTATCGTCCCTTGATTAAACACACATGATTCATATTAAAATTTAAACTGAATGTTTAAAATCTTATATGCTTCAGAAGCCAACATTTCAATTTTAGGAAACTTTCAGTGCCACGTTCAGCATTTTACTCTCTCAAAACCTTTATCATTGGAGCCTGTCTGCCAGACACATACATCTGATTCATTCACGTAATTACTAAAGTACCACGTAAATCCTGCAACCAGAACTATATTAGGAATTACACAAGGGTGCAACTGACCTGGCTACAAATGCCATATACCAATAAGCTGGGGGACTGTGAGGAAAGGAAGAGAAAACAAAGAGGTGGTGCTTAGGAGAGGCATATAAAAGCTCCCTGATGAAATACAGTTTAATGATAATCTGAGAGTCACAGAAAACTCCAGCCCCATGAAATGCAAGGCTGGTACATGATTCGGCATGTGTGCGTGTGGATTGGTTTTAACTCATCTTAAGTGAAGCTGGTAATGCAAGGTCTATCCACTAGTCTGCAGCAGAAACTGAGCTGAAGTGCACAAAAGCAAGATCTTCACTGCAATGATATGCATGTGGAAGCCTCAAAATAAGCACAAAGAGCGAGCAAAGCAACCCTGAATTCCATTAGGTTTTTGCTTTTCTTCCTTTTTTTTCTTTCTTAAAAAAAAAAAAAAAAAAAAGAACATTTCGAACATATGCTTCCCCTTGAGATGGTAATAGGTGGGTTGAAAAGATTCCTCTGATCGGCTGCACACGGAGTTCTAGCAGCAAGTAGGGAAACTGGGAAATTTTGGATGAGCTTTACTATTTTGCAGCATTCTGGTGGTATCTGTTCCGCCAAACTTCATGTATCTTTTTGCACCATTTATGAGCATTCCCACTTGGGTCCATCAGGTAATATGTCCTGTTTGGCTATAAGTGAACAACATTTTAATGACTACTCCAAACACAGGTTTAAGCAAAAAGACATAATTATTCTGCACCTACCAATAAAATAATTATTCAGAATTAGTTCATAAAATTTCTAAAAGTTAAACTGAATTACAGCTATATAATATTATATATTACTGAATAACCATACATCTGGCACATTGTTAAGCAGTCAATATATTATTGCTATACTCCTCATAATTTACTACATACAAAGAGGGCTAAATTTTCAAAGTCCTTCTTAAGAGCTTCCTTCAAATCCCCAAATCCACATACAGTTTATTTAAACAACAATAAAAATACAGTTATATTTTTGTGATAAATGTGTATGTCAGGGTGAGGTTTTGTGTGGGGTTTCTTTTATTATTATTTGATCTTGTATGGGGGAATTGGTTTTGTGCTTTTTTTTTGGTTGGTTGGTTTTGTTCAGGTTTTTGTTTTGTTTTAAATTAAGACTATCAACCCTTGTATTTAAGTAATTATATTTTCTCCACAGAAATCTATTTGATAACAACTTAAATTAGCAGCCCAAGGACCTTAGTACATTTTACAAGGAAATCCAAGAAAGAAACTTACCGTATGAACAAAAAATGTCTTAAAATTCTTGGCTTCTGGCCGCAACTCTAATGACCATGGAATTTCTCCTTTTAGAACTTTGTTGACAGGATCCACATAATACAAGTGGGGCCCTTCCGTGAGCAGCAATTGGCGCCGACGTGCAAACAATCCCTAGTGAGAAAAGTAGAAGCAGCAATGCAAAAAAAAGGCACAAAATAAAAATGTAAATGTGCAGATCTATGAATTGAACAACAGAGGTAGAATAAAAACCAGCTCAGTGATAGGAGAGTATGTTTGGATTTGGGGGACCTCAATTTTCCATGTACTTTACCTATTTGACCTCACTCCTTTTTTAAGGGGTTGCAGTGCATTCCTACTATGTGGCGAAACACAAGTACTATTTCAGGAAAACATCTTCAAATTCTAGCAAAACATAAAACACCTAGCTGTACATAGTGAAGCAAAATCTATTTGTCAAAGATTTCAGCACAGAAAGCAACAGTTGTGATTTTGTAGAAAAGATAGGAACAAGCAGGTACTAACTTAGATGAAAGATAACCTTCTTTCCTGGAAAGTTGATGCAGACTATCCTTGCTCAGCTGTACAATATTAAAGTTAATACTTAAAGCTGTTCTAATGCCACCTCTGCCCCTCTCAGAATAAAGGCACTAAGTCAGATCCAGGAAAAACACCACAGTTAAGAACAACATGAGCTTGTATTTCATTTTTCAGTATTTGTGGCTCAAACCACATTCAGACACACATCAAGACAAAGTGTTTAGTGGGCTATATCAGATTGGGAAGAGAAGAGGGAGCAAAAACTCATTTACTACAATCTCAAAATGAAAGTATCAATAGCAGCTCTACTTTTAGCTTTTCCAAGAAATCAAAAGCACATCACAAAATTAAGAAAAAACAATCTACTCACAAGAAAACACAGAATTTTTAAAAATGAACTTATAAATAAGTGGCAAATTGTTTAACAAATAAGCTTTAAAACAGGTTCCTTATCTATGCTGCAACTGTGCAAAAATGTGACAGCTGAATCTTGTTACAGGAAATTTAAAAAAAACCCTTACCTTTCTTTTGTCCACTGGACCCATTTTCAGGATTAAGTTATTTTCTACAAACTGATGCCTTAAAAAAAGAAAAATAACTATTACTCCAGAAGTAATTCTTTCATAGAAACAGCTATTATTAATATCAAGCAGTTTTCCATTTCACTCCCTAGCGTCTCCTTTTCCACCAAAGAGTCCTGAGCAACTTTACTAGATGAGTTTTGTACTCTTCCTCATTCCAGGCCAAGGAGTTTTTTCTAATTCCTGACAGGGGTAGAAAAAAAAATTAAAAAAAATCACAATCACACATGAGAAACTTCTCTAAACCATGCAAAGAAATGCTATCAGTTACATAGTCTGGAGATATTTTGGTTGGATATCAACAGAATATTACACACACAAAAACCCAACAACTTACAGCGTCAGTAAGAAAGGAGGAACCTTTTCTAGTTCTAGGACTTCAGAACAAAGACTCCTCAGCACTGGATAATGTCATTCTGCCTATCTTAGAAACACACTCCATGCCATCTTCTAGATTTGGTACATTTTAGAAATACCGTATTAGGGTTTTGCTGCTATTGCTTTAAAAATAGAAGACAAAAAAAATGTAGTTGCTAATTGCTTGAACATACTAAGATTGACAAATATTAATTTAAATCAAAATCCCTTATTTTTCAAGATTCTTTATTGCTGTGCAAGATGAGCAATATTCAAAGATCCTACCAAGGATTTCCACCAGCTTGTTTTGCCAGAAGTAACCTCTTCTCATCTTCAGAAAACTGTAAGTCCAGCTCAAAGGAATTGTTGTCAAGATCATGAATATACTGTTCAATATTTCCTCCTGATGTCTGTGGTGTACTTGTCTCTGGGACAGACAGTGAATGGGAAGAGGCAGAACTAGAAACTTGCATGCAACCAAACTGACTCAGGAGATTGTCATACTAAAGGAGGAAACAAAACGAAGTAATTAAATGTTTTGCATTAAACTTTGGGTTTTAATTTAAGCATGTTTTTGTTTATTTTGCTTTTGGGCAAAAAACCCATTCTCTATAGATTAACAGGCACTTATGCAAAAAAGTATGATTGATCAAAAGCAAGCCAACCAGTATTTTTTCAAAACACTCGCTCTGTAAGAAAAAAATGTTGACTTAAAATTTTACCCAGCAATTTCATCTTAGATTAATACTTGAAGTTCTCATTAAAACATAACTAAACAGTAATTTCAGTAAAAATATTTAATATTCAATAATTATGAAAGTCTCAGGCAGCATCAGAGCTGAATATATGTACAGATAAACATACATTTCCATAACAGTCTTCATCATCCTCTGACATAGCAGGTAAATATGCTGTAAGTTTAGGAGGTGTCTGAAGATGTAGGTTCTCCCACACAATGGATTCGAAGAAGGGATGAGCCTTAAGAGGTCCATATCCTCCCATTTCTTCACAACCTAATCTGTTGGTAGCATCTAGAACCTGAGCAAATCAAAATTAAGTTACCCTCCATAAAATAATGACAAGGGGCAAGCACCATTCACATTTACACAGCAGCATGTGAAAACTTAAAACCAATTGGTCACACTGTCCTAAGCATACACATGCATAATACAAGGAGACTGCTTATAATAAAAGATGTTATTTGTCGGTATGTCACGTCAGCAACATTTTGTAGTAGACCAGCTCACAGATCTAAAGGAAGGAGCACTTCTTTCGGTCCACACAATTTATTTTTTTTTGTTCTTCATAAACACAGAAGCAAACATACAGAGAAGGCCTGATGGAACATCTCATTTAAGTGTAGTCCACTATCACATTCTAGTGATGCAAGAAGCTGTGGAAGCTGTAGCTGGTGTCAAATATCAACCTCTCAAGCATCCTAAAATGACACGGTTCTCAGGATGTTAATATAACCTGGACTTCACCATCCAGCAGGCACTGGCTTGGCCATAGAGCTGGCCTTGGACACAGGAATGCACTGCTAGGCCCTTTACGTTGTACCCGTCATCATCCACAAAGATAAGCATTTTCTCATCACCCCCTGCTAATATGCTAGACTATTGAATTTGAAAAAGCTTATACCACCCAAAATGTTCTCTGCATATTCACTTTAGTGTCATGGCTATAATCTCACTCATGGGATAGAACTACTTTCTCTTCCTACTTGTCAAACCTCCACATGAACAGTAATTCTTAGACTGATACTATTGAGATATGTTAAAGTGCATGCTAATGCCAAGGTAAGTGGACTTACTTACATTGTAATGAATGTATCTGCCTGTGATGTATAGAAGACTGTTTTCAACTAAATGATCCATTATACAGCTCAAAAAGAATTAATCTGAGAACTATATAAACTTGAGTATTTGAATCTTAATGTCTATGTGTAAGGCACAGTGTCTAGAATCATTTGCTTCCATTCAGAGACATTTCCTTGTCCACATTTTAAGTTTAATGCTGTTTAATAATGGATGTTGATTTCTCAAGACACTCCCCTACAGTCAATAATGCTCACAGCCCTTACTATAATGTTTGCAACAGAGTGCATAGAAACTTTCAGAAAAGTTTCTGAACATAAGCCAAATGTTTCCAGTGTCATCAAGTGATTTAACAGCAGCAAATATTTACCAATAACTTTTCAACAAGGTCTTTCGCCTTGGGAAAAAATTTTTCTGGAAAGTCATATTCCAACTTTATTATCTTCTGGAATATAAGATATTCATTTCTGCAAAAGAGAAAAATATTGACTCTTGTTATTAGTTTTCCATGGTTCTTTCACCTTAGCCTGCATAACTCGGACAAATATTAAACAGGAAATCTACAAGTTAAGTCATATTCCCATAAATCTTCCTAGGAGAAGGAGTACAAGTATCTAAAGCACCAGATACTTGAGCAATAACAAGAGAAGTTCAAATGATGCAGAGAGATGCCTTATACCCTCTTCACAAATAAAGTTATCTCTATGGTACAAATTACATGTGAAATTCTAGGATAACTTAAGGAATGTCTCTCAGGAACTCTAGTTACAGCTGTCTAAGCAACTTCAAGACATCAAAAAGAACAAATAATAGCAGGTATGACATTAACACCAACACTGCATCGTGAAAAGTTGTACTTCAGAACTGGTAGTAAGGTAAAAATCAAAATCAAGTCAATATATTTATGATCCACGTATAAAGAATTAGCTTAAATCTCTTACCCGGCTCTAAATGGAGGCAATCCAGCTACAAGTTGATATATTATACATCCCAGAGCCCAGAGGTCAGAGCTTCAAAAGAAAGAGGAAGAAACATATAGCATCTTTTCATAACAGAAGTCTTTAAACTGTAATTTAAAAAGAAAAATTCTTAACTGTCTGCTACTTAAAACATAGCACAAACCCCATGGATAAATTTGCTCTGTATAATTTCCATACTATTCTCACTTCAGCCCCTGACAGAAGAGAAGGCTAGCAACACAACTTTGTTAAAGAAAAAAAACTATACAGTAACAATCCCACAACAACTAACTACAAGGACACATGCAAGACTGAATTCTCAGGCAAAATAATACGTATATAAGTCTGAAAAGAATACTGGTTTATCCACTATGACAATTCAAAGATGCGTCCAAATTAATGCAATAGAATTTAAATCCTCTCCTCTAAGTATTTTATAAAAAAACCCCACCAAACAAAACAATACAGCTTTTTCACTTGAAGCTCTTCTTAAGACACAAACAAAAAGGCAGACTATATGGTATGTGGGTGAGGGAAAGTTAAGTTTTAGCGTGTTGGCCTGAAATAGCACTTTAAACTTACTGTACTTCAAGGTAAGCTGTACATAGATTTGATTAAAGTTTCGAAATCCTCATGGAAGACTAAAATACTAACAGAGACTCAAAACTACTCAAATTACAGATGAGGCATTATGCAACTTCTAAATGGAGATGATAGCCTGATGAAGTCTTTCCATTGGCCAAAAAAGTTAAAACCTAGCACAAATTACTACAGTTATTCCTATAAGAATAACAGGCACAGAGATGAGCTTTAAAACATTGCAAACCTCAAGTACAGCTTAGCAAAAATAACTGCAAGTTGATCTAAATACAAGTCAAAGAACGCTGCAGCCTTTCCCCTAACTGACAGCATGCGACATTGGTTGTTACTACAGCAGGAAATACCATTATTTGAGGAAGGTTTTATAAAACAGAATTAAAATAATTACATTATTTGGATAACATAGAAAAATTGATATATTTATGGGTAAGAAATCCAACTTCACATTATACACCTAATCCTGTTTGTAGAACTCCAGAAGGTAGATGAATTGAGGAAACCAGCACTAAGACAAAAAGCAATACTTGTTAAGAAAAAAAAAAATTTCAAACTTTCTTAAAAAACTTTTATACACAAGCATCTTTTTTCTTTACAATACTAAGCTTCCTTGCTTGATGTATCCACTCCTCCCCATTTAACAGCATCCTGACAGAGTCAGTGAAGTTCTGAAATGCAGAGTCCTCACCTTTTACAGGCAGATTTCTCTGTCAGCAGTTCTGGAGAAACATACTGTGCTGTCCCAACAAATGAATTTGCCCGTGCTGGTAAGGAAACAGAAAGAAATAAGCCAAACACATACTTATGGATAAACCAATCTTTCCTTTCCTCCCCTGTACCAACCCAATTAAAGAAACCTGCAAAGGCAATCCCTTGCAAGTTACATAATGCTACCAAGAACCCACGGGAATTTAATTTCTCTATCAATCCACACAACCTGCTCGGAAGAAACAAATCAGTCTCAGTGACACTCATGTGGTTCAAGAAGTTGGGCATTTAGGTACTCTGTCAGTTATAAAATCTACCAACACAAGCTTACTACATTCAAGAAAAAAAGGTTATCAAATTCAGTTCAGCTTAGTGCTTTTTCAGGCATTGTTTGCAGCATCTATTTACAGGTTATTACTAAAAACTAGCAACACAAGAATTCTATAGCCTTCAGTGGCTATCAGAGTTGCACAAATGTGGAGTTAAAGACATAAGCAGAGTAAAAACTTACTGTATCAGCTGAGCCACAATACCTCTGTTTATATTCTTGTCTTGCAAATGAAAACTAAGTAATTTGAAGTAGTTTGACTTCCCACTATATTTGGTGATCCAGCTGGCTATAACACTACACCAAATATTACCTTTTCTGACATAATCCAAGCAGTGACACTCAAAACTGTTTCAAGATCTCTCAGTGATTTAGATGAGGTTGACGATATTTGAAAGTTACAATTTGGTAAATACAACATATGTACATTTTCAAAGGATCACTTGCTATAATTATCTGTGTTACATAATGAAATAAATCATGGCATACCTTGTCTGCTATCTGCAGATAATACTTTCGCTGTTCCAAAGTCTGTTATTTGAATGTGCATATCTTCATTTAATAAGATGTTCTCTGGCTTAAGGTCCCTAGAAAAGACAGATTTTTATATTCAAACACCATACAAATGACAGTTGCAAAACTGTCTAGTGATTTAGGTACACAATGTTATCATAAATGATGTAGACATTCTACAAACATTGTTGCAACAACTTTCTTCTAACTTGTAGCTGTCAACCTGCAGACTATCAGATTTGGATAAGCCCCTTAATTAACATTTTTTCTAAAAAGACCTTAAGTAATTAATCATCTCAAAACTACACTACTGTGCATCTCAACAGAAATGAAAAAAACCCATTAAAAAAAAACAAAACCCTCCCCGAAACAAACAAAAAAAAGCACCTCCCAACAAATCCCAACAAAAATCTCACCCCACAAAAACACACACAAAAACCCAAGCCCTTTCACTCCAAAGCCTTAATTTAAATAACACCTGACAGACTGATACGGCATTAAGATCTTCTAGGCCTGTTTCCTCTGTGCAAAACTCCAGTTAGTCAAACTCCAGCTGGCAAACCCAGCCCCAGCTAAATGTCCAGACTACGTAAGAACTGTAAACCACCTCTATGTATAATCTCTCTTTCAAATGTATGCCTACCATTTGCATGGACACTGCCACCAGTGTCCATTTTCTGAATAAAACCAGACCTCACAGTATGACAAACACAATAGAAAGTAATATAGAGTTAGATGTCAAGAGGCTTGTCAGCAACAAAATAAGGAGCATAAAATAAGGGTGACACTGATACGGTATTACTTTGCACAAAGTTTCCTCAGCTGTAAAGATGACATACTTCCCCCTCTTAAGCAGTATCTTTGAATGCTCATAAAGAAATTTGGAGCATGGGAGCTGTTTTGGTTGACTGGTAAGAAAAAAAAACAGTACAAATTCAAAGCTGTTTTAAAGCTGTTTCCATCAACCTCTGTGCAGCATTATTTTCGTCAGATTGCAGCCCCCTATAATGAAAAAGCATGGGTTGTACAATTTAGAGTCTGCAGATTAGCACAGAGAGCAATTGGAATGAAGTAATTATGACATACAAGCCATAAAAATCATTTTCCTGTAACTAATCTCAGAGAGCTATAGAAAGTATATGAATGGAATGGACCCTTTTAACAGTTCTGTGTGGGGCTTTTTTACATATACATTTGTATGTAGACATATTGTACTCTATAACACATATACACAGCGTTTATATTATACACCTACATTAATACTGTATTACGGATCTATAGCTATATAACTAGATACATAGAGATATATCTGTAATAACTTTTCCAGAGTAGCCTGACATCTGAAACTGGTTCTATCTCATGTCCTATTTCTTTAGGCAGCAGAAAATCCCACGAGCTTTCAGGCACTGCTAGAGCTGTGGCCTTATAAACTTCATACTAAGTTCTCTAATTGCACAATCTCACTGTTTTCTTTTGAGCTTCTCATAAGGGCCTTCATATGAAGACAAGCATAAAGCAGCTCTTCTGTAACACAAGATTTCCAAAACAGGCTTAGTAACACTGACAATCATGCTACATTCATTTTATAAGCCTTCTCTCAGCCTAACATATGGACTGTAAAAGTGAATGAAACTGGGAGTTCTTGAATGTTTTTTCACCCTCGTGGAAAATTTTATGCTTTCATACTCTCCACATCCATCCCCCTTAGATTCTATTCCAAATTATTACACAAAAAAGTATTAGAAGAACACTTTTTCCTTTTAAATGTAACTGAAAGAAGTAATGTTATCAGAATTATAATCAGCCAGCTTTCTGCCAACTAGCATTTACTGTTTCACGACAACTGCTCAGTAACCTACAGACACAATAGATTCCTTACCCAAAAAGAAGTTCTGCAGCTCAGATGTTTAGCACTTAAAACCTTAATTTATTTAATAAACACGAATGAAAAAACATGATTATCCAAAGAATACAATTACATTCAGAACAACTGTGAAAGTACTATTAGAAACTTTGCTAGATTTCACCATTTACCTAGTTATTGTTCAGCTTTGTGGAAATTGTTCACTCAGTGAAAACTGATATAGATTAATTTTACTTTTCTTGATTATATAGCACACACTAAATCACACACCAGAAAAATTCTAATTACCTTTGCTACATAACAGCACAGGAAAAAAAGTGTAGTTAAACAAAAAGTCTGTTTCTGTTTTCAGACCAACTGATCAAGCTTGAAAGACAAGCTTTTGGTAATGTTAATTCTAGGCCAAAAGGTTTTCTTACTTCTTCCTGCTACAACAGTTTGTATAACAACAGAGATTGGCTCTCCTCCTCAAGTTTTCTATGTTTAGCTACTGATGTTAACAGTACCAGTGCTGATCAAATGCTACTATGTGCTCATTTCCACAAAATTCACAAAGAATGTTTCTAGAAAAAAACATAATCAACTGCATGTTGGTCTCAACTTTGTATTACCTGTGAATTATTCCTTTCCCATGCAAATACTCCAGGGCTGATACAATTTCAGCAGTATAAAACCTGGTACAGGTCTCATCAAATGAACCAATTTTGCGTATATACTTTAGCAGCTCTCCGTTTTTGGCATAGCTAAGCCCAAAATCTGCATGTAAGTAGTTAAGGTCTATCTCTAAGCCATTCTAAAACAAAAATCCCCACATCTCATTCCAAAGATAAGAATAATACTAAAAATACATAAACAGGAGGGAAGAAGTTGGTTAATTTGAAACTTTACACGGCAGCAGCCCAAAATAATTACTTAAATATGTTAACAACCTAGGACACAGGTCCCAATTTCTTAGCACAGCAAAGACTACGTAAAGGGGTAACTTTGTTGTTTTTTCAGACTTGTGACCCAACTAATTAATTTAAATTGCATACATAATTGCCCTCAAAAAGAATTATTTACAGTAAAAACTGTTATAAGTTTAAAATTGTCCCATCACCTGAGAAGTACCAGAGCAAGTGTTTCCACTACAAAGAGGCTCTGTGAGCTCTTTTAGTGTATGCTGCATGAACTCTAGGGCCTGCGAGCACTGCCAGCAGCCTCTGGGAAAACCACAACTACTTACTGACCCCACAAACAGACTGATCTATCCCTTTAGCCTTGGCACAGCCAATCGGAAGCAGAAAGTTTAGGAGGAAATTCGCATCATTAACGTTTTCTTCACAAGGAAAAAAATAAAGCCAACTGTCAACCAGTGAGCTTCCAGGATGAAACTGTACTTTGCAATTACTGCTAGAGAGAGAGCATGGGAAACAGAAGCCCAAACGGAAGATTCAGATTATTCCGTAAGCACTTTTACACAAGAAAAATTTTAATAATAGCTCTAATTGCCAAAAAAAAATAGTAGTAAATATAGCTGGCTACCCCTATTAAACATAGGAATCATGGTGTTTTACTATACATATCACAAATAAAATACTTCTTAAACACTTCTCATACACCACCCCAATTTAGTATTTTTAAATTACTTTAAACTTGGATCGTTGCAAGTCACCCTTCAACATTTACCACACGGACAATTTGCTTTGTTGCTCTCCCCCATCCCACAAGACACCCACTCTATTCCTTGAGGGGACCTGCTCATTCCATCTGCTTAATTTCTATTAAAAGCATGACTGCAAAAATTGCAGCACATACATTAGGCTATTTAAAGTACCTGAAGTTATTTTCATCATTCCTGTTAGACCATGTTTCAAAGGAACCTAAACTGGGTTCCTGTTAAGAAAGTGTTACAGCAAGTTTTAAAACACAAAGGATACATAGCTTTTCATCATCCTGAAAGGTGAAGTAGAGTTTCACAAAAAAAGGGTGATCCAGACGGGACATTACATCTCTCTCTCGTGTCACATATGGCACCTTGTTCTCTTTTATGATATGGCGTTTTTCTAGAATTTTAACTTAATGAAAAAAAATAGAGTGAAAATAGAATAGGTACAATCAAATGAAGTCCATCTAAGTAATTTGTTTTGGGGCTTTTTGGTCTGATAAAATTATCATAAAACCACTAATTCTGTTTTTTTTCAACAGGTGTTTCGTACCAGGACTACGTTGATATTATATTTTCTAATAGTTCATGTTAAAGGAGCCAATACTTACTGGCATACTCTCTAGAACTTGCCAATTCTCGAGCCAAGACAACCTGTTGCCAGAGGAGAAAAAATATACTGTAACTGGTCATTAAAGATGTACACTAACACCAATTTTGATCTTCCAGTCGGTATTCAGAACACAACAAAATATTTAAGCATGTGTTCATATTATGCTGGCTTCAACAAGACTTCTGTGGAAATTCAGTTCAGCACAACAACGCTTGTTTTGCTAAAAGACACACTTGAGAGGGAAAACAATTATTTACTTTTTTTCCAGAAGAATTCTGAAGGTTGTAACGTAAGTCACAGTAAATCGCCAAATCTTCTTAAAGAGGGGACGAAAAGCCACAGGTTGAGGAATATTTATAAAAATCTAATTGTCACAGTACTTTCCTTAACATAAATGGCGAAGATTGAAAGATAAAATTTATCTGAGAGACCAAAAGTAAAAAGTCACACAGAACTTTTAACTACTCACAGTTTGTTAAGAAGATTTAAATAAAGGCAATGGCAGATTTCCAATTAGTAGAAGCAAGAGATGAAATTTCAGGCAAGCAGGTTTACATTTTTAAAGAGAAGATTTTGGGGGAACACAAATTAAAGCTCATTTTCAAGAAAGAACTTTATAAAAGGCAACTTTAAAGACAATCAGAAAAGTCCCCCTTGCCTGAATGCGAGCAATAATCTTGTAACAACAAATGACTAAAGTTTTCAGGCTTTCCCATTGTAAGTTTATATCCATAGCTATTATGCTATCACAATTATATTAGAGAGCAATGTTGACTGAAAATCCAAGCATGAAGACATTAGGATACAATGGAACTTTTTATGAATTTAGAAGGTGCTTGGAAAAAATCAGCACCCATATTTAGTGCAACACTATTTTAATAGTTCAGCTTAAAACCGCTATGTCCCATTCATTTATTCTTCAAGCTGTTCTTTCCAGGTTTAAATCTCATCAATCTTACACACACAACAAATTTTGAAGTTTATCTAAGATATTTGGCACCTCTTATAAAAAGCAAAGTTACCGTTGAGAAAGATCCTTCACCCAGAATTTTCCCAAATTTGAAGTCATCAGGTCGTTTCTTTCGAGGCTGTGGAGGCTGCTGTCCCGTATGTTGCTGCAAGGAGCTGGAATTAGATCTTGATTCAGGTGCCGTGCTTTCCATGTTAGATCCCTGTCTGCTGCCACAGGGAGAAATGACAGATGGAGTGCTGGAATCTGCTTCGTTCCTCACCATTGATGGGGATGAGCAGGAGCATAACACCACACTTGACTGGATTGGAACAGCATCATACTGAAAAGAGAAATGAAACTGTTATTCCCATACCTGGTGCAACAGCACTTTATTTCCATACAAGAATCACATAAAGTCTTCTTTGTAAGAGTTATCATTAGAAGTTTCTTTAGGAGAGAATGTCAGTATTTATTTTGGCAGCTCCAATTTGTTAAACAACTCTGTTTAGGTCAGGCTGTCACACAGCCATAAGTCAAATGTCTGAATATTTAATTAGTGTTTTTTTCAAACTCAAAAAAAAGCTCCCTAACACCAAGTTACCAAATTTCACAGTATATTCTCCTACAAATAACATGATCTTTAAACTTCTAGTTATACAATGAATATCTGTTTTACTAGTAACATTAGTTCAGAAATCCAAGTTACAATGAACTGTAAATGAACACATGAAAACTTTATTGGAGACAAAGGACACATTCTTATTTTTTTACTTGGAATTTCACTGTCTTCAGTACAATTGGGGAAGGACAAGAAGAAAAGAGATAACATACAAAAGGCGGATCAGCTGGAGGGTTTAATAATCAGCAATATCTAATACTTTTTTTTTGAAGAATGCTCTGGTTCATGACCTTTTAAAACAAGGGAGATTATATTATTCAAATTGTACCTATGGTCACATAAAGACAACCCAACTGCAAAACAAAGAACCAGACATTGCCCAGAAAAAAGTACAAGAAACACACTCCTAAAACTGATTCATGCAATATACAAAGCAAATCATCATTTGGTACCCTTTCATCAATTTTCCCTAAGTAAGACCAAGGAATCTTGTCAAGCTGCTTTCCATCTCTTTTGGTAAAACACCATTAGTCTCTCAGGACCTGCTTCAGATGTTTTACGTGAAACTGGCCAGAAAATGTAAACAACAGGAGAGCTCTGCTAAACTTCTGCTGACAACAAAAACTTAAAGGGTACCTAAACACATAGATAAAGAGTTAGACCTTACTTTTCTTTCTACCAAAACAGGACTACAATTAAAATATGGTCCAAGTACTTAGGTATAACAATGGGACACAAGTGGAGAATGAACTTAAGCTAGTCCATACTTGAATACGCAGAATTAGAAAGCACGAACTAGGAGAAGCAAGGTCTTAATGCCACTAGTAGGGTGCAAACATTAAGGAAAAAAAACAAAACAAACCAGTTTCAGGAGAAAAATCAAGACACTGAACTCCTGGGAAACAAAAAAATCTAATCATCTGACTAGATTAAGCTCCTGAAACCTGTGTGTTTATTAAAGAATCTGACTGTTTCAGCCATGTGGTAATACAGAAGTCTGAAAATTAGGATCACCTGCAATTCAACAGAACCCTTAGTGGATATAAGAACTACGGACTGGTGTATGTCATAAGTGCTAGACTAAAATATTATAAGAAATTCACAGACTATCATGAATATAAATCAATACAAACATGGATGCCCTATATCACCAAAGTCTGCTTAAGAAATTGCAGGATTCAGAAAGCAACATACCAACACTCTGAGATATCTATAAATTTATCTTTTCACTTACAAATGAAAACTGAGAGGCTTTCAAAACGGATATGACATGATATAGTACAAGAGAGCCCCCCTGGCTGTCGTAGTATTCCATCACATCTCTGTGACAGAATAGTCTTACATCTCTGCCAAACACAGCTCTTTGGTACAGGGACATCTTCCAAAATCTACGACCCTAAGACTTACTGTACAAACTAATAGATCTTGAAGTAAAAATGTGAATTCCTTACATTAACCTGCACAACTAAGAAGGAGTAAAAGCTTTTATGTCACATTAAGAGAAGGCAAAACGGCTTTCAGTGGACAGGTGTTTTGTTGTTTTAGAAATAAAGCTGACTTGCCACTGTTTATCAATACTGAGATTCTGCTAAAGACAGCTTAAGTTAGATAGGGTTGGCCTGAGGGGTTTTGTAAATTATTTTGACATTGTCATATAAACTAAAAGTTCTGAAATTGAAATTTATTTTGTATTGCTTGTAATTTAAACATTGACAACCTGGGACTTTAAAGGGAAAAAATTAATAGCTGGCAGTTATACTTAATATATTCTTTTCATGGCACACTAGTGTTTCAGACAGTTGACAAAGATGCAGCAACTGCATCTGACATACATCTTGTATCTGAAAAAGAGCATCAGAAGGGGCAATTAACAGATATTACACACAGCCTTCCCACTGGCCTCCTCCCCCCTCATATCCCACAATTAAAATGTTTACCTTCTCTATGTTCCCCAATACCTATTTGTGACAGTCTCCACTTCAAAGGCTAAAGTGCAACACACCCTGGGAGTTCCAGCATATTCCAAAATTGAAAAGCAACTCAGCAGGTCAGATACCAAGGCCTGAATATATGTCCTCAGACTATGCCTCTTAGTACTTAAAATGAGAATGCAGGCAAAAGCAGTGTAGTTCAGCTACAAGAAACTTAAGATACAAAGAAACACTGATTCAGAATAAGAAGATCCAACTAAAAGCCTCGCCTTTCAGTGCAAAGAGCACAGTACAGGTTGCACTTCCCAATATATACCAATCCCACACAGGAGTGGTTTGCAGAAACTGTAATGACTATTGTGTGATCCCTATCAATATTTAACACCAGTTTTCCTTTCGTAAACTGTGAGTATGCCAGAGAGAGTGCCCTGAATGAACTCAAGCCAGAGCAACATTAGATAGTGTGCTCTCATAAACTGCAGCAAACATCAATTCTCAGACCTTACATGCTCATGTCTATTTCTGCTCTGGACTTCTGCCTAAAAACGGATTGTCAGACTTTCCCTAAGTGACCAACAGCATCCTCTTTCTGTTAACCAATTGTACGTCTGTGCATAGAGAAACAATATACTGAATAATTTATCAAACTCCATTGCATGCCAGTTTCCATTTATATATGCTTGAAGTCTGTCAGATAGTTTAAAGAAATTTAACAATACAACTATCTGCCAACATTATTATTACCTCTAAGGAATGAAGATACTTGCCTAAAGAGAAAAAACATTAATTAAAAAGTGTCATTAGATGCTGTCACTGTCTTGTCAATATAACCTAAAATCAAGCATGTAATGGATGGAACAAAACATAGATTAAACCAAGCCTCAGCAGTACTTCTGAATGCACCACACAGCTAGTAAATTGTGGTTAACCTAACAAGTTAACCTAACAAGTTAACTTTGACACTCTAGTACATACAGCCACATTAAATTAAATTAAAATATCATAGTAACTTGGAGGTATTTACAAACATGTATTTTGCTCAGTTTCAGCTTGACAGAAGTTCAACAGGATTTCTAAGAGCAAACACTCCTCTCCAAAAAAAAAAAAAAAAAAGGCATTTATTAAAAACTATACTATGTTACAAAGATATTTTCCTGAGACAACAGGATGTTCTTTTCTACAGAAAAGTTCTTTGAAGATCAGAATAAACCATTTTCTTCAAATTGCAGCAAACAAGCTCTACTCCGAGTATTAATTGTAGATATTTAAATAGCATTAACATCAAACATTAGTCTCCTCTAGCACGGTGGTTTGCATTTATGTTGCATAGAGCTGCATCAGCACTCCTTCAAACCTCATCATCGAATGGTATGCAAAGATGACTGCAGAGAACTTAGAATTTAGCTCATAACCCAACAAACTGCCCATCAATTCCACACATCTTGAAGAAACTGACCATTAGTCAGCAAAACAGTCCAAAGCCAAACAATTTGTCAAAATCTATACTTTGATCAAGGTTCATAAATGGTTACCAATTACTACATTTAAATGAACAGATTAGAATCTCATATTTCAATTATAAAAACTATTTTAACACAAATTTGTTTTGCAAAAGAATCTGAAGTCATACATCTATCTGGTGTGACATTTTTCGATCTCAGAAGTTGCCACATGAAAAACTGTTGCTTAATAGACCATTTTTATGAATAAACCATGTAAATTTCAAAAGCATTCAGCTATATAAAAGGAGGATTTTTTGTTGTTGTTTAAACAGAATGCTATGCTAACTGATTAAACAAGTCTAGGAGCCGACCCACCAAAACAACTATGCTCACCTTCATGCCCACTGTTATTTGAAGTTTCTCAAATGCTGGACGGTAAGCACTCATTGAAGCACTGCATAAAACTGTCCCCTCAAAAAATCTCTTAACAAAATATCTTCATAGAAATAACCATAATTTAAAAGACAAGAAGAGATCTTTAAAAATCATGTCTTGGTAATACATTCCACTATTAAACGTTATATGAATATATACGGAAAAAATATATAGGGAAAAACTTGGAACAGATAATTCTTCAAAGACGCTATTTTACCTAAAATGGCTGGCACCTTTGTGATAGTGGGAAATAGAAGTACTGTTTGTCTACTGATGTTCTTTGCTTTGTGCAGTAAATCCATAACACAGTTCATACATAAGTGAGTAATGAGGATATCAGCTTCATGTTATATCAGCAAAAATATAGCAATTGGGCTCAATGATTTGGAAGCAAAGAGAACACCTCTGCATTATGAGACTGTTTTGACTCTTCATTTAGGGAATAAAGATATTTTTTCTACAAGACCGATTTTGTTTCTATAGAAATTAATTTTTCACATACAGAGCAATGCTGATCCAAGATTTTAGTTAATGTAAATGCCTTTCTCTAAATTTGACCACCTTACATACAGTGGCATTTCCTGCCACTAATTTCCAGGCTTCTAATTCCAAATTCAGGTAGGGATTAAAGCTAATGAAAGGATTTGTAAGAACCTGCATATCAGCCAGTTACACTCTAACCTCCTCTACTGCTAGGCAAAGCACTTAAGTTCCAAGCACCTTCAGGGACAGAGACTATTTAAGGCCTCCTTTCACCGCCTTGAGCCTCAAAACAAATCAGAAACAGGAAACCACAAAAATCTCCAAGTCCGCCTATGGCCCAAATAAAAAAAAAAAATCTAAAGTCAGTCTATGGCCCAAGTAGCTATAATGTAAACAAGCCATTGAGAATTCATCTCACATAAAACAGATCTAGGCTAGCTCACAAGAAAACAAAAGCCATCTGTGATCACAGTGGTCTATAGATCCCAGGCTACACCAGCAGCTACTCCTGAGGCACAAGGATGTTCAGGTGCTGCACAGCAGGGATGGGGCCCACTAACACACAGAAGGACTTCCAATGCCAGGCTCCTCGCCAGCAGCTTGAGGAGGCAAAGAGAACGGTTTGGTGTGAAGAACAGAGAAGAAGCCACACAGAAGTGGTAGTATATAGACAGAGTCTATAAAGGATCCACAGCACAGTCAAAAACTGTAAATTAAATTTCTGCAGGATTACTCAAGAACCAAACACCAAATTTAATACTTTCTTTTCAGAAGAACGCGCTACGCAAGTTAATCCTTGTAATTTTTCACCATAAAGAACTATAAAGTATTTGCCAGGTGAAGTATCTACAGCTTGTTCTTTAAAGCAGAAAGCAACTCTCACGTTCAGTATTTAGTCACACAGCAGAACAGTTATTTCCTCCAGCGCTGTTGAATAGAATCCATAAGATGTTAAAAATAAGGTTCTAGACCAAACAGCTAACTGTGTGCATGTTGTGTTCAGTCCTTTCAAACACTTTAGACTGTGGTAACTTTCCACAAGCTTAACTGCAAGTAAGATGTCAGAAAGGGAAGTGAGGAGGGAGGACAATCAGCTCCTTCCCCTTTTTTGCTTCTTTATTACATACACATAATCTAACTTGGCCACTTGCAAAGAAAGATTTTCTTATTTGAAATACAGGAAACAGTGATTCCTTGGCTTCAGACATATTCTTCAGAAAGCTCCAATACGAGGAACTTGGAAAAGGATTTTATCTTTCAAACATACTGTAAGTTCACTTGCATATTTTCTGATGCCAGAGATGTGCTAGTTCTACAGCAATCCCTACAGTTTTTCTAGAGAAAAAATAACTATATAAAATACAAGTTTATTGTTAAAAAACAAGGGTTACTAAAATATTTCACATCTTCATAGATCAAACTTATTTTTATTACTTTGCCGGTTTACTACATTTTTCAGTCCAACAAAGTGATTGTGCCCCTGGTTTCATGCCTTCTGTACAAAAATTCCTGCAAGAATTTCAATAGTCAGCATCTCTTTCCAAGTTTTTCCTGCACTGCTGCTTTCCAGCTGATCTGCTTTAGGGAAGTGCAATGAGCCCAAGACTGCTGGGTGTCTTACAATGGCAAGCTACAGCAATCTAATTATTGAGTTTCAAGAGCTACAAGAAACAGACATTACTTCTGGTACTGTAAGTAATGGATCAATAACCCAAAAAACAATTTGCTTTAAAGTAAACAGGCTACCTCCACAGTGGAATCATTGTTTAATTGAACATTGCTATTATACCCAGATTATTCCGTGGATCATCTCCTTTCTAAGGGCTACAAGCACTTCTTACATTGGAAATATGAATGTATATAAAACTGCTCCTCTTAAAACTTTCAGTTTTTCAACCTTTGAGTACCTCTTCAACATCCACATCTTTTACTATTTTTTATTCCTGCAGCCTGCTCTGGTAAGGGATTTACAGAAAAATTATCCCAATTAAAAGCCTACACATGAGTGATAAGCACTAATCATAGCTTTATGCTGAAAACTCAAGAGAAGAGAATATTAAGTAGATAGGTATGTAGGGAAAACCTCTCAAGCCTATCTGGAAATTTTACAGCTACAAATAACTACAAACATAACTCTTAATATAGCCTAATCTAATTCTTATCATAGATGCAGAATTTACTCTATTGAGAATCCAGTTACTTAAAAAGTGTAGTTCATGTTAGTTCCACTGGAAAAAAAAAAAAAGGCAGCTAGCAGTTTTGTTTGGACAGATCCATGACTACACTATAGGTTTTATCAAGTCAGAAACACTGGTAGAATCTAATAATTGCTAGAGCAGCTAAACATTCCAGTGAAGATGTGCTGCAAAAGAAGACATAAATTACCATACTCCCAGACTCTTCATTTTGAGAGAAAGGGCACTTCTTGATTTGACACCCAATATATTTACAATGAAGGCATTAACAGCAAAAACTAAGACCACACTGACCTCTGCAACTAAAGCAGCACTAAAATTTTTTCCCTCTTAAAAGTACAATTCCCTCCTTTTTTACCATGTCTTCAAAAAATAGTAGAATGTTTTTGGAATTGTTCTCACATATGAAAATATAGAAATTAACTGGTTTGGCGGACAATTGCTGGAATATTCCTTTCAAAGCTGCATTCTATTCCCCTCCCTCCCATTCCATCTTATGCATTTACAATAAAATAATCACAGAACTCCATCACGCAAATCATTAACTCGATCACACAAACATTAACAGTAACTTGCTCAGAGCCTCAGAAATACCGCATTTCCCATATGTGATATCACCTGCATTAAAAAAACAGCTGAATCGAGCCACCTCTATCTGGTGCTGCCTGTCAGTACACTCACCTGACCAGAGAAATATTAAACAGAATGGAAGAGAAGGAATTAAAGAAATTACCCTGAAAAAAATCTCTTAATTTTTACAAAAATAGTTGTCAACTTTGTTCTTAATTTCCCCCCCCCCTGCACGTTTCTCTTATGGGCAGGGACTTAAACTGTATCTAGAAAAGGAACAGAAATGCAAGTACTTTGGAGAGAAAAACCTCAAAAGACAGGCAATAAGCAAGGGCAGAAGCACAAAGGGAAGCATACTCCTTGTTTAAAAGAGTCCAAGTAAGCAGAAATAATTTCTGATGCTAAGAAACAGCTATATAGAGCTCCATCAAATAGCAAAATTAATGCCTTTAATAACCAAACATTGGTTTGTTTCATAGTCCTTGATGCAGCATCTCATGAGCTCTGTAGGGTTACTCCATGCAATATTTCCATTCTTCAGTCAACAAATATGATTATGTGCAACACCCGAAGGAAAAAAAATCACTGAGCATGAAGAGGACAGCACAGTGAAACAGGATGTCAACAATCACCACGGCTATGCCAGTGTGCACACAGAAGAGTGCTGCAGAGTGGAGCTTGGCAGCTTGGAACTGACAGAAACAACACATGACCTAAAAGCACAGCAGCACGCACACAAGGATAAGGAACACAGCACTGCCGGTTAAGTTACACCAACATCAGTGAAAGCTGGGGGTTATTTTTCTTTCCACGAGTGAAGGCCTACACAAAGTAAACTGTACAACCTACAGCGTGAATTAAGATTTACCATTACCACACCTGCGTACCGGCTACAACTCCATCTTATATTAGTGTACACAAAATGTCACAGCTTTACAGTGTCAGACTAACGTAAACAACTGCGTGTGAAACGGCGTCCTACTGTGACCCTCACGATCTTCCTCACGCGTTTGTTCCCACTACAAATGAACTCGATTGCAGAGTAACAGCTGCCTCCCCCAGGGTAACAGCCCCGGCTCTCCCCGTGGGAGACGGCCCGGCAAAGCTCCGCCAACGGCCCGTACCCGGAACCGGCAACGGAGCTCCGCGAGAGGCCGCGGGGCGGCCCCTACACTCTCGGCCAAGGCCTCGCCTCCTCCCGGGGAAGGACCGAGCTCGGGCGGGGAGCGGGGCCCTCACGCAAGGCCCGCGGCGACCCAGGAGCGGGGGGCGGAAGGAGGACTGGGAGCAGCAACGCCGAGACCGGCCCCACAGAGGGCAGCGCCCGCCCGCCTTGCTCCAACAGCCGCAGGCGGCGCGGCAGCCAGCGAAACTCCACCGCGCCCCGCCGCCAGCAGAGCGCCGGGCACGGGCGGCCACCGCTCACGGGCCGGCCCCGGCGCCTGGGCCTACTTATTCCGCAAGCACCCCGCGGGCCGCGGCCCCGGGCGGACTCACCAGGGGGCTGCCGGTGCAGGCCATGGCCCGCCCGGCCTGCGGGCCGCCCCCCGCGCCCGGACTCACCAGGGGGCTGCCGGTGCTGGCCATGGCCTGCCCGGCCCGGGGTCGCTCCCCGCCCGTTCCGCGCCCGGCGCTCGGCCCAGCCCGAGCCAAAGGGGCACCCGCGTCCCCCGCCCGTGACGTCACCACAACAATCCCCCCCGCGGGCGGGACTTCCGCGCGCCCCGCGCGCTCACTGGAGGCCGCAGCTGCTGCTCACGCGCGGGCCGGGACAGGGCGGCCCCGGCAGCCTCCGCGCCCGAGCCGGACCGAGCATGGGCAGTTGTAGCGGTGACGCTTCGCAGGCTGCGCTAGGTGAGGGCGGAAAAGGGCGGAGCCGCCCCTCCCTCGCGCGCTCACATCCGGATTTATGCCACGACGCCGAGGGAGGGGCGGGCAGTGACGTCACCGCATGGGCGGGGCCTCGGGAGCGCAGCCCGGGGCTGAGGTGCGTCACCGCGGCGGTTCCGGGGCGGGTGTTCGCTCTGCGAACTGGGGTTCCCTCCCGCGGCAGTTCCTACAGGCCCTTGCGTCCCGTGGCCCGCACGAGCTCGCGGGGCCCGTTAACGGCGCCCTGTCAGGCCGTGTGCGAGCGTCGCCCAGGCCTGCGCCCCCCGGACCCAGTGGGGACCCCGCCGACCACGACACTGCAGCGGACAATTGGAATTTGTCAGGGAATTCACAGAATTGTGAGGCATTACTCAAAAGGATGAGGCAGAAAAGGACAACAGCCAGCCAGCTTTCCTGTACGATAATTTTCTCATCTTTTTCTTCAGCAGATGAGTAGAACAACTGATAGTAATCTTCTAATAGGTTGGATGCGTGGGTCAGTGGAGATGTGTAGTTTATTGTTGTAACCCTACCTTCACTCATTTTCAGACTGTAGTCACATTTTAGGCCTCTCAGAGAAACTCTGCCAAGTAGCAAAAAGCTTTTGTGTAGCTTAGGCATTCATAGAATCAGCTGGGTTGGAAGGGACTTTCGAGATCATCAAGTCCAACCCTTGATCCACTACTGCTGCAGTTCCCAGACCATGGCACTCAGTGCCACATCCAGTCTCTTTTTAAAAATCTCCAAGGACGGAGAATCCACTACTTCCCTGGGCAGCCCATTCCAATGTCTGACCCTCTCTGTGAAGAAGTTCTTTCTAATATCTAACCTAAACCTCCCCTGGCACAACTTGAGACCATGCCCTCTTGTCTTGCTGATCTTTGCCTGGGAAAAGAGACCAACCCCCACCTGGCTACAACCTCCTGGCAGGGAGTTGTAGAGAGTGAGGAGGTCTCCCCTGAGCCTCCTCTTCTCCAGGCTGAACAGCCCCAGCTCCCTCAGCCTCTCCTCATAGGACTTGTGTTTTGAGTGCCTTCCCCAGCCTCGTTGCCCTCCTCTGGCCCACCTCCAGCACCTCAATGTCCTTCCCGAACTGAGGGGCCCAGAACTGGGCACAGCACTTGAGGTGTGGCCTCACCAGCGCTGAGTCCAGGGGAAGAATCACTTCCTTGGACCTGCTGGCCACACTGTTCCTGATCCAGGCCAGGATGCCATTGGCCTTCTTGGCCACCTGGGCACACTGCTGGCTCATGTTCAGCTTCTTGTCAATCCAAACTCCCAGGTCCCTCTCTGTCTGGGTGCTCTCTAGCCACTCTGTCCCCAGATTAATGCTGTAACTGTGTTTGTGGCTACTGAACGCTGCTCTTCAAAGAGATCCTCCTGGTCAAAAGGCAGATTCTTTTCCATTTCATCTGGCACAATTTTTTTCTAGACAATATCACAATGGTCCACACAGCAGATTGACCAGTTGGGTTTATGTTTGTTTACGTCCGTGCATATTTTTATAAGGCTCAAAAAGTATCAGGCTCATCACAGAACTAGTAAAATGTATGGATTGCACAGAGCTAAGTTTAGAGCTGTTTCAAACATTACACAACATAGAGTTGTGAACACAAAGAAAGGAAGCAACGGAGAAGCGCAGACTTATAATAATATTACATGACAGTTCTGTCAGACTCACATGAAAATGCTGGCCACTTTGTTCTGGTTGCAGGTGATACACACAGCATGCACTTGGTAGTCCCAGGATATGAAAGGCTTCACAGGCTTGACCAGAGCCCATATTATGTCTCATTACTAGATTGTAGTTCTCTATCTTCCACTGGAAGGATACTTAGAGGCAAAACTCAGCCTTAGAATAGTTCAGAGATTCTAGAAGAAGCTTTAAAAAACATAGCTTGATCCTAATACCAGTCTCAAACATGACACACACAAAAAATGAACAGAAAACCTTAAAATAAAAACACAAAGCAAAAGGCCAGGGGGAAAAAGGAGTTTTATAGACTACTTTTGTAAAAAATTTGTAGTATTTCATTGGCTGAATGAAAATGAGGCTTTGATTGTTCCAAAGACCTAATTGTAAAGCAGAGGTATTTTGTTCTTTTTTTCTAGTGACAACAACTAACATTTATAAGTAACTCCATAAAAGCAGAAGCAGCTGAAAGTTGTTTCATCTGGAGAACCGCTGATGCTGGAATATTATTGCAGCTTTTTAACCATCAGCCTCTCATCACCTGCAGACTCAGTTGTTACAGTCTTCCTGTCCTACCCTAATGGACTCAGGCAGCATCATCTTTGACTTTTCATTTCTCTCAAGTAATTTCTGACTACATTCAATCTCTCTGTTTTCTTTTGCTTCTTTATCTCATGAAGTTTTTTTGTTCTCCCTTCCATAGCCTGACCTGCTGCTCCTTACCATATCTGAATATAATCGTTCCCACTCTGATTTTGCTAATACTCCTAGTACAGAATACCTTCTTAACTGAGCAAGATTTTATGAAACTGGTTCACTTTCTGTGCAGACAGGTTCATAAGCAAGGGCTATCAAGATCTGAGAGATTTAAGATACAATTGATCTGACAATTTCAGAAAGCATCCCTCTGATTCTGAAGATTTGAAATTTGAGACACTACATCAAACCACACCATGGGGTCTAAAAGTTTAGGATCACCAAAGTCCTTCAGGTGTGTAGCCTTGTTATATGATTTTCTTATCCTGAGGAAATTATAGCAACTCTTAACGACAGCAACAGCACATTCTTCTCTTGCCATTAGATTGAGGTATAGTAAAAGAAGCACACTTGAATACAGTTTTCACAAGTTAAAAACCACAAAGGACCATAAATGGGATAATATTTTCAGATATCAAGTAAGCCCTTTTTGCTTACAACACTGAAAACAAATCACTGCTGTTACCTCCTTTGGCTGTCATGCAAATTGGATGTGAACTTCTCCTTCTGTTCCTGTTTTTCTCACACTTGAAGACTCCTCACAACAATTCTCTGGCCTAGCATGTTTTTTGGGAAGGATGTCTCAACCTACTTTGTTAATTATAAATGAAATGTTTCTTTGCCTTGTCAAAACTATTCAGTGCTAATGGTCAGCAGAGAGACAAGGGAAGCATTCCAAAGACAGAGGAATAAATGTATGTGACTGTATATATGCATGTGCCAGCTAGTTTAGATGCATGTCTACGTATCTCACTATGCTTGCTAAAACTGTTGAGCCTATTAAATTGAGGAGATCCAACTAAGACTCCAGAAATCTGCCTGGTGGTAAATTAATTGTGTATAGTATTTTCTAGGACAGAAAGTAAATCTCTAGATATCCAGCTCAGAAAGGCTGTACCTGTTGTGCAGTTAAGACAAAGGACTTATCACCTTGGAGAGCCAGTAGGCCTGGCCTGTATTGTGATTAAGTAAGCCTCATGTGTGCTGTTCTTGCTTTTCATCTTTCTCCATTAGATCAGCCCAGCCACTTAACCTTGAGGTAAATTTTTGTTAAAATCAAAGCAGTACATGAGGCTTAGTTATTGCAAAATAAAAAGTTAGAGCCTTTCACAATAATAAAGATCAAGGTCCACTGTCTGATGATCTTTAAATAGAGCAATTACAAATTCTGATCAAATCAGGAACCAGTTGAAGTCATCAATGCATTAAGAAGCAAAATTACCCTCTTTAGCGAAAATCGTTTATTGTGATTTTATGAAGAATTATGCATAGCTTTAAAAAATTATGGAGTTTAAATCATGGTTCATCACATTGCAAATATTGCTGCTTCCAAGAGGCACACAATTCCAATAGCTCTTCCTGAGGAAAAACAGCGGGTCTGCTGCTGCCTCCTTAGACCGGCGGTTACTGGACCTCTGCTGGCAGGAGGTTAATTCAGGGAAGGGCATGGTAATGTATCTCTGAGACAACAGATCTTGCTGGAGTTGGGCTTTGCCATGCCTGTAGGGGTAGTATTTGCTAGCCAGAGGACTTGGTCACAATCTTCTTCTGAAGTACAGGAATTGAAGATTTATTTTAAAATTATACAAGTTTGCAATTGTCTGCACAGTCACCATTTAAGCCACTTAGGAAGACAATGTTGGGAGGTGAGAGAAGAGCACCAGAATCTTTGTAGGCAGTATTCCTCAGGGAAGGTCACTGATCATTCTGATGTTTGACAAGACTATTGCCATCGGAGAGCTTCAGTGGTTCAGCAGGAATCAGACCTCCTGTGGTATCATTGTCACACAAGGTACAATAGTCACTGCCACTGAAGGACACATCTTCTATCTCCAAAGATTCCTGAAGCATAAGAAAGTCACCCTTTCCATGCTGTGAATGAGAGGAATAATTCCTTCCCATGCTAGGGCTCTCAGAATTGTCTTTAATTATTTCAGAGATTTTCAGGCCAACTGTGTCATCAGCATGGTTCGGTGCAAACAATAGTCCTGGCCTCACTTCTATCTCTTCAGCTCTTATATACCTACTGGGGACATATTGCTGGCTTGGACCTGGGGCAAATACAAAGTTTTCTTCTGCAGCAACCAGATTTGTGCTTTCCTGAGGTTTCCAGGAGATCTGGGAAATCAGTTCCTGGGTGTTTAGATCAGAAACTCTATCTGCAGTCACTTTGCTTGAGTTGCTGGCCTCTTCTCTTCCAAATTGGCTACAAACCTCATTAGGTCCAACCCAGTCCTAGTGAAAGGATCAATAAGTTTGGGTCATTTTTCATAGTTATTCCAAAATATTCTGTGTATATGGCTTTGGCACAATAATCCAGAGGTTTAGTGCAAATATAACAGGCCAAGTTAGAGTAATAGGGTAGACAATCTAGCTGCTAATTTCACAAAGCTTTACAAGAAATTTTACAAGATTTCACCTCCAGAATATAATGCAAGCTACTTGTATTGCTTTGGCTTTGAAAGGACAGGGTGCACCTTTTAGATTCAGCCAGAGTTCAAAGTGACTAGAGGGGTTCTATTTCTAAGGAGTGAGAAGTTGGACAGGAGCTCTGCTGGTCAGCTAGTATGTGGAGACAAGAAACTGAGAAACTGTAAACTCTCAGGAAGAGCAGAACCACCTGTCAGTAACTCTGCTCAGGAGCTAGAATGATTAATCCCAGAAAAAAAAATCCTCCCATCATGAACTGAGGATCATAAGAAAGGAATTAAACTTATTTCTTACCTTGAAATTCCCATTGTGCAAACTGTAGAGTGGCTGAAAGAAAGCAGCTGGCGTGGGAATGTTAAAGCAGGTGAGACTTTTTGCCCTAAAGTGAGAAAACAACTCTTAAAAAACCCAGAAAATTTTTCTGTATTCTGTCTCCATGATACTGATTGGATGCAACCTCCACACTTACCATGATTTCTGACATCTCATGCAATCGTTTGTCTGCTACCTATGCATGCATTTAATGTTTTTAGCCTGAAGCAGTCTTAAAAGTTTCTTAGGAATATCCAAAAAGTTATTACTGGTCTATTACCCGTTATATGCACCAAGCTATTGAAACATCTGTTTTTCAACTTCCTTGATCTAAACCACTGTTTCTGGAAGTGTTTTAGAGAATTCTAGCTTCATTATATTTAGACAGAGAAATTCTGCCAGACATTCTTGCCCATTTATTAGAGTCTATCCTGTAAAATACTTTATCACATTTTGTCAAGTATTCTGTTTCTCTAAGAATGATGTGTGTATGGAGCATAATAATGTATGTCAAGGCAGAAAAAAAAAAGAGGTAAGAGATTTACTTTTGCTCTGACAGCATAAAAATGGCAGAAGATGGTTGAACCAAGGTTCTAAACCACTTTGTAAACTTGATCTCAACAGAATCTGAGTCAGTCTAGCTTGCCTATACTGGTATTTTACATACCAACTGCTGCCAGGTATGTCACGAGTAGCTTAACATTGACATCAGTTTAACCATCTTTATGGATTGCTAGGTACTTGCACTTTTAATTTATCTACATGAAGCTTAACAAGAAATTTCCGTGGCTTTAAATTTCTTTAACTCCAAGAGACCCTCATCCTTGAGTTTCAGCTGAGTTTGGGAGTCACAAGGGTACTTTGGTCTCCTTAAGGACTGTATAGTGGGTCATTAACTATCATCAGCCAAGGAATATGTCATGTCCCATGACTGTCAAAAGAGGTTTTGACAATGACTGAGCCTGTGCAGGAGAAACAGGAAGGAAAAGGGATATAACAACTCTTGATTTATCCTCTTCAGGCCATAAAGATCAAGGGGAACTTAATGAAAAACTATCACATACCTTGAAGAAAGTTTGCAGTTCCAGAATAAATAGAGTAGAGTGCCCAAACTCAGAGGAATAAACAAGAGCTGCATAGTGGTATTTAAGATCTTCTCAGACAGTTTTGGTACATCTAGGAAAACAATCAGCACAAAAATTTTTAGCAAAAGTCTAGAAGTCAAGATAGAACTCCAAATAACCAAGCAATCCAAATGAAACAGGCTGCTAAAGTCCTCAAGGAAAGGAACTTGGCTATGAATACTTGAAGAAAGCTAGTTCTGTTTTGTAAAGCTCCATTTTTCCACATATCTTCCTTTTTTTTGGAACATGGACATGAAATGAATTAAGATGAAAACAACATTCTTTGTACCTGCTCTTTGAAACACCGTTGTCTGGCTCCACTCACTCCACTGACTGTGGTAGGAATTCTCATTTTCAGAAACTTTGCAGCGAACTCTTGCAATGTAAGCAATGCCACTGCGAAGCTCTGTTGCTTCAATTTCTATCTGTGGCAGTGAACTGGATGGTGTCTTGTTCAATGCAATCTGAAAAGTATTGCAAAGCATTTCTGTTAACAAGGCTGGGCAAAGGGATGGTCTTTTAAATACTCTTTTTTGTTGTTTTTTTTTTTTTTCCCTTTTCCAAATTCTCTTTTCTTAGATGCAAGAAGAGGACCTGCATGAGGATGGGTGACTTATGAATGTAGGGGTCATGAGAAGAGTTATTGATCTCCAGAACTGATTTATATAAAATCTTTCAGACTTCATATGGGAAACCAGAAAGGCCAGATTAAAAGAGTCAGCTGGCAGAGAGCCCTGAGCTGATTAGCAAGGCTGTTATGCCCAAAGAGCAAGGCAGCATCACTGCGTGTCTCATCCATTACCTCCCAGGACATGCTGTACTCCTTATACTGCAATTCATATTGGAGAATTTCAACGAGGTACCAAGGCACATTCCACACACTCCACCATATCTGACACTTGCTGGCAGTGGCATTGCTCTGGAGGTTCAAAGGTGGATCAAGTTTTACTGTAAATAGAGGAGGCAGGTTTTTTCACAATATTTGGAACATCACAAAAGGAGATGCGTGATACCAGGCTGACTAAAGTCTTGGAAGATAAAGCTTGGTCCGAAGAGTGATACTAAGACCAGAAGTAGACCAAATTAGTTTCCAGGTTGGATCAGAGCAGCTACAGAACTGACATAAATTAACGATAACTCCAGCAGTCTCTGGGGATAATCTTGCAAGCAAAGAACCACTCTGGATGTCACATTCTGCCCTAAAAACATACCACACATATAGATACTAGATACTAGTATTTCAGATACTAGAGCATTTCTCTGAAGTACCAGGCCACGGGACATTCGATTAAATCCGTGACTTTGATTTCTCATTACATAATTTCTCAGGAAAAAGTAAAACAACAAAACAAACAATTGTGGCAATCTAATTGTAAATTATCTATGGCACAAGAAAACATGATGCAAGTGCGAAGTCTTCTTGAAAGATGCTCCAGAGCCAGCCCTCTCTAAAGTCCTAGAAAAGTCAGAATGGAGAGACTCAGGGACTGCATCCTCACTGGAACAGTCCACACAGCACACTCTCCAGGAATGGACAGTCTGGCTTGTTTTCATTGTTTCCACTTGCTGTCTTTGAGACACCCTTTGTTAGAGAGCATATCAGACCTACCCCAAAGCTGCTGGGCAGAGCCACAGCTCATGACTGCCCTTGTTCATACTTACTGTGCTTGCGGGGATTGTACACTGGAAAGGTAATGTATTTGTGATTACGTCCAAAGAAGTGTCCTTGGAGAGAGACTCTATAACCATCTGTTTCCAAGATCTGGCTGGCTAAATGAATTGTGCAGTGGTACTGATTCTGCATGCTCTCTGTGGCAGTCAGTTTGCAGCTGGCGTTGTGGCCCTTTGACCAGAGGCTAGAAGAATAAAAAGGCTGAAAGTTTCTTTGAAGGCATACAATTAAGTGTTTTTTCAGTTTATGAAGAACATGTGGCAGCTTAGCACACCACCACACTCTGGAAGACCATGAACCTCTTTAGTGCAGAGAGCACAGAAAGCAATCCTAAAGCTGGCTGGATGGCAGGGCTGAATAGGGAGGAAGGAGATGCCTTCATAACCTCTCTGCTGAAAGCACCAGACCTTCAAGGAGCTGCATACAGAGCCCAATATCTGCCCTCTCTGAAAGTGAGAGGGCTGCATGTCATTGCCAGGAAAGCAGCTGGGTAGGGGGGAAGAAGTTAGTTACAACTGCACAGCACAGAAGCAATGAGCTGTACATTAAGGCCTCTTTTGCTAGGAACAAACATCAGTACTGACAGCAAAACATGCTGGAAGTTGGTTTGCTGTTTTGTGGTGTAGCCATTTATTAGCAAATTTTTCACGTTGCATGTGATCCCACAAGAAACAGGGATATCACAGTTTATCAGCTTGGCAGTTCTTCATAGATCTAAACCCCAGTGTTATTTAGAGCTAGGCTATTTTTGACTTAACCCTACCAGAATATGAGGCATCTAATGTCAGCATGGCTTACCCTCATGTAATAGTTACTGGTGGTCAAGACAGTGTTATTGCATAATCTAAACACATTCATCTCAAATTATCCTGTCACATAGCAAACTATTCACCCTATTGTTTCCATTAGAGAAAACACTATTCAGATAATATTCTAAATCACAGAATTGACCAGGTTGGAAAAGACCTCTGAGATCATCAAGTCCAACCCTTGGTCTAACACAGCTGTGGTTCCCAGCCCATGGCACTGATGCCACATCCAGTCTCATCTGAAAAGCCTCCAGGGACGGTGAATCCACCACCTCCCTGGGCAGCCCATTCCAATGTCTGATTACTCTCTCTGTAAAAAATTTTTTCCTGATATTCAACCTAAACCTCCCCTGGCACAGCTGAAGACCGAGCCCTCTTGTCCTACTGCTGGTTCCTGGGAGAAGAGCCCAACCCCCACCTGGCTACAACCTCCTGGCAGGGAGTTGATAGAGAGTGATGAGGTCTCCTCTGAGCTTCCTCTTCTCCAGGCTAAACAACCCCAGCTCCCTCAGCCTCTCCTCACAGGACTTGTGCTCGAGTCCCTTCCCCGGCCTCGTTGCTCTTCTCTGGACCTGCTCCAGCCCCTCCATGTCCTTCCCGAACTGAGGGGCCCAGAAACTGGACACAGCACTGCAGGGGTGGCCTCACCAGCACTGAATAAATCTGTTATTAAATCTTATAACTCACTGGACTTGTATATATATATATATACTAACTAATAGATTAAACCACTAGTGGTTTAATTTCTAGGCAAAAAGACAAGAAATTATTAGAAGTTGATTTAGGGAGCTTCATGGACGATGGGCTCTGGAAGTTCCCAGATCACAGAGACTGAAGGCCAGGAAGGAAAGGCTCCCTATGCTGAGGCATCTGCCAGAACAGTTCACTGGGTGGATAGCCAGAGCTGGCAGGAGAACGTGCAGCTGTGTGCACTGTACCTCAGCTGCCCCAGCTGAGGCTGTGGGCCCACAAAAGGGAGCAGCTTCCAAGGTAGCCCAGGTCTGGGGTGATGGGGTGGCAAAGGTAGCTGTGCCACAGGTCTCCTCCTGCTGTGGAGGGAGCAAAGCCCACAGCTGGACCCCATCTCTGCCATCCTGCCCATGCCAGGGCTGGGGCTGCCACAGGCAGCACTCGGTATGTGGCTCTTACTTGGTGAAATGCAGGTGGAAAGGTCCATCGCCCACGGGCTTCTCCGTCGCCCACGTGCAGTTCACGGTAGTTATGTAGTTATTCAGGCAGCTCAGGCTGCCACAGAGCTCTGCAGAGGAAGGAGACCAGAGCTGGATTCATGTATCACTGGATGAGGCCTTGCTCAGTACATCAAATAAATGCATTACTTGCTAGTACTTCCTTTACTGACACTGCATCTAATCTTCCCCATCATGTTCTTCCTCTCTTGTACCACACTTCACTGCATGAGATGAGTGTAAGATCTTAAGGCAGGGACCTTGGGCAGTAGCTACACTTTTTCTGCTGCCCAGCTTATCCAGTATGTGCTCAGTTCCCTAGGCTTGGCATTACCAGCCAGCTGTACCGGTTCCTGGGACCTAGGAAAGGGCAGGATCTTGGGTTGCATATTTAAGAGTCTGTGAATGAAAAATAAGCACAGGTATGTGCCTGTTTTCCTACGGTGAACCTATTCCGGATCTCCTCTTACCTCTCCCTCTTCCTCCACCAAAGAGCAGCACAGCAGTAATACACAGCCAGAGGCCCAGCTGCCACACAACTCTTCCCATTCCAGATAATATCTGAAACAGAACAATTTTTAGGAGCAGTTTTGTCAGTATTTGTACCAGCAGGTTGAAGCTTTACCTACTTGCTTCTGCAAGTGTGATGCAAGCTTATCTTGAATCTCTCAGGGCACCAGCTCAGCTATATGATTTCTTCTATAGGAACTGGTCTTCTCATGGCAGTAAATAATACTTTGTACAGGAATCTAAAGCACGAGCTGCATTAAAGGAAATCTTTAATTCCTGCAATTTGATCAAGGGTGGGTGAAAGGGTGGGTGTTTCATCTTTCCTTCTTCCTGCATTTTTGGCATCTGGTTTATGACAATTTAAGAGCAGCAGAGAGCCACAGTGGGTTGGAAAAAAATGTTCACGTTTCCCTGTATCTCATTTCTGACAGCAACCGAAACCAGATGCTTAGAGAAAATCATAGCAATAGAGCATAGATATTCTTCTCTGAAAACATTCTCGGCCTCCAGACATTTGCAGCTCAGGGGCCTCCTGGAGCAGACGTAATTTCTGCATATTCAGAAAAGAGAAACAGAGAATAACTGATATGCTCCTGGTCAAAGCATTCATTGAGAGATGTAGAATACTTAGGACCTAGTCATTACCCCAGTTCACAGAAGGGTTGTATAAGGATGTTTGAAGTGTGTCTTCTGCAATATGGAACACTACCTCTGTACAGTGTTAAGCTGGACTCACTCTTTTTTTTTTTTTTTTAATTAGAAATTCCGTTCTGTGAATTCTCTCCTGAGTTTTAATTTAAAATTATACTTTTTCACTGAAAGCTTCTGATTTGGTATTCTTATGGCAAAGTTTAATACGAAGAATATGGACCTGATCTACTCAGCAATACATGGTGTTTTTAAAAGATGTTTTCAGTTTGCAATACTTGCTGTTACCTGAACACAGCAAATGAGCCCAGCACTGCTGCGAGGAGTGTGATGCTCCAAGGAGCCTGAAACCCAGAAAACATGGAGTGAGTTTGTAGACAGAGACCACTAATAAACAAAAACAGTTTCTTGAAAAATTAAAAGAATTTTGGAGGAACACTGTTTGCACTGCTTGCCTAGCACGTACACTGAACTGAGTTCTAGGGCTGGGCTAACGTAAAGGTCTGAGAATTTTCTGTCTTAGAAGAGCTTGGGTTAGTTATTATTAAAAAAAAAACAAAAACAAAAAACCCAAACCAACAACTATCAACCAAAATTTGCCAGAGATTATGATCTCTCTTTCAGGACAAGCTGGGGAAAAGGGAGAGAGTGTCAGGATAGGAGAAACACTAAGTACAGCATTAGCACAGGACCAAACAGATACAGCCTGGCTATAGAATAAGATCATGATTTCAAACCAACAAAGGATCTGAAGTAATCTAGAATAGAAGTGAGCGAGAAAAAGCCTATGCTTAGCAAGGATTGTGATATTTAAATCATTAGGATTGTTTTACTGAAGGGATTAAGTGATCTGATGGCTACAACAGCAGGAACTGGACTCCATGACCAAGAGTATCCTTCCAGTCATGAATTTCACAAAGCTATACAGCAGCATCCAAATAAAACTTCTTGCCTGTGATCATGCCTGCTTATGGTGTCCCTTTTGTGAATCGAATAGTAAAATAATTACAATGTTTCAGAAACTTATCAAGAGAAAAGGAATCTTTCTGGCTACCACTCCCCCACCTCTTCATTTATGGGTTTTTGGTAAGCACTCTGTTTTGCTGCAGACCTTCTTCAGAGTGGGGGTTGTCAAGAGGAAGTGTCACCAGTAGCTGATTTTAGCTGCAGGAGGCTGGGAGGCATGAAGCCTCTCCTGCTTATCATTCTAATCAGGGTTGCGTGTGATCCCTGAGATAAATACAGTCATAGTGACTAAATATGATATAGACAGAGCTGCATTAAGTAGAATTATACATGTGCTTACAAGAACTTGTTCAGGCACACAAACAAATAAACAAACATAGGTCAAGATAAGTAAACCAGGACAGAATGTTTCCAGGTAATTGCTATTAATTTTATAAACTCCCCCCAACCCACGTAAGAAGTTCTTTGTTCAGTTCTTCAGCGTTCAAAATGTGTCAGACATTTCTGGCTCTCTAGCCCACCTGGAAACAAATACAGCATGTTTAAATGCAAATTTTTGCATTAGAAGCCATGAATGTTAGTCGTAAGTAGGTCACGTAACACTGAATTCTGAAAGGCTTATCAGAAAATTATTTCAGGAAATAGCACATAACCAGATGAACAAGATTCTGCAGTACATTAATGCAATTAGAGGAGCTAACACACAGACTGTGGATGCATATGAGTTAAAAGAAATGTTATTGTAGCTACATGTAATATTGAATAATTTCTTCTGTTGGGATCCATACTTTAGACAAAGAGATGCCGTCAATATAAAAATGGTTCTGGAAAGGGCTATAGGAATGATATGATCTTGGATAACTTTCCTCAGAAATCAACCATTAAAGACCAACCAAATCTCTTTAACTTAACCAAAGGAAACACTAAGTAGTAATTTCACACCAGCCATAAGTATCTTACATGGGAAGGTGATTTCACATAGGAGAAAAATCTTTTCTTTTTTTTTTTAAATCTCCTAGAGACAGATGGAAAGAATGCACTTGTTAGACACTGAAGGTAGATACAATTAGACAGAAATAAAGTGTAGAATTTGTACAAAAGGGAACTACCTTTATTGCTGGAACCTCTTGCCTAAACATATGATGCAAGACTTGTAGTCTATAAATCTTTCTTGGGTATCTTGAAAAACAATACAAAATCCCGGTAGCTCAGATGGAAACCCAGTGCCAGCAGCCCAGGTGCTATTACAGCAGCTGCCAGCACTGGAAGACAAAGCAATTTTTTAGCCAGGTTGCCTGCTGGTTTTTCGCGTTCTAGTGCCCAGTTTCTGCCACACTGGGCAGTTGTGGGTGAAGCCAGAAAAGCCCCGTGAAAACTGGAGGAACCACCTTTACTCTGCAGGAAAGAAAGAGACCAAATGCCTGAGATGACACCCTGAAACAATACACCAGACATGCTTCCACCAGTCTGGATATTAGCTCAGCACCAGGAGCTGAGTAGTGACCTTGAGTTCCTAGGTAGTCTCAAGCTGTTGCAATGGTGTTTCCACCATCCTTTCTGCATGTTTCCAGGGCCGAGTTGTTCTGCCTGTTACCTGCTCAAGGAAATGAGGCCTTGCAGCCTTGCCTTTCCCCTTCCCTCCTGTAGTTCCACCAGCAGCCTCCATTTCCCAAAAGTAATTTTAAGTAATTTTGAAGCAGAGTTTGTACAGCACAGATTTTTCAAATGCTCTCAGCTGCTTACCAACAGAAAGGCACATGACTGACGGTTATTGGTAGATCTATTACTAGGAATTCATATTCACAGATTCACCTCCACATTTCAGGTCCAGCTGAACACACAATAAAAAGATTTTCTTTTAAGAATTTGTAAGGTGAAATAAATTATTTGATAGATAACACTGAGAGGGGAAGTAGAACAAGAAGGTGACAACACAGTCCCATCATGTGGGTAGCCTAGATATCATCTGGGTTTTAGCAACTCAGTAAAGCAGAGCTTTACAAGGAGACCCAAAGAATGAGGTAGCCCAGGTGAATTGCAGGCAGTACCTTCAATATATAAGCAGTAGCATAAAGGGTGATTAGGAGGAGGTGATTTAACAATCTAGTGGGAGGTGGAAGCTGACATCATTGAGTTCACTTTTTGATGGAGAAATGAGAGATGACAACAGGACAAGGAGAGGCTGTCAGTGACTTTGGAAGTCGGGACAAGAAGCTTATGAGAAAGAGAAATAGAAGAATTGTGTAGAGAAATGTAATAGGTTCAAAGGGATGGACACAAGAAAGGACCTTTGCATCTCTGACTTTTGGATGACTACAGGTAAGACAAGTTCTACAAAGGCCTGACAAAACACGAAGTGCCATATAAGAGCATGAGCAAAAATTTGACATAGAGATGCGTGCATAAGCTTCTTCAACATGCTTGAGCATCCTTGGATACTTGTCAGATTACATGCCAGCCCACAGCAGAGAGACAGGACTCCTAGGTTTTATTCCACCTCTGACATCAATTTTTATATAGAGTACATTGTTTCATCAGTGTAATTTTTTCTTGTTGCAGCTCATACATCTGGTCTTCTATGCTCACCTAAATCTTAGAGGAAGTCAGAAGCTTCAGGCTCTGGACTCTTTCAAAATGTGTTTTTCTTGCTGTCACTCCCACAGCAAGATATGATGTTGACAAGAAGCTCAGCAGGATCTAGCAATGTATGTTTGCCACCCAGAAAGCCAATCCTTCATCAGCCTGCATCAAAAGCAGTGTGACCAGCAGGTTGAGGGAAGGGGTTCTACCCTCTACCCTGCTCTTGTGAGACCACTACCTGCACTACTGTGTCCAGCTCTGGGGTCCTCAACGTAAGAAGGACATGGAGCTGCTAGAGCAAGTCCAGAGGAGGCCGTGAAGATGACCAGAGAGCTAGAGCCCCTCTGCTATGCAGGCAGGATGAGAGAAGTGGGGTTGATAACCTGGAGAAGAGAAGGCTCTGAGGAAACCTTAGAGCCCCTTTCAGTATCTAAAAGGGCTATAAGAAAGGCAGAGAGGGACTTTGGACAAGGGTATGAAGTGACATGACAGGGGGGAATGGCTGCTCCATCCCTGGAAGTGTTCCATGCCAGCTGGACAGGGCTTGGACAAGCCCATGGCAGGGATCGCTTCCAATCCACACCATTCTAGGATTCTATGATACAATGAGTGGTGTACAGTGGGAGCAGACACAGCAGACCTGGACCCTCGAACACTGTTTCCATCCATTACGTCTTAGTAATTAGTGATAAGTGGCCTGCTTTCCCTTGGCCATAATCCCTTCCTTTGCTTACATCTCTTCCAGAGGAAGCACCAACAGGCACTACAGAAAAGCAGGACATTGACTGGCACCTATGAAGTAAAACAATGACAGGCAGTAGCACATCTGTACCAACAGGTACATCCATCCATCCATTAGGACTAACCCAAGTGTACATTCACCTTTATACTACCAGGTGTGATTAGAGGGGTACCCATCATGAACAATCATCTCTGCCTATAAAGAAAGACTTTTGCAGGCCCTTTAAGAAAAATTAGCCATAGATTGTCTACCTTCTTAATACCTAGGCCTCTGAGTACATGCCTGACAGAAGCACATCAAGTGCACACAGCAGACTCACATGATCAGCATGCCAGCTGCTGGGGAATAAGGAAAAAGGGGTTGGATTTCTCAACTACAGAGATTATCAGAGAACCCCATATAACCAGTCTTTTTCTCCCTTCATCTTTGGAGAGCCATCTTCCCATAATTTGATGCTCACAAACAGCCTTGCACTTTTAGATTTGACATACTTGGATCCGAGAGAAAAACCTGGTACAAAGGATGACTACTGCAATAAAGCAATATCCACACACACACACACACACACACACGTATATATACACACATGCATACATTAAAAAAGTATATTTTTGCCTGCAAAGTCCCAAACACTGAGGAGTATTTTGGCTGGCTTCCTTTACATTCATCTCTTGCAGTCAGAGAGGAGTACCTAAAAAATAATTTCTTCAGGGTGGTCCTTTTTTTGAGCACAATCCATCAGAATTAATGCAATAGTGTTGTTTTGTGCTCGGCAAACTAGCAGAACAAAAGCACAGGGACCCTTCTCATGATTCTTTTGTTCTAGGTTTCCAGTAAAAGAAACAATATATAATTCCACATTTAGGGATAGAAAATATTTTTCAACATTTTAGCTCAGTAGATGTATCCTAACATTAGATACTGGCATACATGGAACAGAAATATGTTAAACTGTCTTACCAGCTCAAAGAAAATGTCACTTTTTGCACCGCTTCTGTCCCTTGATAGTTTGAGCTTCGTGGTTTGATGATCATGCAGTAGCAGCAGTGGCATAATAAAGCAGAGCATACTGTGCTTACAGAGCATACTGATTTTAAAGATAATCTCAAGAACCAATGAAAAACTGCTCAGATTATCAGATTGAGTTAAAGTAGCCGTATCTGCAATTACTCATTAGTCATGGAGAAACTGAGGAATTTCTGCTAAAGGGTTAACATTTAAAAGGCCAAGCAATTTGCTGAATATAGAAGTATAGGCTTGCAACTTTTATATAAAAAAGGGCCAACAGAAGAGCTTTCTAAGTGACCTAAAGTCATTTTATAGCCCTGTCTGGATGTGAGGCAAAACTGCTTCCACCCAAGTCCTCTACCAAACTATGCTCAGACTCCTGGAGCACCCTGAGCTGCCCTGTCCTGCACTTCCCCCACAGCCAACTGCTGCACTGTGCTCAAAGCGCAATTCTGGAAGCAAAGGCAAAAAAGTATTGCAGTGCTTCTGTGTCCTGATCCCAGAGCATATGAGGAACAGATCTTCCCACGCCCAGCTGCAATGGCAGTGTTACAGTTAGGATGCATCACGTCAGTCCTGTATGTGGGTCTAGTGCCAAGAAGGGGGAGAGAGAAGCAGTCAAAGAATAGACCAAATAACAGTCTGTCAGTATCAGCTTCTGGGGCCAAGAGACAAGGAGGCAGAGGCCATGCAGAAACGGAGATGGACATTTCCAAACTGGTACAACAGAATGAATTATGGTGCTTCCCCTAGTACCTGCTTTTTGGCCCTAACATTCCTGGGAAAACATAATTTTTCCAAATTAGATACTGCTAGGTAAGGGACATTTGCAGTTTGTTCCTAGGAGACACTGAAAACCCCCCACTTCCAACCCCCTCCACATTCACAGTGACAACAATTCATTGGCCAAAGGGCAATTGTTACAGCTTGCTTCAAAGGGAATGGCCTCCCTTATTTTAATACTCTTATGGCAGGTACCTGCCTGCAAAATCTGCCTCCTAGGGTGACCAGAAGTAACTTCTAGCCCAACATAGCACCAAACCATCACCTCCTACCAAATGTACAGCCTGATAGTGTTGCAGTAATAGAAACAGCTCCTTCAGCAGTTCTGGGGCCAATGATACAGAGACAAAGAGCAGGCAGAACTGAGATGTAAAGGGCCATAGAAAGACAGACGAGTTTCCCCTCTTCCCTTAAGCAGCCGGGGTCAGTTACCACAATGTAGTTTCTGAAGTGAAAATAGCTGTAAGATGAAGCTGTAAAAGACTGTGTGGAAACCATCAGAAACACTTCTGCCTAGTCCACATTTGCATTGACATGAGCATGATGCAAAAGCCCTTGTAGGACAGTGTGGGGCAGGCTCAGCTCATCCAGGCAGTGAAGTTGGGGTGATCCTCTGCAGTTCATAGAGGACACGCAAGGGACTGGTTGTGCAGCAGGGAGGATGTATTAGCATGTGAAGACCTCCCACAACTTATCACAGCTGATGACAAGAAAAATGGAAAATAAGGAGGGAAGGAACCAAAAAACTTAATATCTTAGAGCAGTGCCCAGGAAGCCACTGAGCTAGGGGTATATTGAGGGAATAATAAAAACATGGGCAAAACTAAGCCATACAGGTCCAAAAATCAACATAGCAGATACCATGGCTGTTCTGAACAATCAAACCAGGGAGGTGGATGCATAGCAGTACAGTCCCAGCACTCACCTGTGAAAGAAAGAGCTTCTCTTCATTACAGTACTCCCTTCTCTTTAGGGAGCTGTGGAGATGCCTATAGTCTCAGTTAAGAGATGGAGAAGAGGGAAGGGAGTTTATTGGTATCACAGCAACAACAGATTATTACTGCACTGGAAGCAAACATCATTCACCACAAAGATTCTCTCAGGATAGGACCTCCTACAGCCAAGCAGCACTATGCCTACATAAGACGTTAGGTCTTCACATTCACTTTCAGTATTGCAGTCACTTTTAAAGACAATTAGGCTAAACAAATCAGAGACAGAGATGTCAGAGGGAAACAGATTGACAGTTACAGTGCAAATTGCAGTTTCATAGTTGGCTTTATTAGCTAGCAGAAATTGCTCAAAATCTGTGCTACTGACCTGTTAACAGCAGTAGAGCAAGTCCAAGGCAGAAGTTGCAGGCACATCCAGCTAGGACGACATTTCTGAAATTTTGGCATAGTTCTAAAAGCTGCTCAATTAATGTGCTTGAAAAGTGCTGGGAGATAAGCTGACTCAGTAGCCTAGTAGAAAGAGTTTGTCTGGAATTATATATTTTGAAGACTTTTCATTTACAGACCCCACCTGGAAAGGCACAGTCTTTCTGAAACCTGAGTTGTGCTTGTTCTCTTGGACATACATTTCTGTGGTGATTAAATAAGAATTGGCTTTGATCATACCCCATGGACAGGTCTGGGACCTCCATAACTAATAAACTACTACAGCTGAGTTTAAAGAGCCAAAAGGCATTAGTAGGAAAAGTAATACCACATGTTGTTTGGAAAGGATGGGGGAGCCTTAATGTAGCAAACATGCTTGCCATGGGTTATGCTTCTAAGAGTCCATGTACAGCCAAACTCCCAAGTCATGCGAGAACACCAGGGAAAATAATTTAATGTTCTGTACTCTTCAAAAGGTTACTGTAAAAAAATTGCACATCTATATAACCCAAAGGATAATTTTCAAGGTACTTAGAATTCTAAAAAAGACAACAACCAACCAACCAAACCCAGAAACAATCAATCATAACAAATTTGAGACATTAATAGGATAAGTGGCAACAGAAATAGGCACGTATTTCTGTGGACCTAACAGTTTTCAGTTGTATGCAAGAAGCTTACACAAAGCAAACTTTGTTTCTCTTCTGAATTTTGCTAACACTTTGCCCCTGGCACAGTAAGGAAAGGCCCCACACTCTGCCAAGCAACATCAAGCCCTCAGCTTGCCTGTGTCCCACTGACAGGGCTGTCAGAGCGACAGGAGACCCACTGCTTGACGTAGCTCCGTGGAAAGTCCTGCCCCTCCTGCTCAAGAGAGATGGGCCCACAGTTGGTCTGACTGTTTTGCCCAAATTCACAATCAAGTGGACTTCCACAGTCTGAGTCCACAAAGCCACTGTCAATAGTGTCCAAATCAACGCAGATCATAGGGTAACTGTCACCGGGCCTGGTACTGTGAGGGAAGAAGTCGTAGGAGCCTTCACTGTAGGAAACACTGTCACCGTCAGGAGAAGGTAGAGAACCTGGATTTTCCAAATCCCACCGAAGAGGCTGCAAGCAAAGGGCTTCTAGGATGTTCCCCACTCCTCCTTCTGAAGACCTTTCTACTTGCTGGTGGACTGGGACACTTGTGCTCCTCAAGTGGTCTGTGGACACGGAACCTGAAGCAAGTATTTTGTCCTGCGTGCTCAGATCAGCCAGATGCAAGTCATGGGATATCTTTCTGTCTTCCTCATCAATGTTAACCTTGGGGTAACCAGGTCCTCCAGCACTATCATCTTCCTCATTGGTATGCTTACGTCCCCTGTACACGTGGTTACAGCTGCACTGGCAGTTACAGGATGTAAATTCATCAGCCACAGTCACCGTATCAATGGACAAGTGCCCGTATGACTGCTCCTCAGTCCCACCACTGCTGTTTACACTGGACCACAGGGACTGGCTATTGTGGCCTGGGGCAGTCAGGCAAGACACACAGGTCTTGCAAGTCAGATTCTTTCTCAGCTCATGCAGCTCTTCCCGTGAGGTGCTGTTAGAAGGACGCATGGTGTAAACTTCTAGGACTTCTGGAAGGACTATTCCCCATTCAAAGAAATCAAAGGTCATTTTTGTATGGGATGCACCAACCCACTTCTGCAGAAAAGGACATACAGTGAGAGAGGTTAGTATCACAAGTTTTGAGGTTCCACAGAAATGACCAAAGTTCTTATACTTTTAGAGGCAAAGGCAAACTCTAAAACCACTGACTCTTCCAATAGAACAGGGTAGGAGATGCTGTTATTACCAGACACAGCTGCAGGCGAACTGACTGAAGTAATTGAAAATAATTAGCTCTGAGAGGTTTGCATGGCTTTGCAATTTTCTCTATGCTGCAAAGGATGCCACTGCCCATAGCAGCATTCTTTCATCAATCAGCCTGAAGTCCGGCCAAGCCACTAAGTTGCCCCTACCCTCTTGTCCTGGACACTGCTTCTCTTGGGAAGGATGGTCAGCTTCTCCCCATGCACTGCACTTGCAACCAACACACACATAGTCCTGCTCTTTCACTTCCCCTGCCTCAGTTTCCTGGGAAGGGGGTCTGGACAAGGCTTCTCCGATCTTCTGTATGCACCAGAACAACTTTTCTTTCACAGTGAAAAGGAAGCAGAAGTAGGCAGGGGTTGGGGTCCTCACAGAACTCTAGCCACCACCTGCAACACTTACTCAGATGATTAGGCAGTGCCACACATTGAATCTTGCCCTTCTGTATCACCATTAGCATCACACTGCCCTGTCCCAGGTATTCTCCCTAGATCACAAGCCCCTTGCCTTCAGTCACATCTGAGAGTAAAGGCACTTCTGGATTTCTCTGATTTAAGAAAACAGTAAAAGTTTATGTATGTTTCTTTTGAAGAAGTCCCTGAATCAGACACTCAGATCACTGCAAATTTTAGACATGTGCCACTAATGAATGCCAGTAAGTCCTACTTGAGGATTCTGCTCCCTGTCTTCCACTTACCTAATGGCTGAGCTGCGTCAAGGCTCTTCTAAGTGTATTGTTTTCTGCTGTGTATAAAATAGGTAAGAACACTGCACTTTGTAAACACTATGAAGGCTTCTGAGTGCTGCCACATCTGTCAGACTGCCTTAATCTTACTGGCCTCCTGCCCCAAACTGCACTCAGCATAACTATACACGAGCAAAATATTTGGGAAGAGAACAGCTTGGCAGGAGTTTATTACCTTCTGACAGAGAGCATGGGGAAAAAAAAAAATAAATCTTCATTACAGCAGGAAGCACCAAGTCTTATTTAATTAATTTTTAACCTAAGCTACAAAGAACTTTGTATTAAAGCTGTAATGGACAGAAGGGCACCCGAGGTGGAAAAAGGGTTTTGGAGAAACAACAGAAAATCCTTTTCTTAGAATTGAGTGGGCAGAATATTTCCTATTCCCTCTTGACAGTTCTTTGCAAATTCCCACTCAATATGAACCTAAGAACTCACATACACACAAGTAAACAATGTTCCTTACCTTTCCCTTCTATGTTTTAAGTTTTTCTCTAACATTTTCACTGCTTCCTACCCAATCCAAGAGTGCTGTCTGCAGAGCATTACTACTGTAATTTGTAAACATTATTCACGAGATATAACCTAACAAAACCTGCATTTCTTTGATGCAGGCAGGATGCAGTTGAATAAGACCTACATCAACTGGGTTTTTGCTGGCCAAAAATGACAAGTCTGTTCACTCTTTAGTGATGTCAGCACATCCTCTTAACATCCCTGCCTGTGCATCTTGTGCTGTGGCTGTGTGAGCAACTGCTGCTTTGATCTCCAAATTTCCTAGGAAGTAACTCAGCTTTAGCAACTGAGACTCCTTCCCTTCCCAGCAGCACTGAACAGCCTATGTAAAAACTGGCAAGAATGTAATTCCCACAGAACAGAGAAGCCCAAGGCTTCACCTGAGAGGAGCATGGCTCTTGGCATACCAGGGAGCTTTTATTTTAACCTTGAGCACTAGCCTGTGACTCTCAGGAATTCACACACTGGGTCCTCCTGGTCCTTCCCCTGAGAGCAACTAGTACCAGCTGCCTCACCAGAGGATGCAAGTATCCCTCTGGTGCAGATATAGGAAGGCATAACAGGTCTGAAAGAGGAAGGAAGGAAGGGAGACAGTCACTCCTGGCTTCGCCCTGAATAGCACCCCTCCAAGACTACTTGCTTAATCTAATTACAAACATCAGCCTTGCAGCAGTGGGAAAGTAAGTACATGAAGATCATTAGGGCCCTCTCCCAGAGGGTCTAAGAAAAAGCAAAAAGAAAAAGCAGACTCTGAAGTGTCTCTGATCAGTTCTGCTGTAACAACAGGAATTTGTTCAGAAAGAGGCAGTGATGTTTGCACTGATATGCCAGCACTTTTACAGTTCGATAACAGGACTGTGAGCTGCTCCTCAGCTTAATAAAATAATTATTTATGGATGCTCAATGTGCTTTTACTTTTGCATCCTGAGGACTCCAGAAAACTTTGCAGCTTTTGCAAACTATTTTGTTACAAAAGCAAGTTTGGCTGCTGTTAAATGAGAAGAGAATTTGGGAGGGCTAGGCAAAGTTACTCAAAGACAATTCCTTCATAGGGAGTCAAGCTGCACTGTACTATCACAGCGATTTTCCCCCAAAGCTCTGGACATCTTCCCAGGACAATAGGCATAACTATTGCCTACATGAGTGACTTTTCAGAGAGAACCATAAGGCTTAATGTTGAGCTTGTGTCACATCAGAGCCTGGAGTGGGAGATCTGGGCTTTACAATTAAGTCTGTTCCATGGCCTTTATGGCCCCATGGGACTGCAGCTTTGGAAAAGTCCCAGTTATTGTTCTGGTATTTGACTCCCATCAGGATCCCAGTCTTCACAAATCACATGAACTCAGCTCATACACTGAGACAGCACCTACAGAGAATAAGCAGTACAGACATGACATAAAAGCCTTCATGGCACAGAACAGACACTGGAGAGCTCTGGTCACTATATCTAGAGCCTTCTGGCATTCCTTTGAGATAGATTTCCCCTCCTACTGCCCTAAAGAGAATCCCTTGCCCAGGATAGCACAATGGCTTTTAAGTTTGTTATGTGCTCCACTCCACATGTTCTTGTGTAGCCCAATTATACCTTGAAATCTCCATTATGTGCCAGGTAAAGAGGTTTGAAAAAGGGAGCAGGGTCTGGTATGCAAGCCATCTTCTTCCAAAAGCTGGAAGAGAAAAGAGAAAGGTTTTGGGGTTAAGCATATGTCACGGATGCAAAGCAAGGCATCTCTAGATCCATTTCAAGCAACTGAAATCACCTGCCCAGCCTCAAGAGTTAGAAAGTGGCTGAGGATCCAAGGATGCCTTGTGCTGCCAGAGCCATCTAATGGCCTTTCTTGTGAACCTCACAGGAGGTGGGACCTCAGCACTTGCACACACATATATTCATGCTAAGGAAAGAGATTCCAATTTTTTCCTTCCTGGAAAAGCACCAAGTGCTCAAAGTGCATTTTCCCCTCAGGCTGGGCTGGCTTGTGGTCTGCACATCAGAACTCTGCCCTATGCAATTCTTTTGTGGACCTGGGCTGTGCCAGCCCTGTTGCTGCATGAGCCCAGCCCTCCTCTGTGTCAGCACCCCAAAAGGGAGAGAGGCTCCCAGCCAGCATTGAGGGGCCTATGTCAGCTTTGAAAAGGGGCAGGCCAGCCCTGGCTACTGCTTCATCTGGCAGCTGCAGAGCACAGACAAGACCAGAACAGCTCAGGAGGCTGGGTGGCCCTTGCTTCATCCTTGTGTGCCACTGTCTTGTCCCAGGCAGCTGAATGGCAGCAGAGCCCCAGAGAAAAGCAGCTCGCTCCCAGCAGGACATCAGCTAGAGACCATACTTGGTTGGTCCTCACAAGCTCATAGGAGCCCATGCTGCCCATACAAAAAAGGCTGCCTGTGAACACCCCATCTTTGTCAAGATAGAATAAGAGCATTTACTCACGCTTCCTGAAGCATTCTTACCTCTGCTGTTTGGCCAGAAAGGTTGCGACTGAAGCCATGATTGACACAACAACACCAAACAGCAGCAGCCATCCCATGCCTGCTGTTTGTGTTACTGCTGAACAAAGAGAAGGGTCATTCAGGCTCACCTTGCATTTATCCTCCGGTCAATAAGCAGGAGATGGTAAGAAGAAAAAGGGCTTTTGCAATGGAAGGGCTTGTCAGGCATTGGAAGGGGCTGCCCAGGGGAGTCACCATCCCTGGAGGTGTTCAAGGAATGACTGGATGGGGCACTCAGTGCTCTGCTCTGGTTGACAAGGTGATGATCAGTCACAAGTTGGACCTGATGATCTTGGAGGTCTTTTCCAACATAAATGATTCTGAGGCACCCTTAATTTCTACCCCAGACTCTCTCATAGGGACGTTGAGGCTGTCACCTGGGCCCCATGGCCCAGGTCTGAATGAGAATGCTCAGAGAAGACTGCATCAATGAAAGGAGCAGTGCATCAGCTGCCCCATGGCCTGGCTGCACCACACACAGACAGCCAGCAAATTTGGGGCAGGACAGCTCCCTGCCACAAAGACCCCTGGTGTTTCTGACTCCTGGTTTACGGACACCTCATAAGTGATCCATGAAGTGAAGAGAGAGAGCAGTTGGCCAGAGACATCTGAAGAAATGGTGTTGACTAAATGACTGTTTGGTGGCTGCTCTCCACCTGTGGTGAAAAGGTGTACCTTTAAGATCCAGACCTCAGATATCCCTTTGCAAATGGAGCTTGGCCCTGCTGCCACAGCACCGTGTAAACCCTGTAATATTTCAATTCGAGCTGCAGATGAATGAGAGAGCAGGGAAGCTCAGCACATTCCGCTGACATTGACTGCAGTTATTTTGCCCTGCTCTATTGGAGCAAAGGCTCCCTGTTTTCATAGCCTTTGTTCCACCACAAGAAACATCAGTGTACTTCTGTGCATAAGGTACTGTGAAATCCCTGCAGAGTGGTGGCTACCAAACAAAATACCCATGCCCAGCATGACCAACCATTAGAGTCCAGTCCCAGAACTCAGACTTGAGAGCAGGATCCCTCTCCCCTCAGCTGAAGATAACAGTAAGCTCCAGTAGAGGAGATCTCCCTCATTTCTGAAAGCTGCAAGCAGGACCCTGGGCATTTGACACTGAAGAGGAAGCTAGAGGCTACACTCCTGCTGTGGCACCCAAACCTACAGGCAACCCCACCAAATCCTTTTCCACGGGAGAACATCAATACTGACAGCCCAGGCCTGTGGTTCCTGTACTCAGCAAGAAAGCTAACCATACCTGTCTAGACTATTTAGAACTTGCTCTGATTAATTAGATTTCATTAGAGTTCTGAAAGCATTCTGCCACTGGACTAACTGGAAGGGCAAGGACAGCTAGTAGCACGTACCGGCAGGGCTGGTTTTCAGTGACACTGGAAGACTCCATTCACTCCAAACCCCATGGTAGCCACTGTCTTCGCGGGGTCTGGCTCTCACTTGGAACTCGTACTCAGTGTTCACTTGGAGTTCCCATGGTAGGATCACCAGTGTCTGTTTACCTTCATGAACAGCTTTAGTCTTCTGAGTCTGTGGATGATTAAACACCAAACACTCAGGGTTAGAGTGACTGTTCTCACTTTCCCCTCACTGCTGCATAGTGAGGAGCCCTGTAAAATAACCTCCCCTGCTTTCATGTTGTTTCTTCAAGGCCATGCTCTGGCTGGTCTGCAGCTGCATTCAGCCACTGGAGAACCTTCCATACAGGACAGCATGAGAATCAAATGAATTATCACTCTTTCTCAGAGGAACTACTACTTCTCACACAACTTCTGCTTCTTGACTCATTTTTGGGTTTGCCTGTTTTCAGTCCAGTCAAGCAGAAACATATCTTTTCTAAACCATGAAAATACTTCTTCCACACCAGTGCTGTCATCCTGGTTGTGCTGGCCTCCTCTTTTCTGGTTCATCCTACTTGATGGTAAACTGACATCTCACTTACCTCCCAGCTATCGGTTCTTCTCTTATAACGCAGCTGATATTCCAGCTCCTCATTCAAAAAGTGGAAGGGAGATTTCTGGTAGGTGGTTTCCCAAGAAATATTGTAACCCTCTGAGAACAAAGTGGTCAGGTTGAATGGAGGCTGTGGTTTGACTGGAAGACAGGATGGTGTTACCTTTCATAACATTACTACAGACAAGACGGCCCAGTGTGGTATCAGCAATGCAGAGCTAGTAGGGAGCAAAACTGCCCTGGCACGGGTGGGCCTTCCTCATACAGGAGAACATACACAGCATCCCTGCCCCTCAGCCATGCACAGAACCTCCCATCTGAGCAGCATAATGAGGTCAGGCCTGAGTTTTCGCTGAATATACCTTCTGCCTGTCTCTGAACCTCCTCATTGCTTAGGGAGGAGAAGAAGATAGTACAAGAGGATAATAAGTCCTGGGAGATGTAAAGAGTAGAGCACCTCTCATGACATAAGAGGACTCTATGAGGTCATGATCGCTTGAAAAATTGGGGAAATATTCCTCAATGTAACAGATATCAGGAAAAGCTGAGGCAAGGGGACACTGCATAAACCCGGTGCAATTCCCTGTGTCCTAAGTGCCCAAATCCCAAGCTTTTATATCCCTGCAGGGTGTGTTCACGCATGGAAAAGCAGTAACGCAAAACTCCAGCAGGGCCTGCTACTGAGCTACAATGCCTCTGGACAGGGACCTTCAGGAGGTATGCAAAGCACTACTACCCAATCTCTAGTCTGTCAGCGGAGTCAAGGGGACTTCCTGAAATGTTATGGCATTTGTCAAAAAGACAATACTTCTCAAGTAAAGTTTAATTTCAGAAGAATCCAAGTAGAAAAATCCTTTTTATATGCCTGCACGGTACCCATCTGCCTGACTAACGACTCCTTTTCTTCAGTTTGCTACGCAACCAGAACATACCAGCATTCCAAGTCAGCTACATGATTGCATTCAATCTTCCTGTCATGCAGGAGAGATGATTAGGAATTGCCCCATAAGAGGGAACTGCTACATCCATTGCATCTGGGACACCTTGTGCCACCCAAAATAATGTCATGTTAGGTGTCCACTGCAAGAGCCTTCTGGAACTACTTTGAGATAAGAAGAGAGCTGGAAAAGGACTTTTGACTAGGGCATGTACTGATAGGACAAAAGGGAGTGGCTTCACACTGACAGAGGGCAGCGTAAGATTGTATACTGGGGAGAAATTCTTGGCTGTGAGGGTGGTGAGGCACAGATTGCCCAGAGAAGCTGTGGCTGCCCCATCCCTGGAAGTGTTCAAGGCCGGGTTGGACAGGGCTTGGAGCAACCTGGTCTAATGAAAGGTGTCCCTGCCCGTGACACAGGGTTGGAACTTGATGATCTTTAAGGTCTCTTCCAGCCCAAATCATTTTAAGGATTCTGTGATTTGTGACATTTGCAATAAAGCAATTCCTCCTGCTCTTTAGAATCCAGCCAAGAACAAATTCCTGCATAATAATCTAGGTATGAGACTGGTCGAAGGTGGAAATTTGTCACCTATTGCTTCATGGTGAAAAGGAATTTCCCCATGAAAAGCATGGACTAAGCCAGCTCTAAGCTCAGCCTCAAGCATAATAGTGACAATAAGAGCACAGTGCTCTGTGTGGATGAGTGTACACCAAATGTAGCCCCCACCACTTGCTGCCATGCTCACTCCTTGCCCGGACTATCCTGGCACCTAGACATAGTCAGACAGTATTTATCAAATCCACCATTTTTGTACTTACTGTTGTCTGACAAATAAAAGTCTTTGGAAATCACTTGCTGCCTATCAGCTACCTCTGTAACATCCACCTGGACCTTGGTGTCTCCTAGGAATTCAGTCATGTCCACAGTGCACATGTACTCTGTGTGACTGGTGTTCCTGGACAATTGCAGGAGATTGCACGCAGCCACAGTATTTTCAGGATCTTCCTCAGGAATCCTAAAAAACCCAAAACAAATAAGTTCACATCTACCACATGCTGTAGTTGTATTAATTTGTTGCTGAACCACCAGGCATAGAACTTGATTAAAAAAAAGTCAACATGTTCAAATAAAAATTTATCTTTGAACTTTGACAGATGTTTTCCCCTTTCTATTTGCTCAGCTTAGCATCTTTGAGAGAAGTAGAAAAGTGTTTGTCAAAAGGAAAGGTGCTTCTCAGGGCTAAACAACCCAGGACTGCATCCATTCCCTTGCTGGGGTAGAACAGCAGCCATATGGGATTGAACAATCTGCACAAGCCCTGCCAATGCACATGGGTGAAAGTTCACTGTTAACAGCAGCAAAGGGCAAGGTATTCCCATGGGAAGAGAGCAGGCAATGCTAAGGAAGCTGGAGTCAGCGTAGCAGTCAGTGGAGGCAGGAACCAGGGGTCCTTTGCTATGGGGGAAGTCAGTTGGTAGCTGAAGTGTGAAATGCCAAGTAAAAAACCAGCATATCAGCAAGAACAGGATTTCTACCCAACAAAGAGGACAGAAGGTCACCACCGTGCTATGGCCATGCAGAGATTCCTGCTCACTAGACTTTGCTCATCCTACCAAGACATACCATGTTGCAGTGAGGTTGTATGAACCAGCACCCAGGTCATTTTTCAGGATACAGGACAGGGTCTGTATGTAGTCCACAAAACAAGTGAGGTTTTCACAACACACAGCTGTAGATTTGGAAAGAAAAAACACAATATCAACTTCCATGATAAAGCAAGCAGAAATTTACATCACCATATGCAGTCCTCAGGGTTCTCACTAAATCTGAAGGGAACAGATCATTCTGTGACAGCCCTTACAAAAATCTCCAGCCTTGGGGTTAAGATGTGTTCCAGCTCTACAGGATGACAAGTCTTTGACAGCAAGATAAGTGTCAAACAAAAATCTATTAAAAATACTGTGGCAGCCAAAATCAGAAAGTGCCCAAATTGTGACTGAATTTTCAGACTTATCCCTGTCCTTTCTCATACAATCACTACAGCAGAGTCACATATTTTAGCAAGAGTCTTCACTTATATGGCACATAGAATAGGCATGATAATCCAGTAAGAAGCAGTACCATATTCAAACATTTTTATGATACCACTTCCTAAATTGAGTACTATTCTTTGCTAGTCTAGTTTTCATTGTATGACATGTACATGGCACTTCACTAAAATACCACTTTTTTTTTTAAATGTGCAATTCTTTCTTTGCCTCTCTCTATTTTCTACAGCTTGATATCTGCAGCATCAATACATTTCATGTCCAGCTCCAGAGGTTTGATGTTTTTCATGAAATTTTGGGAAAAAAAATTGCAAATTTATAATTATTAAAATTTCTGTTAATCATTCTGATAGGCACAATTTAATTATTTGTAAAGAAAACTTTAGAGGCAATTGTGGAATTTACACTGGTCATTAAGAAAATTAAGTCATTTGAAAGTGGTCACAAAGCAACATTGATGCTCTTATAATTGTTCTGCAGGAGCTCTGCTCACAGATCAGTATCTGACATGTGCTGTACAAAAGCACCACTGTCCTGTGCATCACACACTTCAGTGGATTTCAAGGCAGGGAAGATGCAGCACAGTGAGAAGTGTCTGCATTGATGAGTCCTTTCCTGACAGCACCCTGGACTGACTAAAACTATCACCACTACCCTAGGAATGGTTGAGTGAGGAAAGGCCTGCAGGAGATGCAGCATGCCATGCTGGTGCAAACCATGCCTCCTGCAGTGACCATTCATCTCTGTACTGACATGTACAGTATCACCCCTTTTTGATGGGAATAAAATGGTTGTCATCTAGAAAGAGATTCAAGGTTGTAACATCCATGATTAAATCAAGCATGGGTCCTCCCCTACCATCAGGGCTGCCCCCAGCCTCATGAGAACTTGTTACTTCACAGCCGTCAGGCACGCAAATCCTTTGACGCTGACCATGCTGCAAGCTCTCCTCCCATTGTCATTCTGCTGCTTGTCTGGTTAGAGAAGCTGCACTCCCTGCTTCCTCCTTTCCCTTTGCAACATGCTTTGTGTTCAGTGTTGTTTGCAGATGATGAAAGCAGACTGATACAATATGTTCAACAATCACAATGCCCAATTTTACAGCTGAAGCTGTATGCAGAGAACCACCAACAATATGGAATGCAGGCAGCATGTGCACTGATGGACCAAAAACATCTGTTCCGCCCTCCAGATCAATTGACTGTCCCCACAAACAAACTGTCTCTGCATTTACAGTCCCAGTGCACAGCAGGGGTGTCCAGTGGAGGGAGCAGCCTCCTTCTAGGCCAGGATAAGTTCAAAGGAAAACAAAGTCCAACTTTTCCTTGCTGATGTCACCCATCACAACATTTACTTCCCAGTCCTCCTGCTCTCCATATGTGAGCTCTGGGCAGTACTCAGATTTGTATACAAGACCCCCATTTCTCCAAAGAGCTAGGAGAGGGACAGAAGAAATTTCGGGATATTTGCAACAGACTGGCCCCAGGGATGTACATATGCTTTTTTAAACTGTAAATTATTCAAGTGATATGGCTGTCACTTTTTTTCATTTTGACTTTTTCATTTCACACTGACTTCAGAATTTTGTTCTAAAATTTTCATTAATTTTTCTCTTTTCATTTTGAGTCCTCAATAGACTCTTCTGAGGGTCCTGGTCTAGGCGCTGTTTGGTCCAGAGTCCTGAGCAACATACTTTTTCTCCTTTAGCCTAACTTTACTCTCTACAAAAATGGGGTTAGAAATCTCTTGCTTTCCTTTAGCGAGGACAGCAAGTACTAATAAGCTGTTAAGCATTAGTAATTAGCATTCTGCTATGCTATTATGTTAATTAGTCAAACGGACTACTATTCCTAGGTAGCTGGTAAGCTGCAAGTGTATCTTTGGGCAAGAACCTGTTAACAAAATTAAGAGGACAACTTTTTACTGGGAAAGAAATAATTAAGTGTCCTAAACCCAGTTAGATCTAGGATGAAATGTCTGTCCTTGACAGCTTCAGAAACAAAATTCAAACACTTCTAACAGTAAGATCTAGGTTGATTCAAACTGAAATTAGTACACAGTAATTCCCTGGCTTGCATTACACAAAATTCAGACCAAACATCACAAAGGTCCCATATGGCAGGAAGATATAACTCTGAATGCATCTTTTCTGTTAACTTAGGTTTAACTGGAGCAGGTCCAATGCTCTGCCTAGAAGCAGCACGAAAGATATATCCAAGTTTCCCTGCAGACAGTTGTCGCTGCCTTGTCCTGTCCAGCTGACCTGTTCAGAGAGTCAGCTCTGAGTCATATGGAGTTTGCAGTGTGGGTAGGAACCAGCAAAAAACGGTGGGTGACTTTCTGAACAGTCCAGTCCTGAGCCAAGGGGCTCAGATCAGGAGAGGTTCACTCCACTGTCCCTGGCAGGCCTGCCAACAGCAACCATAAGCTGTGGTCTTGGCCACCAGAATCTTTGCTACACCAACGGGTTTTTTGGGTGGGGGAAATCCTACTCTAATGTCACTGGGAGACATTTCAGGTCAAGCCAAGCACTAACTCTGCATTCTCCCTGCTGGTGCTGCTCCCTGCAGCCTGGCTGAGCTCTGCCCAGCTGTGCACCTTCCTGTCTTCCACTCCTTATCCCATAGAACCTTCTCCCCTGCCACCATATCTTGTGCTTGCTGTCCCATGGCAACCTGGGCTCATGCACATCTCATCAGAGCTGGCAACAACTGTCAAGATAAATCATGTGGGTGTACAGCCTGGAAAAAATATCTGAGAACTTACTGTATTGGAATAAAAGGAAGAAGGAAATATTCTGGAGCCACCGTTTGTTCCTCATGTTGGTTCTGACTGGATGTCCTGGGGGGGGGGGCAAGAAAAAAAGAAAAACACAAACAAAACTCCCACAATCAATTAAAAGCTCAGCTCAGACATCTACTAATATGATGAAGGTTGAGGTGGAATTAATCTTGCTTTCATTAAATGTCTAAAAGTGTTTTATTTAGGCAAGTAATTTCAGCTCTCCTGTGTCATGTACCTACTCCATGGGCTGAGGGAGGGATGATCAACAGCCCTGCCAACTGGCCACAAGTGAGGGCAGTGAAATCCTTGTTCCTTGCCAGCATGTGCGCAGAGAAAGCAGCAGTGACTGAAGCCTTAGGCTATCCATGCAACAGGAAAGGCTCTTGGGTTAAGTGCTAACCTATTTTTTAATTCATTAGTTTCCTGCAACTAGAAATGGCTTACCACTATGGGAAGTGACATTGCTGAAGGTTAAACATCTGTGCAGTGAATTAGTCAAAAAGAGTCTGAAGGTCATTGTGGGTCTGTATGAGCAAGGCTGGTGAGAAGTCATTGATTTGGCCTACCCATGGTTAAATAAACACGAAATATCTAGCTAAAGGACTCCAGGAAGACATACCAGAAAAAAAAACCCCACCTCCCATGTGGCACAAAAGAGAACAATGTACAGCACTGACTGCAGGGAAAGGCTGTGCTGATGCACTTCGGTGCCATGCCACATAGTCTGACCTACCCTCTTTTAATTTAAAACCATCACCCCTTGTCCTTTTACAACAGATTCTGCTAAAAAGTCTGTCTGTATCTTACTAGCTTCCTTTAAATACTGAAAGGCTGCAATAAGGTCTCTCTAGAGCCTTCTCTTCTCCAAGCTGAACAACTCCAGCTCTCTCAACCTGTCTGTAGCCTCTCCAGTCCTTGGAGCACCTCCATGGCCTCCTCTGGACTCAGTACAGCAGCTCCACGTCCTTTTCATGTTGGGGGTCCCAGGGCTGCAGGCAGAACCTCAGGTGGGGGTCTCACGAGAGCAGAGTAGAGGGGGAGAATCCCCTTCCTCAACCTGCTGTCCACACTGCTGGGAATGCAGCCCAGGGCACAGGTGGTTTCTGGGCTACCAGTGCACATGGATGGCTTCTATCCAGCTTTTTGTCCACCAGCACCCACAAGTCCTTCTCAGCAAAGCTATTCTTGAGCCATTTATCTCCCAGCCTGTACTGATATGGGGGGTTGCAGGTATCCAGGTTCTTGGGTGCCTGTGCTGCCTCCACCACCAGCAGCAAACACCCAGACAGTCACTCAGCAGAGAGAAGCCAGTGAGGCCTCTACCACGTGGGGAACATTTGTGGTGTTAAAAAAATTTCCCAGGTTTACTCAAATAATGAAAGTAAATAAATTTAGCAGCCAGCAGAAAGCCCCTGTAGCCCTGTGTGAGCTCAGGGATGTGCTCCCAAGGTGCCAGAGGAGATCAGTGAGCCTCATTCTGGAGGTGTCACAGACATTCAGTGGCTGCAGCACCTCAGCCCTGCAGTGGGAGCAGTGGTGCAGCTGCTGCCCCTCCTTTCCTGCCAAACATATCCTGCCCAGGAAGCACTGCTCCAGCTCAGCAAGGAGCCCCAGGCACCCTGCCAGCCTCCCTCACCTGCTGCCAGTGGCAGGACAGAAGCTCTCTTCCCCCACACTCCAGCCTTTCTTTCTGCATCATACATCACCTTGAGGAAACACCTTTTCTTGACCCCTCTGGTCCCAGCTCTCCAAGTTTCCTCTATGTAATAACTCTTGCTGTTACCACTACTTCTGGTGGTGCACGTCCTGGTCACTGAGATACAGCCCACTGTCTAACCCCACCTTGTACTCCCACTCATCCTTCCACTGCTCTTCTCCAAATCCCCATTCCTTTGAGGAAGGCCTGTTGTTATCCTGCCATCTGAAACCTGCTCATCCAACCTCATGCCAAGATTGGCTGTACCATAAGCCCATCTCAGTATCACTTTGTTTTGTGACTGTCATACTCCACAGTCTTGGCCACGCTGGAAGGCCAAGAAAGGCAACTTGCTGCCTCTTCTTCAGCAGAGGAAGGAAGGAAGGGATGGGTCCTTAGAGAGGTCTGCAGACCCACCACTTGTTTCAGAATCCAATTGGCAGGGCCTCTGCACTTTATATCCGTGAGACTGCTGTAGCTCCCTCATTTTACCCCCATTCTTGCCTAAATGAACAGAGCAACACAAGGAAAGTATTTGCTGCTTTTACCTAGTGGACTATGGTTTCTTTCAAGTGCCTCCCCTACCTGCCTTCCACTCCTCAGAGTGGTACCATCAACCCAATGAGACAGGAAGGACTGAACAAGGAAAACTCGAAGCAAGAAACACAAGTAGCTCATTGGGAAGATGTTTTATGGAGTTGCCAGAGGCTGCCATTACACAATGGAGAGAGGCTAACAGGCAGCATTGTAATCTAGAAGGAGGTTCCTGAATAAGAACACAGTGGAAAAATAAAAAGAAAAGTAGTAGGATCTGCTAACATGAGTAAAGCAAGTCCTCACTTGGGACTTCACTGTACCATCTCTTACCCTTGCCAGCGCCCACAGACTAGTACAACACTTATCTCCTTCTCTTCTTGCCGAGTTCTCCTATCTCAGCGTGGTGGGAAAGGACTGCAGCCTCTGAGAGCACCACGGACTGTCAGTGCTGTGTGTCTGATCTCCTGGCTGTGCTCCAGGTTGTGACGAGACATGGGCAGACAAGACACGTGCGGAAGAGCTGGGAAAGCTGCAGCTCTGCAGCAGTGTCTTTGTGGTCTTTGATGTCTGAAAGACCTCATTACTTAAATGGAGATGTATAGCTGCCCTTGTTCTGAAGCTTTCTCCAGTCAGGTCCCCTGCAAACCTCAATTCAAGTCTGTGACTGAGATCCCCACCTTTCCTACACTCCTCCGTTTGTTACACGCTTACCATTTGCTTCCATCTGTCAGCACGTGATTGTTCATCTGGAGGGAAGAACGGCAAGGGGCAATGAGCAGAGGCAGGAGCTTGTTCCCTGTCTGGCATTAGAAAAGCCTTTTCTACCACCTCATTCAGACCATCTTGGTCTATGAAATGGGGACTCCAAGTCAGCTTCATGCAGCCTTGAAACACAGTCACTTAATTCTTATAAAATGTTAGGCATCATACAGCTGCTGAGTGCCATTGCTGCAAACTCTGTGGTATCCTAGGGCACAGTGTACAATAGAATTGATCAGCAATAGAATTGATCAGCATTCCTACAGATATGCATATGTAAATGATGCTACAAGGTTTTAATATACCAGCAAATAGGAAACAGGATCAATACAGACACAGAGATTTATGAAGATTATTTTTTGTTAAGGATCTAGAAATATGATACTATAAGCTGCCAAAGATGGATGCAATCTAACCTCTCAATTTGAAGTATTTTCAGGAAATGCATGCACTTACAAAAGTTCCAAAAAACAAAACAAAAAAAATCCCAGAACCAACACCCCCAAGCAAACAAACAAAACAGCAAAAAAACACCAACAAAACAAACCCAACCCAAACCAAAACTAATTAAGAATTCAGTTTAGGTAAAAAAGAGGATATTTCCAAGCATGAGAAAATGAGTTTTGCTACACCCAAGCTAAAAAAGAGTGGAAGACACACTCCACCAGTTATATGTGCCCAAACGAGCTCTCTTCTTGAAAAAAATTCCTTATCAATACACACTGCCATCTAATCACAAAGCTGAAGCAATAGGGAGACGGGAATGCTCCGGCTGTTCAGTAGAGGCCAACAGCAATGACAGGCAGGGCACAAAGGGCATGTCAGCTATAAGAAAGAGTTACAGTGAAGTTGCAGATATCAAGCAGCAACAAACTGGCAGCAGGGAGAACTAGTGGAAACATGAACATTACCTGCCCTGTCCTGTGCATTTCAGCCCTCCAACACTTCCATGGCCGGCCTGGCTAAACCATCACTGCGACTGCAGAGCTCATCTGCACAGGAGCTGGGGTGAAGATGGGTCTCATCTGCACTAAGAGCAAAGCCTACTTGTGCACAACCAAGGGCCGTTGTGTGTTGGAATACACAGCGATAAATGGAGATTGACGTCACTACTGTATCAGTATTACTGTGCTGACAGAAGGATGTGGTGAGAGGAGGTGATGAATTCAGGTCCAGACACCCACACAATATTTATTACTGTACTGCTCTGATCTCTTACATGAGAAAAGGGTGGGAGAGCTGATAAAAACTCACATAGCTAAAAGGTCATAGTGGGGCTGGTGGAATAAGACCCTTGCAGTGAGGAGGCATCAGTGTCACGGTATTAAAGAGCTAAGCCAAACTGCATAGTACAGCATGTGCCACATTGGAGACTGCCAAGCACCACTGTGCTCAGCTTCCATCCATCCCCAAAATGGCCCCAGGACCAGGGCAACACCACCAATCCTCAGACAACAGGCAGGGATATGGTCTGGCTCCTACACAGGTGGGGGGCTCATTGCTGCCCTATCTCATGCCTACAGCTTGTATCTGGGCTGGGGCTCTGCAGGTTGCAAGGCTGACACTGAGGGAGGGTCAGCCAACTCACCTACACCTACCATAAAAGGGGCTGCAAGGAGCCCATGCATACTTCTGTCCTTGGCCAAGAAGGAAATAAGCAGCAGTATGGAGGGATTTGGCACACACAGTGTAGTGTGGTGGTAGGAGGGCAAAGAACAAGGAGCTGGAATAACCCAAGAAGACTGCAGCAGTCAAGTTGGCACAAAGCAGCAGGGTGCAGGATGAGGGGGCTCCACATTCAGCCCTCCGTGCCTCTGATCCACCCTTTTTCCCATCTGGGAAAAGCATCAGGTCTTTCAGGCCAGGGCAGGTGGCTCTTGACCATGTTTCCCAGGTAGCTGCTGGTAGCTGGGCTGGTTGTGCACTGCTAGAACATGCATACAGAAGGTCCCAAGACTTAGTGCAGAAGCTACTCCTCACAGTGTTTTGGAGCAGTCTCTGTAACAGAGACTAGCTCTCCCTTCGGTGTGCTTTGTGGATCACTTGCAGGCACAGTGTCAGGCCCAAGCTTCTAGAAAAGACTTGCCTCAGCTGATGCTGCCTGTGGGTTGTGGAGATTGTCACCACTGTTGGGTGCAGTGTGGGACAGCACAGGGTCAGTGAGGCTGAGCAGCTAAGCTAGACATTCCCCAGGCACTTAGTAATATCTTTCTGTTGTGAGGATAGCAGATCAGAACAGTGGCGCAGCCTTCGCTCCCTGATTACACAGGACTCTCCAAGCTGTGCCAGTACTGTTATTTGTGCAGAGGAAGGAGGGAAAGGTATGTGATCAGTTTAAAGAGTGACAGTCTGGCTGGCACAAACCATACTGCTTTTAAACCATGCAGTTGTATGCATTTGATATTACAAAGCTAATTTTTAAAACAAAACCACTGATGGCACTCTAAGACGAATAGCTTTATAAATTTAAATACATTGCACCTAAAGGCCTGTTTTTCTCAAACTTAACTCATTAAAAGTGTAGTCTCAGCCCAGCTCACAGTGGCAATATTCACCAAGAAGCAAGTGTGAAGGGCACACCAGGGAAGGCTTGGTAGATTCTGCTAGAGTTATTCATGACCCAAAAACATTTTGCCATGACTGGAAGAAGGATAGGTATCTGTAGGTATTTATCAGCAAGAATACATGCAGAGAAAACAACAATCAGAATTGACAATTCCTTCCTGTAGGAGAGGGAACTAGTCACGCTTGCAGTTATCAAGTTCATGGTTTGGGGAAAAAACTCCCCACAAACAGTACTACCTCTGTATTTTCTTCCTGTCACAATGGAGTTAAACCAATATCCTCAGCACCATCAAAGATACAGACCTGGCATAACTCTAGGGTCAAAGGCACCTTTACTGACTGGTGACATTTAGGAGGAAGATAATCATACATTACAATAAGTGAAAAATAGCAGGAGAACAGCTGAAACATGAATAACAGTGTTCTACTGGAAGGGAAAGCAATAGAAGAAGCCACCTCAAAGCTCAGGAAATGGGCTAAAATATGAATGAGCCAGGCAGAAAGCGGAGGTGTTAGTCAGCAAAGCAGCAGGTTGAAAAACACCGGAGCTCCGCAGGTGGTGGCTGTGAGCTGACAGAGGATGCTGCAGGGGAGGGAGGAGTGCACTGCTTTCAGTCTGGGGAATGCTGAGTGCCATCTGCAGAGACCCCAGCACCCTGCTCTCTTGCCTCCCTTCTGCCTTTGCCAGTTTTCTGTAGCTGCCAACACCGGGCTCGACCTCTTGTTTTCCCCAATATTCATCAAGTCTGAACCTGCATGAATTCTGCATGAAGGCTGTAGTAAGAGGTCATCACTTTGGCTCCTGACAGAGAAAAAAAGCTTACCTTCACAGAGCTGTGACTACGTATGTCTTGCACACATGGAGGAGATTGCACAGAGGCTTGTATCTTCTCTTAGGAAATCACCAGACACATGCTGGTAAACAGAAACAGGAATGACTGTGCCTGTGAACTCACCCTGACCATCTGGAACAGAAACCTACATCTCTGTTCAGGCTCAAACCCAACTCCCTGCACCATGCAAAACATGCCCAGAGCATCTCTGCACGAGGTCAGCAAGGCTGTCATGCATTCCCACAGAGCTCACCTGAGTCAGCAGAGCTGGTAGAACTCCCTGCTCTGTTCATGTAGGTTGGCAGAACCCGACCCCGTTAGAGGCAACATCTATCAGCTTTGTCTCCAGATCTCTGCAAGTAAGGATGCACCAAGACCAGAGCTCTGCTGCTGGCACACAGCTATTTATGGCAAGAGCCTCACGTGGATCTCATGGAGCTTTAGTTTACCACAGCTGTCAAAAATCAGCATGTCCCACCTATGCTGCCTGGCTGCAAAGCTTCACAGCAGCTCTTCCACACCTGGGGCTGGGTGCAGCAGCAGAGTGTGCCTTGGGTGGCTTTTGGCACCTCTTACAGGGTGAGAAACGCACCAGCTGTCTTCAACCTCTGACTGTGGCAGCACATTTAAAGCAAAGCAAACGGCTCACACGGCACACAGTGAGCTGCAGGGGATGGCTGGCTGGCTGGCTGGCTGGCTGGCTGGCTGCATGCATCCCTAAACCACAGAACACACAGTCCTGACACAATTAGTGACTTCTCATGTCACTGGCAGCAATATATTTTGTCTTTAGAAGAAAAGGTGAGAAGGTGGTGACTTCTCAGAAAAGCCATCCCTGTAGCCCCCTCTGCTACAAAATCTTGCTATGCAAACCCAATACAGGAGAGGGAAGAACCCGTGACGCTTCTGGACAAGATGGTTTGTTGCAGGGGCCCAGCACAGCTCAGAATGAGGCTGTGAAATAGGCAGCACACATCAAACTGCGGATCTTAATTCCTGCTCTAGTGAAGGAAACAAGGCACATCACGGCTTCATTGCCCCTGTCGTATAGGAGTGTACTATGTGCTTCTGGAGCACCTCAGCCAGGCAGCAGAGGGGGCAGACTACCCAGCAGCAAACTGACCCTGCACAACCTTCAAGCCCAGGGCTTGCCAGACACATGCACTGGTCAGCAATTGCAGCACAGTATGAGCCAGCTCCTCCAGACCTCAGCTGGCTACTCACCACAGGCACTGCCTCCATGGCCAGCCATGGCCAGTGCGTTCCTGGTTCCCACAGCAACTCTACAGCCTCAAGACAAGAACTGGGGAGTAGTTATAACCCTCAGCCAGGTGTGGAAATTCTACCCGCAGAACATAGTCTAGTGCTTTCTCACCTCATTATAGCTCTTGCTGCTGTGTGGGTGGCTCACTGCAAGTGAAACCAACAGTAGCTGAGCTGGGGAAAAGCAGCCAACCTCAAACTCTTCAGTTTACGGCAAATTTCCCCATGTCTAAGAGCTGGGGAAACAGCAGCAAGCAGGAAAGTCCCAGTGCTATGTGTTAGTCACCAATTCAGTAAACTTCAAGCAGAGGATGAACACCACACTGCTATGAATGCCCTGCTCTTATACAATGGAGCATGATGAAGGAAGCAACTGATCCATCACTGAACTGGGACAGGAGCTCCTTAGGATGTCTGTCACACTCCACAGACTGGAGCAGGTCTAGCACAGCCATCTCTCTACCAAAGACAGGCTGTGGCTGTGACTGCAACAACTTTTGCCATGACAATTGCCACTCTGCATTCAGAATACAGGAAGTTAGGTCTCCCGCACAGATGGTCAGAGTTTTATAGAGAGTATACTGGCTAAGAGCTAAAAAAGAAGCTGCTTCTCCTCTCATGCAGCTAAATGTGCCACAGCAGCCAGTTCCCCATTCTGCAGCCTATTTTTTTTCCCTTTCATCTTGTAGACTTGGTGGAGGGGTAGACAGCCAATGGTATGGAAATTTCCATACAGAAAGACATAGAAGGAACAGGTTGGAAGCAGGACAGAAAAAGGGACAAATAGAGAAAAGCACCTTGAGATGTAAAGTTCCCCTCAACATTGCTTTCTCAGCTTGTCACAAGGAATAAGAACATTCAGGATTTAGCAAACCAGTGGTGCTGCTGACAGCTGTTATTAGACACTGTGAAAACACTCTGAGGGTATGGCAATTCAGCAAGCTTTAACTGTGGTTGTGTTAGTGAGGTACCTGGAAAGTGCTCTCTTCCTCACTTGACTGTTTTTCCTTTGCTTCAGAACAAGCTGCTTTGAGAAATGACAGCCCTGCAGCTGCAAACCAGCCCAGTTCACTGGTCTCCCTGCTGTGATTGCCAGCAAGTTCCTGCTGAGCTGTTGCTTGGCTTCCGACCTCGTCACTGTGGCGCAGTTGGAGGGGCCTTGAGAGCTGTGGACGTGGCTGCAAGGGCTGATGAGACACTGATGGCACAACATGGCTCAGTCACAGCAGAGTGGTGAAAAAAAAATTCCGGGTAATGTGAGATCATGATACATCATCACATGGGAGCCTGGGGCAGACCTTGTACTCAGCAATCTGCAGAGGTGGGACATGATCCATGTGTGTGTTTGTGCATGTCCACACGTACCTGGGCATTGCAAAGGCACAGTTCCCCCAATATTAGTAAAAAACATGTATGTCTTGTGAAAGCAACTGCATGCAAAATTACACACTTTAGAAGCACCTCTGTCAGGGCTAGAACACAAACTGCACAAGTCACGTTCCCCAAGGGGTTTTCTACAGAAAAGACTTGGCTAGGAGAACAAAAACTGTCCTCTCAGCCTCTATTCACTAAGAAGTTTTGACACAATTCCACAGTCAGAGGTAAACCTTAGGGAACAGAGTTTTGGAAGTCACAACCCCCTCACTTGATTCTCTTAACCCTTTGTTCCTTCGGCCCTATCACTGCAACACCTAAAAGAACTGCTTTTCTTAGGTAAAGCTCACGGTGGATGAACACTTGGAACATCCTTGCATCTTGCCTCGGTGATGCAGGGTCACAAAGCAAGATGCAGAGGCAAGTTATTTAAAAAGCTGACCCTGTCCTAAATTAACTTGTCCCTACCCCCAATAACTTGACTCCACATCCTCAAGCTCCTGCTCCATACTAGTCTTGTGGGTATTGTTAGTTTTCCACAGGCAATGAAAAACCTTGTGATTGATGAGAATTTGTCAACAGCTGATCTGTACAGCTGCATATTTCCACGGAGCCAACACTGCTCAGAAGAGAAACAAAAAAATCTAAGCCTGGGGCACTTCTGCGATGGAAAAAAAAGTGTATCGGAACTAGCTTCTCCTGAACTGGGAACACACCAGCTTTTTTTTCTCAGGAACCTGTTTCACTCATGATGAGCCAGGTTGCTAATATTTGGTAGGCAGCCAGGTGAGAAGGATGTGGAGGTGGAGTGATTGTGCAAGAGTAATAAATGGCATTACAACTAGGCTAAAACTTGGCACAAGCCTCCACTTGTACTGCAGCCTTTCCAAACAAACTGAAAACCACTGAAAATGCTCTTACTATGATCAGTAATTCTCTGTCCTGGCAGGAGTCCTCCACTAGCAAAAAGGACATGCCTGGAGGGTTCCAGTCTCTGGGAAGGAAGCTCCTCTCTCAGGAGGGTGAGCTGCCTCTGCAGGCACAGGCTGGTCCCCAGGTGGTGAGCTCAGTCCAGACCCCTCAGTGCCAGCCCACAGTCACAACTCCCACACACTGCCCAGGGGGCAGATCACCAGTCTGGGCTGGAAACCTGTCATTTGAAGCCTACCTGTGTTTCAGAGCCTGGCAATTGCTCTGGATGGCAAAAGTGACAGAGATGGAGCATGGAATGTGAACTCAGCTCCCACTGTAGCCAGGCCCTGTGTCTGTCGCAGGACGGGGGGAGTCAGACAGCTGTCCCCCAGCCCCGCTGTCCATCTCCAGTTCTGGGTTATACAACGGCATAGGAACAGGGATCCCCCTTCTCCAAGAGTTACAGTTTGATTTTGCCAGAGAAACACTGAAGGGAGAGAAAGGGAAGAATACCCCCACACAGAAAGCCATCCGATGGAAATGGGCAGACCAGAGGGCATAGCTATGCAGAAGAAAAAAAGCCAGGGAAAGGCAGAATGGAGCTGGGGAAAACCAAGTGCTGCAGCAAACAGCTTTTCAATCCTGGCCTGAGCAGACCTCTCCAGCCAAGCACAAGCCTTTCTGCAGGATTTCACAAAGAACACAAGGAAGAGCACAAGAACAGAAGGGGAAGAAAGCACCACTGGTGTCCCTGCACCTTGCAGAAGATCCCTGTGCTACTAGAGTAAACAGTGAGTAACCCATTCCAGGCAGCAGTATTAACTCTTGGATTTTGCTTAAACTTGACTTCGTGGAGCCAGCTTACTTATGAGGCAGACCACGGCCTCTCTGCATCCTGCTATTTCACTGTTCCAGTGCAGCTGTGGCTGATGGGTCCTGAAAAGCACCTTCCTCTGTGTGTCTCACAGCCTCCCATCTCACAGAACTTGGCTGATGCCAACTACAGCAGCGACCACCCTCATGTAAAGAAAAGAGTATTTCTGACAGAATTAAACCTCTCCTGAGTGAAAATAAAATTTAATCTGACATTTTTGGTTAAAACAAATAAATAACATGTTCATCAGCACCTTTGCTACAAGCAAGATCTTCCACTAACCACCACCACAGTGAAAGTGAGCTACAACCCAGTGCCTGTACAAATATTAACTATCCCATATAAATACAGATACGCTGCAAGTCTCCTTCCTGGGCTTACATACCCTTTTTTCAGTGTTGTAAAATTGACGAAGTTTACTACTTGGCCAACTCGGAAGAGAGATTTGCAGTACAAAAATTTTACTTACAAAATATGTTAAAACCAGTTGCTGTGCTTAGCATTATGGTTTCCTTCCTTTCGAATGGGAATACAAATAGGGTTTTCTAAATGAGAATACATGTATACATTCTAATACACAAAATATTACTTGATGGTTCTTAACTTTTTTTACCACTGCCAGCATACTAGGGTGGAATTTACCATATCAAAATATATGATAACACTGTAGAGAAGTTCAGAATTGTCAGTAAAATTTCTTGAATAATTATCTAACAAGAAGCATATACAACCTTTAAGCTGCGTGCATAATTCCCATTCCAACTGGACAAGAACAAGAAGCCAAAAAAATGTTCCATGAAGGTACGGTGTTGGACCACACATTAGATAAGCTTTCTGGGATAACACTGCTTAGAAATGTCTGATGCCATTTACAGCTGCAGAAGCATGAAGTAATTCTGCTTGCTTTTACAGAGTAAGAAACTAATGACCAATAACAGCACTGGGTAAGCCCAAATGACAGTAACCTGTATTTCATGTCTTGATTGAGTGGGTATGGAAACATACACCCCGTGCTAGGGCTAGGCACACAGGACAACACCCCCTACCCCAAAAGAAATAAGTTATGGAAGCTGTGTGCTAAGTCAGTCGCCTCCCCTTTGACCTGCACCTATGTCCCACTTCTACGTGTGCCAGCACCTTCCACATCACCTTTGTGTGCTTCCCAAGCAACACACAGCCAGGGCAATAACCACAGGAACTGTACTAAGAACTTCTGCTTCCTGCAGCTGTTGCTCCCTTTTAGAGATCACTCACAGCTGGAGACGCTTCAGCTCTGGCTTCACCCCAGTAGAGCTGCTGGGTGCCACCCCCAGCTGTCCCCAGGGGCCTGCACCACCTCCTGGCTGCCAGTCCTGGGCAGACACTAGTGCCACAGCCCCCTGAAAGACGTGTGACCTGTAGCAGCCCTCATTTCAGTCAAGATTGAAATAACAAGCAACATTTCAATTTGCCATACAGTTTATTTCCAAAGGCTCACTCAGTCTTGGCAAATGTGGCTAAGCTACCTCCATATAGCAGTTGTCCTCTTGGGCAAGGGCTTGCGCAAATTTCATTTTTTTCTCATTCTTCCTGCTGTTTTCCTTGAACAGTTCTATTGGTCTTTTTTTAACTGCAAGTGCCAGTCTGGAGTCCTCACTGTGAATGGCGTGAGAATCAGAAGGACTGGAGTTATTCACAAGACAACGAAGCGACAGCTTGTCTGAGATGTGGAGCTCCAGGGGCCCTGCAGTTTTTCTGCCTAAGTTCAGCCTAATGCTGTCCAGTGATGCTGGTAAGCCGGCTGCTGAGCCACTCCCCTTCCCTTCTACATGCTTCAGCATCTCTTCACTTCCCCCTGCATCTCCAAGTTCCCTCAAGTGGCTGTGTGGGTGGCAGTGGCAGTCAGTATTCAGTTTGTTATTGCCGCTCTCTTGCATTACTTTGCCAGTAGGGTTAAAGCTGTTCTGTTTTGTTCCCTGTGTAGTTCTTTCTCTGCTGTTTAAATCTTGACAGTTCATCTCTAACAAATGCAACAGCTGTTCCTCTCTGCTGATATTTTCGTCATTGCTATCACCAGACAGCTCATTAGAGCTATCGATCCAAGGGCTGCCATTACTGGTCTGTGCGTCATTCTCACTAGAGGCTAAACCTGGGACAATGCTGCAACCAGGACTCTGAACAGTCAAACACACACAGTCCTTTGTCCTCAGGTCAAGTTCACAGATTGCAATATCTGGAGGTGCTTCTTTGAGATTGTTGCACAGACCAATGAAGGACTCCTGTAATGAGATAATCTCATTGTCACAGTATGGACCATTACATCTACCTGCACTATCAAAAGGCTGATAACCTGATGGCTGAGGTGCAATAGGGCAAGAAATTATATTGGTTTTGTTTGGAAAATTTTGATATATTACTTGCTTATGTATTTCTTCCTCTGATAGGAAAGCTGAAGCACCTTCATTTGCATGTGTGGAGAAAGATGGAAAATCAGTACGCTCTGAACAGGTGTTTGGAAAGTCAAGCTCAGTGTAGGGAGACCTGTAGCTGACATGACATGTCCCACTGCCAGCGGGCTGAGCAATTTGATCTCTACAGCTGCGTTCTGGTGTCTCTGACAATTGTCTTGGAGGCTGTGAGGAACATGCACTTTCAAAGCACAGAGTCAGGCTACTGTTGGCCATGGACTGGGACATGAGGGCATTGAAGCTCCTGTAGGCAGAGCCACAGGGCTCCAGGGATGGTGACGAAAGGGTGTCACAGCTCTTGTAGGCAGAACTACAGGGCTCCACAGATGGAGACATAAGGGAGTCAAAGCTCTTATATGCAGAATCACACAACCTCACGGGTGCAGACACAAGGGTATCAAAACTCCTGTTTGCAGGGTTGTTTATTCTGTCTGTTTTGGTCCCAAAGAATGGTTTATTTGTAGATTCCTGGATCAGGACACAAGAGTCCCGCTCACTTTCTGAACCATGTAGAAAAAGGTTTTGATGAACCATTTGTTGAAGATCTCTTGCATCCAGAGAAGCAGAATTTATGCTGGAGCTCTGATAGCCAGATTCAAAGGATTCTTCCGACAGTTCTGACTCCTTGCTGGATGTACTACAATTGTAGTCATCTTGAGAGGCTTTGGTGAAAAGAGAGGCTGTATGAGAAACATCCCATGGCCGCTGACTCTGGGCTGTGCTTTCTTTTGGATTTCGCTGTGGTGGATTTTCCAACTCAAGTTTCTTGAAGGTTTTCCTCTCACCTGTGAGGATGTCTGAGTCTTTATTGTCTTGCATGTTATTTTCATCTGCCAGGAGTGCATCAAACATGTTAGCTAGTGCCTCATTGTGCTCTCTGAAAGCACCGATGCTGCTCTCACAAGGCTCAAACATGGTGATCTGGTTGCCAGTCTCTTCCTGGCTCCCAGTCTCACTGTCTGTTAAACATTCACAGATTTCAATAATGTCTTCAAATGGAGTTGTATCAGGGGTTAAAACTGCACTGCTGCCTTTTGGCAACCACTCTCCACACTTGCTGTGGCAGCTGCAAGATTTCTCAACATTTCTGATGTTATCTTTTCCCTTGAAATTTTGGCTTGACAAACTTTGAGCCAGACAGTTCTTGCAACTTCTGTTTTTGGAAGTCAAAAGGAAAGGACAGTTAATGTTTATGTAACAGGAAACTACTTTATTCTGTAAAGCAGAGGTGTATTTTTTAATATCTTACTTACATTTGCTTTTCCATATGACTCTGCTTTAAGTCATGGAAAGGGAACTTAATTTCATCGAAGTAGCAGAAAACTGAAAACTAATAAGGACACAAATGAGATTTAGGACACATATGAATTGTATTTGGTATCCCCTGCACTAGACAGACAATAGCACTTATTACACATTCTCCTTCTGGTGATCAGGAAAAGGTATTTTTTGCAAAGCTTTTAAATTACCTTGACATTTTTTACAACCAAATGGCTCTTTGCTGGATTTGGGATTTCATCCCACCATTCTTTCTTCACTCTGCAAGGGAAGAATGAAAATTGTTTTGACCACTCGGGCTTCATCAGTGTATATTTCCCTCTTCTGTTCTCCTCTCCCTCTTAGGCATCTGCATTGCAGCAACAGGAAGTGCTTGTTCTGTACATCTCCAAGTGCTGCTTTTCATTAAACCAGTGCAAAGGTGTTTATATGTTTGGTATGTGACTGCTCTGCACAATGCAAGTCACATGTTCTTCTAATCATGTTTGAAATTATGTGTGAAACAGATAGGATCTCACTTTCACACTGCCACTAAAAGAAATTGAAAAGAAATAAAGACATTTAACCATCATTACTGGAACTCCAGCAAAACTGACAAACCCCTACTATAACAAGACCATTCTAGTAAGATTAATAGAGACTATTCAGAAAATGAAAGAGCACAACTGATTCGTGTTTATAAACCTCTGCTCAGACAGCTGATAAAGGTATTGAGAAAACCCAGACCATCAGACTCCTGTACTAGCAGACATTCAGCTTATCAATAGCAATACTGATGGCTGTGTAAGCCATTGCTCTATAAACCCCGAGCCAGTATGATACGTACTTTGTAAAACAGAAGTAGCAAATGACAGATCCTGCCATGATCAGTATGCAGGATATGGGCACAGCCATCTGCAGAATGTCTTCAGCTGTCACTTGGTAATCTGTTAAAAAAACCCCAGACATTTACATGTGAGTGTGCATCTAAATAAAAGCACTGGCAATACCAAATTCACTGCTGCTCTTCTGCACCTTAAAAAACCGCTTCTTTAGAGCCTCCAGCAGATAAACAACAGACCCCCACAGGTCTGCCATACTGAAGGTGTGCGGTGTGTCAGAGACCAGCAAATGTACTGTGGCCAGTTACTTGGAAGTGTTAGCTGCTGGGAGAGCCAATGTACACTGTGAGGCCCAGGAGTTGCCTTTTTATGGTTAGTGTCTTTGGAAGCCGTATTCACATTACAGACGTATTCACATTACATACAAAACGATGAAGAAGATGATTCCATAACTCTCCTCCAAGAGGAGAGCAGCAGGGTATGAAGATTATACCATCCTTTTCCCAAGCTGCTATTTCTGACAGCATTACCATTGTGAAATTCAACTTCTTCACTCCATTCACTCCAATAGGCTGGGTAGTCTGTGTAGTTACACCTGAGACTTGCAACGTAATCATAGCCCCTCCTCAAGGAGCTTGCAGTAATCTCAAAGCTTTTTGCCTGGTAGTTAATTGCTTTTACAAAAACCTGAAAAAAAGTGAGAAAGTTCACTTTGATTTCTTTATAAGGCAAAGGGTTAGTGATGGCAACTAAATACCAGTAGTATTACATGTTTCAGTGATCTTTCACAAATGAGCAATTGAATGACTGTGTGTAATACTGCAGTTTGCTGTCATCAGGGGTATTTGTGACATGCCACCATGCATGTTCTTCTATCAGAAGAAGCCCAGCCGTAAAGTGCTGGATTGTTCAAGAGGGTGTCTTAAGTGCCTCAGGTGCTCCATGGAGCCACCAACAGCATCCAGCTTCCTGATATCTAAGGAGCAAATGAAGTTCAGGGAACAGGAGCACTGTGTTTTCAATCTCTGACTATTGCAAGCAGCAGACCATTTTGGGGTGGCAATCAGAACAGTTTCAGTCCTTTAACACCCAGCTGAATCACCTTGGGGCAACGTGACCTGTGGCAAGTGACCCTGAGATTAGATCAGTTGGTTAAAACTTGGTGCTAATAACGCCAAGGTCATGGGTTCAATCCCTTGTATGGGCCATTCACTTCAGAGTTGGACTCGATAATCCTGGTGGAACTCAGAATGTTCCGTGATTCTGTATGATCAGGAACACTGTGGGACTTGCCCTTGCTGGTCCTTACACCATTATTCATGAAGTGGTTTCAAGAATTTTCAGAGGGCTTGTTAAACTTGAAAGCTCCAGAGAGACTGAAAATGAAGAGACTACTAGCTATGTCTTACCTCCATCGGGTGCTGCTTCCTCCAGTATTTCAGTTCATAGATGACTGGCTGTCCAGAGAGCGTGGATGGAGGAGAGTAGCTCTCCTCCCAGCTCAGATTGAAATTACCATTTTCAGCCTTCTCAATGGCAAGATTTTTGGGGGCCCTCGGCTTAACTGTATGTTAAAAAATACAGTTAAGGAGAACATGAAAATGGGAAAGAACTGATGGAGAGATCAGAGTGACAAGCATTCACCAGAGACCAGAATATCATTGCTGTCAGAGCACTTAGCCCTTTTCAGTATGCTGTAGCACAAGGATAAAGAGGCCAAACCAGAGCAACTTCAAGGAATTTACTAACAAGCACTGATTCTTCAAGCTGGCTAAACAAACTGCAGGTACAGCCTTTTGGTGCACTGGACGCAGCTTTCAGCCTGGAGAAACGAGAACAGCCTGCGCTCTGACAGGAGCAGCTGTGGGACAGCCAAGCTGTCCTGGCTCCCCGGCTCCTGGAAACCAAGGCAGGTTCTTGCTTATCTGGCTGCTGAGCAGCAGCAACAATCAAGTATTCTGAAGTGAACCAACTCCTTGACCTGCCTAAGGTATGTGAGTGATTTCTCTGAGTGTTTGAGGTGACAAGTGTTAACAATGCGTACACTGTTCTGAACAAACTGGGGGCCTAGGGAGAGACATGAACTGTATCTACACCCTGTCCTGTGAGAGAGCAGATTTATGCACTTTTAATCACTGACTGTTATAATATAACAGCAATTACTGTAAAAAAATCTTCTGTTCATGTGCCATGATTTAACTTGCATGAAAAATCAAAGTATGACAGAGACAGAAATGGAAGAAGTTTCAGCAGGGATAGCCTAGTATCTTTCTAGAAACTGAAAGTAACACATTCCTCTTCATCCTGTAATTCTACAGCCACAAGTAAAAAGCATTAAAATCTAAGACCCCAAACTGCTGCTGGCTCACAGCTGAGAGGGTACAGCTAGACAAAGAATCACTCTCTGCTTTCCCCATTACTTATACTCATTCCTTAGGAATCTAATCCAGAATTAGGTTTCTAAGACAAACAGATCTTGCATTTAAGCCAGCGTGGCACTTTCCACCTCTGATAAGGAAAAACTGCTCTAGTGACACGAATGAGCAGTAATCTAGGATTGCAAAGCCTGGAACCAGACATCCAAACAATTTCTTACCAACAAGGGCTGGTGTAACATTGTAGTTCCATATATCAGTCCCATTGAACTGTAGAGCTAAAACATATGTGAGGCCTGATACAAAATAATCGGGACATATTGTGCAAATGCACCTTAAAGTATCTTTTCCATTCTCAGGAACACACACGTTTCTGAAAAACAGGCACAAAATTATGTGATGTTTAGAGAGTGTGACACACTATTCCTTGAAAAGGTGAAATCAAGCTCCCCAATGTGCAGAGCTAATCAAATCTGAGACAAACAAGCTCAGTTCCTGGAAACGTTTCCAAACCACAACTGAGATTCCCAAACAACCCACCCTTCGCAGATACCCCTTGGATATCTGAATTGCACAAATGAAAAACTTGACAGAAAGGCTAAGGATTGATCCCAAGAAGAAAAATTACCACCCTTTGTCACATTTCAGTCTCTGAAAGAGCAGACTAACAGCTTGTTAGTATAGGAATAGGCTTACTGCAGTGTATGAGTGAGGTTATCTGGATGTGGGTTTGGTGAAATCATACAGAGAGGAACAGGAAAATCCAGATCTTCCTTTGCAGGAAATGATGACTGGCCCTGCTGCAGAACAGGCACAACAGTCTATGTCTGAACATGGAGTTAGACTGCATGCAGACAAAATCACCTGGGCTCCAAGGGAGAGTACCTTTCACACAGGCTACAGACTGGTCAATAAGGTAAGATTTCTCATGAAGAAGGTAAAATTTTGCATGAAATGAAGGTTTTTGTTAACTTATAAGAGCCCTAACACTTCTACCAGTAGGATCCCTCCTCTGTACTAAGAAAATGGAGAGTTCTATGGAAGATTAGGCCACTGAACAGTGTGCTGTTAATTGTAGCAACCCATTTTACTCCTGGCAAGAAGAATAATCTGAATTACATTTTGTCCCAGACACCCACGGTAGAGGGAGGGATTTAAAGCCAATAGTGACTATGGGATATACGAAGCTCCAACAATGGCAGTGTAACATCTTATGAAGCACTTACGACACAGAAGAAATGTCCTTGCTGTAGCAGAGCAGGAATTCTTTGGAACAGTTAGTTTGTGCTGGCACCTTCCAGTGACAAACCAGCTCTTTGTCAAAGTCAGTGAAGCATGCAAATTCCTGTATGTGTCCTGCAGTCATAACTAGGGAGAAGCAGCACACAATGAGAAGCAAGAGAATCAGAAGAATAAACTGGACTAAGCAGAAACAATAACTTTTTCATTTAAATAGAGCTACCAAACCCCTGTAAATTAAATGAAAGCATTGTTATCTTTTGAGTCTAGGTAAATGGCAAGAGGGGCACGTCACCAACTGTCTCCACCTTTCTGGAGACAAGGTCTATGATCTTGGAGAGGAAGAGTCTGCAATAGTAATATTGAAATAAAAAGGCACAACTCATCTGACACAGACTTCCAAGCACAGAAAATCCAATTCCAATAGTTTTATGTAAAACATATTGGCATTTAATTATGAAACCACATAATCCCACCTATTAAATACAAAAGGTTCAAAAACCAAAATGCAGATAATTAACAGTCAAGACTAGGATCACTGTCTACAGGCATGACTCATGTTTTACCTATAATGGTTCTAAGCTTCCCAAATGCATGCCTTTTGCTTCCCCAGAGCAGCTCTCCAATGCCTAGATGATCTTCCTGCCACTGACTTTCTTCTAGTATACACTTTTCTTCATTTCACACAGTATTTCCTGTTCTGTCTTCTACTCGCAATTGTTATGAGCATTTGGAGCCCAGGAGAGACTCAGTCACAATGTGCCAGGCACTGGGGGGGTACAGGAAAGCCAAAAGTCTCTGCACTCTCCATGTTCAAACTTATAATCTCTTTCACTGTCGGTATTTAAGTAAAAAATACACGATCCTCAGTATCCCTTCCAGCCTCACTTTCTATTATTTCAATGCACTCCATATGAGTGAGACATGGAACAGAAGAGGAGGAGCTATGTGACAGTAAGGTCATGCTGTTATTTGGACTAACAGTCTGCCAACTCTGGTCCTGGAGTGTGATCATTTCTCAGTGAAGCAGTCAGAAATAGCTAATACTTTTATCATCCCAGACAATTACTTGCTGTTTCTGATGTTTGACTTCTTTTTTATTGGTAAATAATAATACCTCCCTTTTTTTGCACAAGCTGTGCAAATATAAATCCTACTTTCCTACTTTACATCTCAGTTTCCTATAAGAAATTAAAAATAGCTTTGATTGGTTTTTAGAATCCTATTAATTGAAATTTTTCTGATAGTTTCTGAAACTCTCCATGCTTGTCATTTACACTGCAAATGCATAATTCAGTTGACAACAATTCACATCCTGTCCTTGTCCTTCAGCCACTGCTGCTTCATGTGCTTATTCTTTCCAACTGATACCTAAGTTTCAGATTATTCCTCCCAAGCAAAAAATTTTGTTGAAAGTACCTAATTTAATTTTATCTCCCCTACATTTCTACTTTTCTGTAGTCCACTTGTGTTATTTTTTCTGATACAACTTCTGCATACTCTGAGACAGTACAGCATCTGAAAATGTAAAATGTGATGGTCAGCTGCCTTTTAGTGGACATGATACGCAACACAATGGGACCTGTAAAACTTATAATCTAAGTTGTCTGGTATATTGACTGTTTATAAACCTAGAACTGACTGCAGGCATGGTTTCATTAGTGTTCAAATACTTAGGAAATGTTTTGGTTTAGTTACTAAGGTAACGTATTTATCTTGTAGGTATGAACTATTGCTGTTATGTCCTCTCTGGATGGCAGTACCATGTTAGGTTCCCTTTTGTTCTGCATGGTCCCTGATTCTTCCAAAACCCCCAAGAATCATCAGAAAAGCAGCAAGTTAAACTTCTGCAACACTTTAGCAGTCACACTGCTTTTTTATTTTAAAAGAATCATTATCCTGTTGGTGTTGTTTATATTTTGCTGCCATTTGTAATTTTATTGGTAGATTTCTTCCACTTTAAAATGTACTTTTGCCAGAAGTACTAACGTTTTAAGCCCTTTAAAGATGAACGTTATTTTTCAATGTGTTAATGATCTTATGCTTTCAAGAATACTTCAATTAAATGAAGTTCTTCCTGCTGTGTTAAGGTATGATGATTAACAGCTTTACTTTATCTTGCCTTTCAGTGTCCTCATGTCTTTTCAGAACTCTAAATTATATTCTCTACTCTTTTCCTGTGACCTTCTCGCTTTTCCATCTCTGGTACACCATATTTTTTTTTAAACCTCAGCTATTTGAGACTTTCCTTTTGAAACTACATACAGTACAGAATTTATTTTTAGTGTTGTTAAAAAAGGGAACTGAAATACTGAATTTCTTGTCTAATTGTCAAATAGTACACCATGCTGAAGAAACTTAAAACATGTAGCTAACTAGGCAAACAAACCCAAAGAAAACACTGTAAAATTAAACTTTGATAAAGATCATTTATAGAAAACATGGGATTACCCAGATCAGATAACCCAGCCAATGCACTCTCTCAAACCTTGATGCTTCTCCTTAATTCAACTGCACTATTTCATAGTACATAAGACAGTAGTTAATAAATCTTCATTTTTTGAGAGACAGGCTATTTTAAACTGTCTTTTTACTATTTTGATTTGCTTTATAAAACAAAACAAGACCTAAGAAACTGTAGACACTGCAGAACTAGTAAAACAAATTACAGCAAGCAAAATGTACAATTCATTTTCCAGAGAATAAAAATGCATTACTGAAAACCATGACTTTATATATCTAAATTGTATTTATAATCAAATATCATAAAAGATGCAAGGGAAAATCATGGTTATATTCAGCCTCTGCTAGTTGAAGTTGACAAAATAACCCTTAAGGAACCAGCAGCACTTGGGCTCAACACCTCCTGCCAGGCCAACAGCGCAGCCGGGACACTCCAGATCCTGTTCTTCCTCCACCCCTGCGCAGGCACAAGTCACAGCCAGGGCCTGCCAAACCTGTTCAAATCCAGGCAACTACACGGTGGCATAGAGAATTTAGGAATTTCTTTAGGAGTTACTTCAGTGTTCCTTTAGCATTTTACCTGCCTGTGCTTCACACCAGAGAGGAGAAGCTCAGGCCTCCTGCACCGGGGGAAGGAGGCCAGGCAGCAAAAGCCTCCCATAGGCATTACAGATTTCACAGAATATTCTGAGTTGGAAGGGACCCAAAAGGATCATCGAGTCCAACTCTTAAGTGAATGGCCCATACAGGGATGGGCCATTATTAGTACCATGCTCTAACAGAGCCCATCTCAGAGGTGTCCAGTGCAGATCACATAATGCAGAAGGAAATGACTTTCCAAACATGTTTCTCCTTTCTGCAAATTTCTAATTTTTCTAGACTCTATGGAAAAGTTCAATGCAAAGAATAAAATCTAAGAATTTATTCTAGTATAAGGCTATTTATGACATTTGAAGTTACAAATTTTATAGTACTTAATTAGTGGTAATAGCATTGCCTACTGGTCATGGAAAAATGCTGTCAATAAAAACTTCAGTATAATAATCTAAAATATTGACAAACATACCTTCATTTGTTGCATATGAAAAGAAAAAGATCCAAAGGGTATATGGTGCAGCACTTACGAGTCTTGCCATCATTGACACTGGTCAGGTTCAGCAGGAAAAGCTGTGATGCAGTTCTGCCAACAGCAAACATTATTATGAGCTTACATCCCTGTGCTAGTTAAGGTAAGGGTATATGTAGCATTTCCTACCACTCTGCTAGATGTTGGGATTCAGATTCCCTGCTGTGCCTAATTCCCACACCCTGCACCTAAAATGTACTCATGAACAACAAGACACATAGAAGAATAAGGAGAATACAAATGAGCTAGAAGACTTTTCTGCAAAGTTTTAATGACAGAGGATACAAGACTGACATTGGCAGTGGACCTACTCTCTTTAGCTACTAGAAAAGGAAAGCTGCTAGCATGTGAGGTATTAAAAGCATAAGCACTAGACCAAAATCAGTGACACTGTCACCAAAGCCCTATGATTCCACTCGGATAACTGAAAGAATTTAAGAATGAAGTGTCTGGTTTATTGACTAAAATGTTTTCCTCAAGTCCTATCACCTGTAGGTTGATAATATGGATATTACCATCTTGAAAAAAATTTTAGCAAAGAACTCTGAGCATTGCTCCAACAGAATGCAGATTCATTAAACCGGTAAATAATTAGAGGCTATAAAGCACATACCCAATCATGGTATAAACAGCTAAACTTGGGAGAAGGAAAATTATGCAGCTTTTACTTATTAGAATTCCGTAAGCATAGCAAAGCCATTTATTCAGGTAAACTGAAAACGGGTGAAATAATTAACTTCAGACTTTAAAAAAAAGCATGTCTCCCCAAGATTTCTTTGCTGATGCAACGCAGCCACTTAGTGGAAGTCTGTATTCTGCATAAAATATGGCTACCAGCTCTCATATCACTACAAATGGACGTGAGGCATTTAAAATTTTGGTATATTTGTAGGTGAAGTCATGCTAACCAATATGCTTTTGGCTTTGCATTCTGTATAAAGAGGGATAAAATTTGTTCAGCAGCACATTGTTAACACACAACTTTTTGGTCCCTTCCTCTCATGCTCTTAGAATCTTCTAACCTCCACATCAGGACACAGTGTTCTTGCTGCCAGCGAGCTACAGCTGCTCTGTTTACACCTGTAAAGTTCCCAGGTGGCACGTTAGTGTTTATTTCAGAGCATCATGACTCTCTCGGTGTGACAGAGTAAAGAGGAGAGAATTCCTCAGATCTCTGTCAGCAGGAGAGACGTGTTGGACATTCTACAGAAGCTTTGTCAGATTCTGAAGTAGCACAGATCACTGGAAGGTATTTGTGGATGGTGGTTGGATACCCTCTGCCCCAGCCACAGAACCACCCCTTCACATGTCTGAAAAGGCAAGTCCCACCAGCACACAAGAGGAGAGAAACTGGTGAGGGATCAGAAACTCTGCTGCTGTATAAAATTGTTAGCTATTAGCATAGGGAGAACATAGCGACCTTCTGTCAGGACACACGTGGGCAGATACAAGGACTCCCTGAAACAACACCTCAGCCTTGACCATATTGATCTTCATCATTGGTCTACTCTGGCCTCCAATCGGGAGGCCTGGAGACACACCATCTATAACGCTGCTGATGCCTTTGAGAACGCACGCAGGATCACCCCTGAGGAGAAAAGACAACACAGAAAGAATCGTGTCTTGCTAAGGCTGTCCAAGGAGTCCTTTTGCTGTGCCTTTTGCAACCGGACTTGTCTATCTCGCATTGGCCTTTTTAGCCACCAGCACACTTGTAGCAAATGTGGGTAGAGCCCTTCCCAAATCTTCGTTCGCGAAGCCCAGCCATGATTTCTCCCATTCCCACATGCATGACTGACCACTCTCTAAAACTAGCTTCTAAGAGTTAACGTAGAAAATTTCCATCTTAGAAGTAATGGATAAGGACATTGTTAGTGAAAATAGAAGATCAGAATGGAAACCTCTTCCGTGACATTCTCTTGGGCAGTTACTAGTCATCTAGCAATAAAAGACATACCAGAAAGATAAATTTCTTATAAATGCTTGAGAAGACTATTATTCAAGAGCTGAGTTCTTCACATTCTGGGAACAGATGAAATGTGACTGAGCATAGTAATAAATTTTTTGAAAAGAATACAGGTGCCTTTGCTGTTGCTCAGGAAAAAAAAACGGCTCCAGCATAAAAAAATCCTTCTTTTTCCTTTTTCCTGGAGTTCTCAAGAGAGGAAGCATTTGTTTTCCACTGTTAAGCAATCCTGTAGCATGACAGAGTTCCAAGGAACTCTTAAAACTTTGGCAGAAAATCCTGGACCACGTAAGCACGTCCAAATGAACAGATGGCAGAGCAAAACCATCTCCCCATGGGCAAACAGATCCGCACACGGGGATGAAAATTAGAGCTCCAATGAAACTGCAAAGGGAGAAAATTTTAAAATGTCCATAGTTTTTCTGCCTGTTACATTCTGGGTTTTTCATTATATATATATGAAATACCAATCTTAAAAAAGTATGTAATACATATAAAGCATACTAAAATTGTAGTAAACCTAATAAACCCGATATATGTAAGGAAAGTAAGTTGTAAAGACATAGGTGACTTCCCCAAATCTAGGAAAGAAATCTCTGTCGGGGCTAGAAGCAGGTCTGCATGATTACTGGCACAAGTTACATGTTTTAATCACTTTATCGTTTCTGTTTCTTGAAAAAAATACGATCTGATTAAAATTATTTCATTTACTATCAAAAAAAACAGTACTAACTTCTGGTCTTCTAAGGAAATTAGGGTCACATTTCATTAACAGGCATAATCTGCAAAACTGTTATGCTCAATGAGTAACTCCTGTCCAAACCACAGAAGTCAGATATTATACGCAAGGCTGCTCAATGCACCGTTGCTGTGCTGCAAATGTATAGCTTTTTAAAACTGGCTTTTTTTAAAACATAAGTCTTACTCTTTTAGTTTAAAGCACTGGATGTAACCGCAGACTAAAACGAGACAAGCGATACACGGCAAAGCAAAAGGTTCACCAATAGATTCTGTATCAATACTTGAAAAGAACCCCCGTCCGGCCCGCAATGCCCGGAGCTCTGCGGGGCTGGGCATGGCCGGGAGCGCAGCCCGGGGCGGGCGGGGCTGTCCCGCAGCACGTCCGGCGGGAAGGGCATTTCGGGGAGTTACACCAGTTCTGGCCAGAGCATTGCAAAAGGAGCGCCCGAGTTAAACAGCATCGAGGAAGGAGAAGTGCACCTGCCCGTGGGCTTGGAACGGAGCTGCCCACCCGGGAGGGGCCCCGGGACCCCCTCCCGACCAAGGGACCCTGCGGAGCTCCGGGGGAGCACGGAGAGCTCGCCTTTCCTTCCCAGCCCCTGCGCGGAGGAAAACACAGACCACACAAAGGGCGCGCCAGACGCAGATAACGAGAAGGAGCCGGTCCGGCCGCCAGACGTACCTTGCCCTGTCCGGCTCCCGCGCCAGGCCCCGCTCCAGCCCGGGGCGATCCCGGCCCCGCACACGGCCCCGCTCCAGCCCGGGGCGATCCCGGCCCCGCACACGGCGCTGCCCCGGCGCCGGCACGGCCCGAACCGCCCCCGCGAGGCGCGTCCGGGGCAGGGCCTGACCAGGGGCGGGGCCCGACCGGGGACGGGCATGATCGGGGCGGGGCCGGAAAGGGAGGGACCGGCAAGGGAGGGGGCGGGGACTGATCGGGGCGGGGACTGATCGGGGCGGGGCCATCGATGGCAGGCGCACGCAGAGATCGCCGAGCTGTCGAGCAGGGGCAGGTGTGGGGGAGCGGCCGGGGGAGGTGGTTCCTCGGCGGGTCTCGGCGGGTCCGGGCGGGGCCGAGGGTGGGGGGCGGCGGGCGGTCTCTGGGGCCGGCGGTCTCTCTCTGGGGCCGGCGGTCTCTCTCTGGGGCCGGCGGTCTCTCGGGCCGTTGCCTCCGTGGGCTGTGGCGGACCCGGGGCCGAGCGGGCGGCGAAACGGCGGGGCCGGCGCTCGGCCAGAGGCGGTCGGTGCAGTGGTCAGGGAATTTCCTGAGCTGCCTTTCGTTGGTTCTGGGGTTCTTCGGGACGTGAGGGGAGGATTTGCTGTTCGAAGTCACCTGATCGACTTTGCTCTAACCAGGCTGTATGGGGAGCAGGAGCGGCCGACACAGAACCACATCCCACACGGAACCGCACCCCACACACGATACATCCCACACACGATACATCCCACACACGATACATCCCACACGGAACCGCACCCCACACACGATACATCCCACACAGGACCACATCCCACACGGAACCGCGCACGGTGTTGAGTTTGTCACACATTTATTTTCAGCTTTGGGGGTATGAGAGTTTATAAGCTACCTCCTCATCACTGAGGAGGTAGCGGTGAGTGGAACCTTGGGAGCTCTGTAACCACATTTGTAACAAGTCAAACTGGCCCAATCCAGTTTGTTCGGTAGCAAACTGTGCAGCTTCGATGAAAACAGCACCATATTTAGAAGATCAAAGTTCAGAGCCTCAACGACCACCAGGTGCCCAAAGACCCAACTAGAAGACCCTCTGAGACTACACAGACTCAATATTGTATCATCTTGAGCCAAGCGTGCACCTCAGGCAGGAGTCACTGCCCGGTGTGTCCAGCGCTGCAATAAAGCAGTGCCTGCTGCTTAGTGTTACCATGGTGTTAAGGAGCTTGATTCCTGTTTTTTGGTGACAGTAGCACAATGCCTACCTTGTTCTATTTTGTAGCTAGAAGATTAAGTTGGACTTAATCTTTTGCAGCCTTCCGGAACCTCAGAGCTGGTCACCATCTGAGGACAGTCTGGGGATCTGCTCTTTTGCCCTCATTCAATGTAAGAGAGTTTAATTGAAATCTTATATATGCTTGGACTGTGTATTCTTAATTTGTATGAACATGTGCATTAATTCCATCTTACACCTCCTGCAGCACGTGAAGCCTGGTGGGACACTGCGATGGCGGCTCAGATGACTGATGCTCATCGGCGGTTCTTGCAGGTTCTGATGTCTAAGGGGATAACAGAAGGATCAGAGGCCAGGAAATTACACCACCACTGCTGTGAAACTGATAAAGGTGTGTTTGTCTTGGAGATGGAAGAAGTGGTTTTTTTTCTCCTGGTGCAGCTTACAAATAATTGGATTTCTGAAAGACACACACCACCTAAAAAAAGTTAAAAAATTGTAATGATGTGTGTTTCCTCTCTCTTTCCTGAAAGATAAAGTAACACAGTAGTGAGTAAACTAACTTCTAATCCAATCAGATTCATATATACCACTTTTTTTATCAGAATTGTTTTTTATAGATTATACATATGAGTTTTAAAAAATAATTTTTGATGCTGATAGTACTTAACTATAGTGAATGCTTTTTAAGTAAATGCACTTCAGTTATTTCTATCCGGTGCTGTGGGAGAAGCGAATGTTGCAGAAATGTTTCAGTGAGGATGACATGAGGTTTCCTGGTGGATGGCTGTGCTTTGTCCCATCTCACCTGCACTGTATTGCCCGTTCCTAGTCCTGGAAGCTGTACTTCTGCCAGGCTTAGGAGTGTCCCTGTGTCTTGTACCGTGCTACCCACTCTGCAGGGACTCTTCTGGTTTACTGTGGATTTGTATCTACTTATCTATAGGCGTTAGGTCAGGATGAAGTAGTCTATTTTTAGGCCTCCTGAGCCAGAAACTGTAACTTGGCCACCTTCTTAGATGCTAAAATTGCGAAGTGCAGCTTTTGGTGTGGTCTGACTCCTGTTCATTTTTTATCGAGAGTTTATATCCCTTTTTTTCACAGAAGATCTACTGGAGCAGCCACTTATCTCACATTAAAATATTCGAGCTGTTGAACAAAAGAATATTCTGTTATCTTTCATCTTTTACCCACTTTCAGATCTGTTACTAACACTCCCTGATTGTGCTGTGTGCAGTGTTTCCTGTTGACAGGGGCCAGCCAGGTGGCAAAATTATATTTAAATATTGTACTTTATTATTGTTCCTGCCCGATGCCGTTACACGCAAGTGATTCCTGTGACTGAGAACAGGGATAATTTAGTGACAACTGGTTGTATTTTTGAGACATGAATCTAAAGTTATGAGCTGTTTCTTAACCCTGGCCTTTAAACCTTAGCCTGATGAAGGCAACAGGAGTTCTGCCACTGACAAAATCTTGTTTTGGATGGACCTGAGAGTTGTGCTGGTGCTGTGCAGGCAAGAGCCGTCGCATGCACCTCCACAGAACAACTCCAAAGGCCATCTTGATTATGTCTGTGATAGAACTGCTGCTAGTATTTGTTTGTAGAACACGACACAAGATACTACCCATGTTTCTACAATACTAGAATTTTTTTTGATATGTAACTTGATCGCTTACCTGCCATTAATTTGTGAAACAGAACGCACAGAAACAAGGAATCACGTGCACGTAAAGGGAAGCAAGCCAGTGTGTTTTTCTATTCCGAATAGTAATTTTTCCTAGTCGTGTTTTATTTTAAATTCAGCTTAGTTCAAGTCACTGTAATTACTGGATTAGTGTTGTGGGTTCCCTACAGCAAGGCAGAATGTCTGAACTCTCTCTCAACTGACTTCCAAGGAGCTGAGTGTCTCTGAAGGCCAGGAGACAGCAGCACAAGAAAATGATACATCTGCTGAATAGAACAGCCCTGTTTGAATTTGCCTCATGGAGTTTTAGTGCTTTTACCTGGGGAAAAAACGTTTCACAGAAAAAATCTGCCTGGTGTGTAGTTGTTTGACTTTTCTCTGTATGTGCTTTTTCTTATTTATTTTCAGTTTACTACGCACACGATAAACTGGATGATTTCATCAGCACTATTAACAGGCACCTGCAGCCTTTGTTTATGCAGGTCCGGAAAGGAATGTCAGAAGAGGATGGGAGAGCACATTATGCTGTAGTAGGTACCTGCTGTGTTTGTGTGGGGCCAGCTGTGTTTGTGTAGGTGCCGTGTTTGTGTGGGGCCAGCAGCAGCTGCAGGAACTGCTGGTAGGACAGGGAAGGGGGAGGATAAATTGCCACAGCCCTGGTTTGTGGGATAGGACATGGCAGCAAGGACCACAGCAGTGTTGGAGTTATTTAACATAAACCTTTCTTAAGTGCTGAAGTGAGATTCCTTTTCCACAGGAGACTTTATTTCTTGAGACAGATTTTTAAATTAGAAAACAGAGCCTTCCAACATTAGTTTTCTTTTTCTCCTACTCAAAAATCAACCTAGCACAAAGGGGTTGCTGAGGAGTGGCCTGTAAGAAGTTTCTCCAGATCAGCAATTGTTTTTCAGAGTGGAAAAAAAGGTGACTGATAACGTAGTTCGTGCTGCTGTCCAGCACTGTGCCTGGTTTGACATGTCAGCTCTGCTGCAGCCTCTGTGTTACTTCGGGGGGTTTGGGTTGATGAAGGGCTTGGCCTGGGCAGAGGCAGCTCTGGAGAACATGTGGCTGGAAGATCAAGGGTTGTAAATAAAGGACTGGAGTACCATAGAGTGCACTTCAAGGATCAGTCTCTTTCGTGCCCCTTAAAGAAATGACATTTCTGTTAACTGTAAGTTGATGTATTCTTTACCTCAGAGGACCTTTTACAGTTTCTGGTGTAAAACTACAATGACACTTTGATTTCAGTTTATTTCTTTTTTTAGGTGAATTTGGCAGAAACTGAAATAACTAAAATGGCATCTGACTATACGGAAATTGAATTAGAGTTGTTCAGAAAAACAGTAAGTATGTCAGTTATCATTTAGTAAATCACATTATTTGGGAAGGTATCACCTTAAGATGAATGGAAATAAATGGAGATGCAGTTCAGGAACTAGTTGCCATTTTACCTAAGTTTATCCCAGATTGAATGGGATTGGCAGGGATGGGAGTACATGCAAGTAATGATTCCCTGCTGGAAGTCAGTTATGGGTAAGGCAAAATCAGCACCAGGGAAGTGCTCCTTGAGGTTAGGGACTCAACACACACATGCTAAAGTTACACTGACACCTTTCTTCAAGATTTTCAGTTGTGATTGCTGAATTTTTCACTGGCTTCAGTAGTTTAGTAATATACAGTAGATTTTAATGCTAATAACATTTTTTTTTCTGATTTGAATATAGACATTTGTTACTGCTTAGCCAATTAATTCTGTATTAATAAACTAGTCAGAATGCTGCTTTTCAAACAAGAAAACACACACTTGAGATTTTTTAAAGTTCCAAATAGAACTATTGGGCCAAGATTCAAGGACATTTGATATTTAATTTCTTATCAACAACCATTAATGTGAGTTGTGATCATAGCTGTGTATCTCAGGTGTTTTACTGAATTGTTCTCACAGTGTCTTGGACTTTGAGGACTTAATTTCTCCAGACACTAGACTTTTTTTTTTGCACTCATTACATATTCTGTATGAACTGGAAAGAGAGGTGTATTGACTGTTCTGTGACAGCTGCAGAAGTCTAATCTCCATGGATAGGACCCAGAGGTTTCCCTGCCCTCCTCTACACAGCCAGGTCAGCACTGCAGAGGGTGTGTTGTCGTGGCCCATGTCACTGCTGACATGGACTCTGTGGGCTGCTCTGTGCTAACAAGCAGCAGGAATGTTTCCAGTAAGGTTCTGTGAAGATTGGTGATACTGTACAGCCTTCAGGTGCCAGGTAGGCTCAGAAGTCCTGGTGACTCCAGAGTGGAAAACTTAGTTGAGCAGATAAAAAGAAAACAGATCTGTCACTGCTGAGTGTGCTGAGGGGTCTCTGAATGCAGCTTCATTTAGGCAGCACGGACACTTCTATTTGTGGAAATGTTTTCTTGGCAAACATCAAAACTGTCAAGGGGGACAAAATGTTTCAGCTTTTTGCCTTTGTTTTACAGTTCTGGTTCAAGCCATATTCTGTAGTATCTCTCACATGTATGGATGCTAAAAACCCTGTACATCAGTACATTACTGTAAGGTATGTCTGCAGGGCTTTTTATACTTAGTAATGTTTCTTTTTGTAGATGGACCTAATCATTTTATCAGAAAATGGCTTTGCCTCATCTACAGATATTTTAAACTTGGCTGACAAACTTAAGACAAAGAAAATGAAGAAAAAGGAAGCAGAACAAGTGCTGAAAGTTTTTGTGGAGGATAAGTGGCTCTCTGAGGTAACTGCTTTCAAGTGTTCGTATTTCAGTAGGTCCAGCTACCATGTTCTTATGGATATGATGGGTGAAACTGGAGCTATTCTTTGATGAATGATGGCAAAAATGGTTTTAGGGGGCCTGTGCTTATTGCTGCTCTGGTGATTTTTGCAGAAAAGGAAGTAGACTTACAAGGAAAAGGTCCTTGGGTAGGTCTATACAGGACTAAATGGTTTCAGTTTCTTGTACCTGAGCCAGGTGGGTTCGTGTGTCCTGCCCTGCCCAGTCACACACAGACATCCTTCAACCAGGAATGGGAGCTGGGGAAAGCTCTCCAGGGTGATCAGTGCTGTTAGTTACATTTGGAATTTCCTGAAAAGTGGCGAGGCCAAACATGTTGAAAACTCCTGTACCAGGAATGCATGGGCCACTGTGCATATGGTCACATCTCCTTTAATTCATGAGGGAACAGTTGAGATGGGCTCACTGTGTGAACACTGCAGTTGCTGGCCAAATGAGACCTCAGTCCTTCTCTGCTGGAGTCATTGCATCATAGATCTCCAACCTGCTGCCACACAGTCAGTTATATGTTAAAGTGATTTAGCAGAGATTTCCAAAGATACCTCAAGCAGTAAACACCTAGATTTTGTTGAAAGCTGGGTGAATTTTCTCTAATGTGCGAATGGAGGGTCCCAAAACTCAAAACTGCATGCCTCTGTTAAGGAGAGCATGCTTGCTCATCTGTACTTCCCAAGGACTAGTTAAAGATGTGGAACCTTTATTCTGCTCCGCAAAACAAAGGAGTTCTGCTACTTCAAAAGTGTTTTAGCTTTGCATTGTACCAGTACTAGCATGTTAGTTTTATGATGGCAGAAAAAAGTGGCTGTCAAATGCTTGCTAGCAGGGGGTTAGCAAAGTCAAAAAAGGTCAAAGGAGTTAAAAGAAATTCCTCATCCTGATATGTTTCCTTAGAAAAATGGAGAATATACTCTGCATACTCGTTGCATAATTGAAATGGAACAGTACATTCTCAGCAACTACCAGGACATGGCAAGGAAATGTAACATCTGTCACAGCCTCGCAGTCCAGGTAACGTCTGTTTATCACATGGTCATAGCTGAGGTTTGTGATACTTCCCTTTGAGTATTAGGTGTGCATTAAAAAATCCTGGTCTTGTAATCTGGTCATGATGCTTATGTATAATTTAAAAAAAAAAGCATTATTTTTCTTCGTAGGCATTTTATCTTCTGTCTTTAGCAAAAAATTGTCTTGGAGCAGTGTCTCCAAGTATAAACTTGGGGAAAGTGCACTCACCCAATGACGAACGTGGTTGCGCTGTCTGGCTTTCCAAACCAGCAGGCTAGAGATGAGCCTCTGTTGTTGAAACAGGTTTAGCAGCGAGGTGTTAGCAGTCTCCTCTTTGGGCCTTATCAACAGCAGTCTTCACGTGACACATGTTCATTCTTGGGGTTCCTGGGGTTTGGCTCAGTAATTACTTGTGTTTGGACCTCAGAAGGAACATGTGGCTATATAGAGCATGCTAGAACACTGGGTTGTGATAACTGGGATGCTACCAGTTTAGTCTTGTATAAGTGTTTACAGCCTGGATTTCTATTCCAAAGCTGCTGCATTCTCTTGCTCTGTGAGCCTGCATCTTCTGATCTGCCCAACTAACACGATTCCATGTTACTTTTTCCCAATTGGTCTCCCTTATCGCACTGAAATTGTTGTCTTTCAAGCTATATTTTGTCCATATATGGAAATACTATTTCCTAGTTTCCAGAACACCTCCTTTTATTATTTATCAGCTTTGACTGTTGAGTATCTACCACCCATACTGTGGGAACCATCTTTGGAATACTGCATTGCACATCTTTGGAATACTGCATTGCACATCTGCTGCCCTTTGTAACAACTTCCTCTTAAATTGAAGGACAGATTTTTTTTAATCATCACTCCTGGATTTCAGAGCCAAGTATGTGAATCCTGTGGAACTGGAATGCATTTACCTTGTGTCAGAAAGTACTTCAAAGCTCAGACTGAACCCCGTTGTCCGAAGTGTAATGAATTCTGGTCTTGTGACATCCCAGGTACCAAGCAATCTATTTTTAAAAAAACAGTATAATAATACTAGAAAATGAGCTGTGACGTTTAGTGGCAGTACCTGTATTATTTACAACTGTAACTCTCAGTTTTTTCTGGCTTCAGCTGTACGTTTGAGACATTAAACCGCACACGGGCAACACCAAGCCCTCACAGTGCCTGGACTGTGCCACAGGGGCACAGCAGACCCTGCATGTTGTTTATATCTACCTTAAGGTGGGGAGGTGGCAGGGAATAGGGGACACACACACAACCCATGGCACTAAAACTTCTGGAAATACTGAGCTTTTAAGAATCTCTTTGGAACGCCCCATTTCTCTGGGTGAATTGGACATTGTGAATGGCAACACAGGAATATACAAAGCATTTTAAAAATCAGGAGGCTATACAATATTATCCTTTTTTTGTGTGTGTCATCCATTAACCTTCATTTTCTTTACAGGTATGAGTCGGATGACCTCCCAGTCACCATAGAGCTCCGTTCTCAGCCCTAGATGATGCCAGTGGAACTTGCTGTCAGTGACAGCTGTTTTCACTCATTCTGGCAGAACAGCTAGACTGTGTTTTATTCATTAGTAACAGTGGCCAGTGTACTTATTTTCTGAAGTTCTAAGAATCTTATAATAAAACTATTGTTGACCTTCCTGTTCTCCTTCACAGTAATGCCTGCACAGCTTTCTTGGAGGCTGTTTTGTGTTTGTAGTTCTCCATATTCTTGGGTTGGGACTTTCAGTGCATGTTTTGGGGATGAAAGATGCAAGTGTTTTAGTCAGTCCTGCAAGCTGATCTATGCAGGTGGACTCTTCAAAGAAGCCTTTCTCAGCAGGTGTTCCTTATTTGTACAGTTTGAGCTACGCAATGGAACTGACACCTGCTGTAGCACCTCAGGCAGGTGAGAAATCCATGCAGCACGTGTAAGGTCTCTGACCTAGGGCTGGAGTTGGAACACTTCCAGCTGGCACTGTGGCTTGAGTTTTGTCCCTTCTTTAGATGCAGAACAGTTTGTCTTGACATAAGGCCGGGTCATGAGCAGCTGTGTTCAGTAAGGGAGGGAATATTGCCACAGTCAGAACAATTGGGAAAGAGTACGACAGGACCCTTGCAGACAGAGGCAGAGCCCTGGCAGTGCCCAGACACAGGCTGTTTCTGAGGGACACAGGCACACAGGACAGTGACCTAACATACGCTCTTCACAAGGAGTTATTAGAAACATCTACAAAAATGAAGTGGCTGCAGCATCACCTTTCCATTTACCCGTCCTGGTTCTTTCTCCATGCTTTAGCAAGAGGTTGTTGGTTTTTGGTTTTGCTCCACCTCTAACCTCTCATGAAAAGATGCTGCTAGATGCTACTTTGCTGATCTCTAATTCCCATTACAATGCTGCAGACGATGCCTCAGAGTTATGACCACCAGAAACTGACAGAGAAGCTGAGCTCAAGTGATCGCACATAGTGCCAATATTTAACTGGAATAAACAGAATCTGTCCAGGCATCAGAATGCAGGACTGAAATGCAGCCTTTGTGAAATTGGGAAACTTGACCAAGTCGGGATCTTCCACATCAACCTATAAAAAAACCCAAATGATCATTAGCAGAATGTCTTTACTCAAAATGATTTGATATGGTAACACTACTGATATTAAAATTTCAGGCAACTATTTACCTGACTAGTGTTGTGAAGAATTTGGCTTTCATGTGGGTACAGGTTTTCTGAATCTTGTGGTGAATACAGACGGATATACTTTCTTCCTAATACCTGTATATAGAAAATAAATGTTTTCCATTTGTCATTAAGTAGCACATTACTGGAAGCTGTGGGCCACACCTGGAATTTAACAGTAAATATACCTAATTACAAGGAACATCATCTTTGTTAGTAATAGATACTGCTATAATAAAAAGTAAAATCAAGGTATTGAAATATAAGTACCTGTTCCTTGGAGCAGATAAGAATTTGAATACCTTTAGGAAGGAAATGCCTTTAACCAAATTACTTTCAATTCAAAGTTTAAGGCACCCCATTTATACATTGTTATTTGGGCTCTATGTAGCTAGAAATAAGTAGAACTGAGAATAAAGAGGTTGAATCTTCATTGCAGTTCATACCATCAGGCAGTGGTACCCGCACAGTGACTGCCAAGCTTCCATATGCTCCTAAAACTCTTATTCCTGTGTCATCATTAAACCAGTTCTTTCACTAGAGTGCTGAAATGAGAATTTGTAAGCTGACTGGCTTGGCTGCCCTGAACACCACACAAACTGCAAGTGCCCAGACATGGCAGCATGAATGAGTCAAAGCTGACTCCTGCAGTGATACCAGTGGAACAGAAGGCTTAGGGTGAAGATTCATGCTGCTTGTGCCAGCATTCCAGATCTCCTCAAAGGCTAGGCATGATCATGCTTGTTTGGAACTGTCCTGTTAAGAGAGAAGTCAGTACTCTAATCACGGTACCCTGGACTGGTATTATGCTACTCAACCATTCCCAAGCAAGCTGCTTTTCCTTTGTCTTAACATCCCTTCCCACATAACAGAATAGGATTTCCTGAAATCTTACCAACACTCAAGCTGTCATGCTGAATATTCAGAGTTTGTTACTTCAGGGACAGCACATAAACATATTCAACAGGCTGGACAAGTACCAACGTACTCCTGCCCTGTCCTACTCTTCACTATCACTGGTTAAACTACTAGAGTATTGATCTGAAAACTTTGGCTGTACATGTGTTTTTAGGATGCCTTCCATACCCCAAGGGGATTATGGATATTAATTAACTCTCTAAAGACTCAAACGTTACATGGCATTTTTGGTGATGTATGGAAGTGACAAAAATGCTGGTTATTGCTCTAACAGCACATTTTCTGAATACTTGAACTTTTCTGGGGACTGCCACCAGCTGTTAATAGCTCCTTTCTTCACTTGCCTCACTGGGTTAAGGCCTTGTATATTATAAGGCTGCAGGCACCCGTTAATGGGCAATAGCCTGCATCTCCAGATACTGGTTTCCTCATTACTGGAAACACTTTGATCTCGGCAGCAGCCACCACTCAGCCAGCAGGGATCACTGCACTTTGTTAGTTGTGCTTGTGCCTTCCTCTACTCCACAGCCACAATTTGAATGGCATCGCGAGGCAGCGCAGTTTTAATTGAAAGCTGAAAACTGCCAGATCACCTGCTGTTCAAATTACAAAGACTTTCACAGCACTGGCAGATACTCTCCCATTCTTCAGGCGGAAGAAAACAAGTTCTGAGGTTTGCAAGGAAGTACCTTTTCTCAGTCTAATTGACTTCCATCAAGAAAAATTCCCCTCAAACTTTACATAGAGTGTATAGTACAGCACTTTGCTTTCAGAATGCAACTGTGTGTGCGTGCCAGGCAGGTAGCAGGGAAGAGAAATACAATCCACATAGAGTTGCACAGCAGTTGTAAACACCCACTTTAGGAAGGCCTGAATTAAGCCTCAGTTCCAAGTGAAAACACGGGTTAGCAAGATGCAGCTGTTTAGGACAGAGAAACTAAGGCTCAGCCCATAAATAAGCACAAGTAGAAAGTGTTCAATGTCACAATCCTGCTGTAAGCCATTTTTTGTTAGAGTCTGATGGGACAGCAATCTCCTTCCAGTAAGCAAAACATCTCTCAGCATTTGAGGATTTACAGTTGTCAACTCCTTGGACCCAGAATACTTTTCTGGGCTTGTTTAGTACCACAGGGCCCCAGTATTTTATTGGGTTATTCTGCAGTAAAAGTCATCATCAAAAAGACTACCAAGAGAAACTCAGCAGAAATGAGGTCACAGTGCAAATATTAATTCATTTATCTCTGCATGCACGAATAGATATTTTACTGGGTAACCTGATGTGGATTAAAGTATGCACCTAAGTCCCCCTCAAAATCTTGCTTTCCAGATGTGCTGGTTTTGGCTGTTTTTTTCTTCACAGTGGCTGATGTGGGGCTGTATTTTGGATCTGTGCTGAACACAGGGTTGATAATATAGAGATATTTTTGTTTTGCTGAGCAGGGCTTACACAGAGCCAAAGCCTTTCCTGTCCCTTGTGTAGCCACATTGGGGAGGGGGTTGGGAGTGCGTGGAAGGTTGGGAGGAGACAAAACTGGGACTGCGACTGACCCAAGGGATAATTGCAGACTATATGACATCGTGCTCAGTACGTAAAGCTGGGGGGAAGAAGGAGGAAGGAGGGGGAAATGTTTGGAGTGATGACATTTGTCTTTCACAGTCACCGTTACACGTGATGGGGCCCTGCTCTCCTGGAGGTGGCTGAACACCTGCTGCCCATAAGAAGCACTAAATTAATTATTTGTTTTGCTTTGCTTGTGTGCATGGCTTTTGTTTCACCTATGAAAGTGTCTTTATGTCAACCCACAAGTCTTCTAGTTTTACTTTCCTGATTCTCTCCCCGATCCTGCTGGCTGATGGATGAGTGAGTGGCTGTGTGGGGTTTGGGGGCTGGCTGAGGTTAAACCATGACATCAGAAAAAGAAGCTCCTTGACACACTGTGAGAGGATCCAGGTTCTTCCCAACTCTGTTACAAATTCCCTGTTTGACTTTGGAAAAGCTGCTTCTTGTGATTTATATTTATCATCTATAAAACAAGGGTAAGTAATGGTCTGTCTCAGTGAGGAACACTTGTGGCCTACAAGATTACACTGAATATTAAGTTGCAGTAATGACAAATGCAATATAATAGCAAAACAGTATCTGCATGTTCTCTATCCTTCAATTATTCCTCAAGTTGTCTGCTCCCCTTGTCTCTAACACTTACATACCATAAGCATTTTTTCTAAGTGTTGCATTAATGGCATGTGTAGAGTAACTAGAGTACATACCTGGGCTAAAAAATTTTGCTGGGGATCCTGATGAAGAGGAGAGATTGTGCCTCCTGGACCAAACCAAGCATTAATGGTGATGTCATCTTCTTCCCCTTCCCCCAGGCAGCAGTAGTCAGGGATACTGATATCTTCTTTCAGTTCTGGGATCTATTTCCATAAAGAAATAAACATTAAAAAGGATACATGCTGACTTGCCAAATATACATAATTAATAGAACAGATAGACAAGGCTTGACACAAGGAAAACAAATGACCTGCTTGTCCAGCAAGGGCAGGAGAGAAGTAGCTGACCTGCTAGGAATCTGCAGGAAATGTCCTCATACTTTCTGTTCTAGTGAGCAGATTCTGTTGGCAGGAGAGGTGGGAGAAAGAAAGGGGTTTCTCATTCTTTGGAGACTCTTTGCTTTAGCAGAAACCAGAGACACCCACAAGAGTAGGCAGGTTTGTAGTTCATGGAAAAGAAGCAGCTGATCTCTTATACACTATGCTTGTTTCTCCATGAGATTCCTATTTATGTCTCCCACCGACCTAAATTCTGGTAAACTGGAATGACATTTCAGATTATGGTGATCAACACTGAACACTGTTTTCTGTCCAAATCTCTTCCCTGACTTTATTATAGTCTTTGAGGAACTGCTGCTTTCTGGGTGATTATCCCTGTAAGTATATGCTACAGTGTACCAAAACAGCTCTAGGACTGCATATCTTCATCCCTAGAGAGTTTTATTTCCATATTGTTCAGCCAAATGGAACAAACCTCTCCCTCTGTTCTTTCAAATCATGGGAATAGAAACTTAATAATTACTGTGAGTTCTTCATATACCCTTTGATCTAGTACAGTTGACATCCTCAGAGACAACTTCTGCTACAAAGGGAACACTTGACCGTAGGAAGATAAAAACATTCACTCAATTTTACCTGATCAAAAAGCTGGTGCTGGGCAAGGTATCCTACACTGTTCTGAAATGACAGCAGAGAAATAAAAAACACATAGTGACATATAGTGTACGACTTCTCAGTCAGTTAATTTACTTACAGGTGAATAGAATTTACTCATAGGTAACATTCACTTCCAATATCCTATTCAGAGTACCAGAACTGTTTCAACAGTATAAGGGGTCTTCTGAAATAGCAACTTACAGCTCCACTGAAATTGTGAGAGTGTAGATGTGTCTCCCTAATCAATAAATCATCTAGCTCGAGTTACTGGAGGAAGCTGAGCTATAACCCCATGGAGTCTCAACACTCCTGTCAGTCCCGTGACAATGTGCTGCATCCTTATAGCCAAACACTACGGGCACACAGAGCAGTTCTCCTTCACTCTTTGGAACTACCTCTGTACTCTGTTCTGGGCTGCACCACAGACCAGTTTGCTAGGGCACACAGTACTACCTGCCAGAAGGTCAGGAAACAGAAACAGGAGTTTTGGATTCTCAGCTGTGAAAGCAAAAGGACATTTCAATTGCTAATTGACTTTTTATTTTTCTGCCTTGTGGCATGTGAATTCGGATCTTGATCCTGCTGGCTGAGGATCCCTTATACTTAGACTCCACCAGTCAGGCTTTTGCTGTAGAATGTATGTATTTATTTGTCAAATTTCAGCTGCTGTACATGTGATGATATGTAAAAATCAATCCTAGGTATTGCTTCAATAACTATTTCTAGCTTCAGATCTTGAAAATAGGTCAAGCCTTTTAATTCAGAGCTGTGCTTACAGCACACCCTCTCCCTTGACCATCACCTCTGAGTATGTTTGTTGGAAGCAGAACTGTTGTCTGTACCAGTACCATGCTGCTGTGTTTGGAGATGAAATAAAATGAGTGTAACACACCTCATCCATGATATACTGGCTGATGAAGTCATTGACAGTCATGAGCTGCTGAGACCATTCCTCATCTGTGTACCGGGCGCCCAACTCCACGGGGACTGTGCGGCACCCTGCGACTTGACGAAAATAGTCCACGCTGAAATAAAGAAAGTTCAATTACCTTTTATACTACTTTTCTTACTAATTTTGAATGTAAGGCAATCAATCCAAATTAGTATTATAGGGTAATAAAATTCTACTACCACAAGTTTCTTCTCTCTAAACCTAACCAACCAGATACAAAAGGCAGCAGAAAACCATGTAAGCGGCAAGGAAATCAGCAGGCAGGTTTGTGTGTACATTATCCCACAACTGTCTATTTTATTTTGGTTTAAAATCTTGTTCACCTCAGTTAACCGTGGTTTCCTTAGGAGCTGAGGAGATTTAAGCTATTAAGTCTCTCTTGGTGAGGGATGGCCAATCTTCTGGCTGCCTGCTGCCATGTTTGCTAAATAAAATGTTGTATCTTTTTATCATTAATACTAGATCAACTCTCTGCCAGTGTCAAATTCCGTATACAGGCACCAATAATATCCATCCTGGTTACAGCCAGAGGGATTACTCTGATGGGTGGAATACATCTCTTCATGGACAATGGTATTAACTAAATGGAGAAGTTCATCTTTTTAAGTGTCTAAAGTTAACCAGTGGAGTACCTTCCCTCAGAAATGAATAACCCCCCTAAAAATAACAAGTGTGTTCACTTAATGTCAATTGTACCCTTGGCTGTTGAACAAAAGCAATTGCTCAAACTAAGCATGAGTGCTTTTTCCCCTTTTGTACGGAATCATGAGCTTCGCCTCACAAATACTCAAGGCACCACTGCTTACATTAGGCAGGCAGCACAATGCTATTACTCACTTCTGCATGGTGATGGCTGAAACTCAGCATGCAAACATGACACTGAACAAACATCAGTGCTTGCCTCTGTCAATGAAAAAGTCAATCATGCTGACACATGGCTCTGAAATTCACTTTCCATTGCACTAATTATCGGCACATTCCAAGGGGTAAAAATCACAGACCCACTGAGCCGTGAGCAGCTCACTGGCACTTTGCAACGTGCACTCCTTGTGAGTTCCCACCTGAGCAACACACTGCACCACCAATTCACCACCGGGCTCCCGGGACAGCCCCAGGCTGGGTGGAGGGGCACCTTCGCCCCGGCTCAGTCTGGCACTTGCTGTGTGATGCTCTGAACGCTCCAAAAGCGCTTCCCTTATCTGTGAAGCAACTTCCAGAGAAGGAGAAAGGCGCTGCCAGCAAAACTCACTGCCCACAGTGTCCCTTCTCTGCAAAGGTATCTGCTGCTCTACCGACCACCAAGATACCCAACACAGGGAACGATCGTGCCTTTACTTGAACAGGGAAGAAACTTCTTTCTCACCTCCACTTCTTCATACACGGCCAGTGGTTCATGACGCCCTCCAGGACCACGGGCCGCTCGGGAATGAGGTAGTTGTCTCTGAAGTGCTCCAGCGAAGGGCAGTGAAGGTGAGGAATCGCCTCCTCCGGCTGCACCGCGGGGGGCGGCGGGGGCCGCTCCGGCCGGACCCTCTGGAATGGACGTTCCCCCTCAACACCCGGCAGAGACCCCCGGGGAGGCTGGAGGCCGGGAAGGAGAGGGGGTTCGCGGGCGGTACCTCTGCGCGGGGCCGGTCCCGCGGCGCGGTCCCGCGGGGCAGGCGCGGCTGCAGCGCCCGCACCAGGCGCGCCAGGACGTTGTCCAGGACGGCGGCGCCGAGCAGCAGCCCCAGGTCGCAGAGGCGCACGGCGGCCTGCGGGCGGCCCGCGGCCACCTCGGCCAGCGCCCCGAAGAGGCAGCCGTAGGCGTAGACCTGCCGCCAGCCCTTGCCGACCTCCCTCCACGGCACCGCGTTCAGCTTCTCCCAGGAATAGTCGCGCAGGACGTCGCTGAAGCGCGCCAGCGCCGCCGCTGCCGCCGCCCCGGGCGGGCCCGGCGGGCTGTAGAGCAGGGCGCGGGCGCGCCGCAGCAGCGGCAGGACGCAGCCTTCCACCTCCCCGCTCAGCGCCAAGGTCAGCCCCTCCTCGGCGCGGGGCAGCAGCGCCCGCACCTCGGCCCACAGCGCGGAGCCTCCATCCGCGCCCTCCGCGCCGCCGGCCGCCGCCATGGCCGCGCCTGCGCTGACGCCCGCGAGGCGGCGCTGCCGGGCCGGGCCGGGCGCGGGAACAGCGTTGCCCTCACGGGGCGGCGGGGCCGGGCTGGGCCGGGCTGGGCGGCGCGGCGGTCCGAGCTCCCCGCCCTGCTGGGCCGGCGTCGTGTTCTCTCTCGTACCGCCAAAGCTCGGCAGTGTCACTCGCGCCCTTGGCCAGCGAGCCCGCTGGAATTTAGTGACTGGGATCGACGTCGCCGTTCGCAGTAAAGGGGGGCGCACAGACTCGGGGAAGGTCCCGTTCTCTGGTGAGGAGGTGGCCGCCCGCGCTCTGGAAGCAGGGGGTGAGTGCTGGAGGACGGGGAGATGCGCTGTTCCCTGCTGGCCTTTTATGCTGGAAAGAAACGTCCCCGCTCGGGACCCCGCGTGTGCTCGAGGGGCCCGAGCGGAGCCCAGCGCGGCCCCGAGCCCGTGTCCTCTCGCTGGCTCAGCTGCTCGGTGTTAATGTGCTCTTAAAACGTGCTTTCTGCATGGAGTATGCACCTCAGTCTTCTAACGCACTGGGCACGGCATCATTCAGCCACAGCTTGCTTTGGTAATGTGCCCTGACATGTTCTCAGGACTTAATACTTGACTGCAAAACCAAAAAGTATTTTACTTAAAATTCAGCAACTGAGGAATGTCTTAACATGGTGAACCAAAGTCTAAATCATCATAACAACAAATGAGGAATTTGTAGCTCATGAAAAAGTGTCACTTGACCAGGCTTGAAATCTTCAGACCTGATGCAAAATCCTACATTTACAGAGAAAGTTAAAATCATCACTTTTTTTACTGAGACTCGCACTCTTCTTTGTCCATGCTTAGTCACTAGTGCTTTCAAAAAAAAAAAAAATTAAAAATGGTGTGAGTCCTCCTGCTGCTGCTGCTAGCAGCTCTCCCCAGCTGTTCCCTCGGAAGGATCACTTCTGCTCTCACACTTCAGACTTGTGCATTGCTTATCATGCTGGCCCATCTATTCCCTGTCTTCTGACTGCCTTTCTCTTGGCACCATAAATTCCTCCTGTGACAGTGTGATTTTAGCACCTTCATTCAGAATTTTCTCCTCCTTGACTACTAAATGTTAATATATGCTACTGCAGGAGAAAGTATGTAACTGGCAAGGAGAATTTGTTAGACCCTGTGTTCAGTATTTGTAACTTATGATGCTAGCAAGTATTCTAGTCTTGTGCTTATGGACTGTCCAGTTTTTATTGCAATTCATATTAACTTTTATTTGTATTTAAGTTGGTTGATACAATTCTCATCAAATAATAATTTTCCTAGTTTAGATGTTAGTTATATTTTCACAGCTTGTGCTTTGAAGATTAGGATTTTCTTTCTGGTATTTAAAATAACACCAAGTTCTGAACATGTAATCTCCAGTACAGTGGTGAGGCACTGAGGCCACGATGAGCTTTATCAGTTTTACTGTAAGTGAAGAACCAAATAGGAGTAGATTTTAGGTTTTGGGTATTCAGGGAGGCTTAGTGTTTCTCTTTGAGCATACACTGGAAGACAATTATTTCTAGTCAGTCAGATTTTGGTACAATGGTTTGAATGTTGACACAGCATCAATAGTCTTGAAGGGGCTGTATATCTACTGAGCTAATGAAGACTGGTCTTAAGGTGTGTATTGAGTCTTGTATTGTGTTTGGCCTTTAGGAGGAAAATCCTCTAAAAGCTCATAAAGTTGCATTGTAGCAACTTGGTTGAAATTATTGGGGAAAAACCCAACAGATTTGCAAATGCTGAATTGGGAAGTTTTACTCTCAGAGCAGTTAACCTCGCAGTAATATGTGCTAGTTTTGAAATACCTGTAAACTACTGCAGAGATTTTGTGTCAGCTGTCTGACCAACAAAGTGGACAATTTCAGTGCTAGACATTTCCATTTTAAGTCAACAAGAGAGAATTTAATTCCTGCTGCCAAGGAACAAAGATTATTGTCATCTCACTAACCTGCAGGAATTGACATAAAAGAGTTCTGTGGATTATGCCACCATCACTGAAGCTTGTGCTATGTTCATCAAAAGTAATTTTTTTTAAGATTGTGGAAGCCAAATTGCCTTACCTTGCAGAAAGATGTCCCTTTTAAAACATGGAAGAAAAGTTGGTACCAAGGTTTTCTCTGCTGCTTCCTGGGTTTTAGTCAGCAGAGCACTTTTCCTTCTCTCTTATATTCTGTTTATTTTTTAAATATGCTCCAGGCAGCTCACTTTCTCCTAGCACTGACATGCAGAAAGAAATTACCTATTAAAAAAACCCCAAACAAACAGGCACACAATTAAGGGAGATAATAAAGTCTGATAAACCATCTGTATTTCTCTCTTCTGTTTACAGGACCCACAGTTGATGTTACCTTGTTGATGTTACCTTGTCTGCCAGTGGTGGAAAAGTGATTAGTTTTACCAGATATTTAAAAAAAAATGCTCTGTGTCTTATCTTACCTTTGTCTTCATTGGAAAGAAGAGGTGTTTGGCCTGTTCAGAATGTAATTTCTTATTTGTAGCAATATTCTCCTTTATAGCACTCTTTCCTCATTTACTAATTGGAATGAATGAACAAAGTCCTTTGATTGGTTTTGGATTTTATTAAAATGACATCAAGACGCATGCTCAGTGATTCACCACTTGAGTCCAAAGAAGAACGTTTTTACTAGGTGGATCGGTTTTTAAAATGACAGCATCTGCTTGCTCTTACACATTTATTTATGATTCTTCCCCAGGCGAGTATAGCAGGAGTCTGGTGAGTAATAACCAGCTGCTGGAATTAGCAAATAGGGAAAGCAGTTATTTGATCTGTGAAGGAATGTGAGAGCTGAGGCCAGAAGTAATAAAAACTAAGCAGATGCCCCAAATATATAAACCCAAGTCAGGATGTGTAAATTGCTTGTGCTGCTTATGGGCAAAATTGTGTCAGATGGGTTGCCTTGTCTGGAGTTTTTATTGAAGATGAAACTGTCTCCAGTGCCACATCACGTCCAGCAATCCCGAGTACCCTGGGTCTGGTTCCAGCGTCTCTGCTTGCTCGTTGAGTGTCAGCAGTGCACAGGCACAGCAGCTCTCTGGGGGCTTCTTCAGTGGCCTCTCTGATAGATTGTCTCATGTCCCAGGTGTGCTGTGACCAGGTCCTCCCTCCCTGCTACCCTTATAAGGTCTGTACTTACACTGAGTCATTCCTTGGACACTCACTGCAGGAGCACAGCAGTAACACCGAAGGTATTCTTTCTCTTCAGGGCTTCAGGATGCTGCTCAGCTCTTCAGGAATGCCATGTCCCTTTTGGCAGCCTGGCACTTTGGAATTAACACGCTCCCTAAAGGGAGGATGCCAAGAAGATGGAGTCAGGCTCTTCTCAGTGGTGCCCAACAATAGGACAAGAGGCAGTGGGCACAAACTGATGCACAGGAAGTCCCACCTGAACATTAGGAAGAACTTCTTTCCTGTGCAGTGACCATGCACTGAACAGGCTGCACAGAGAGGGTGTGGAGCGTCCCTCACTAGAGATATTCCAGAACCGTTGGGACACAATCCCGTGCCACGTGCTCTAGGATGACCTTGCTTGAGCAGGGAGGTTGGACCAGAGGATCCACTTGTGGTCCCTTCCAACCTGAACCATTCTGTGATTCTGGAACAGGGGAGGTGGTCTGTTTCCTTGTTTCCTGGGCTTTCTGAATGCTTGGGTGTATGCCTTCACTGGTCATCGCAGCAGCAGAGAAGTGCCTGTCAGTGTTGGCAGTGGCCACGGGCAGGGATGGAGGGGGGATAGGCTGGTGCTGCTGCTGCCCTGCCACCTGTGCCTTAGCCTGTTTCTGCTTCCAGGAGTGGTTGGCTGAGCAATGGTTCCATGAGCAATATACTCATTTAATATCTCCCCTATGCCCCACCACCCCACCCTGCAAAAAAAAGCTAAAAAAGTGAAAATGGGAGCTAACATGCCCTCTGGCCCTTAAATGGGAATATAAATTGACTACTGCTATGAAAACGATGGCTGGCTCTGATTTTCCTTTACAGGGGATGAATGGTTGTCTCCCTTCTGCAAGAACAGAAGTGCAAACACATAAGACTTTAAAGACTTTGGATGTCTTTCCTGGCTGCTTTTTCTGCTCCTCTGAACAGGAGATGAATGAATCTGATTAATAATATGTACAGAATTAATTGTTATACATAATTTTCCTCACATAAGCAAGATCTTCCTGCTTGAGAGTGACACAGCCATGCATTTTGGTGGTATCTTGGAGCTGAGTGTAATTGTGCAGTGACAGTGTAATGACGGATATGTCTTTAACAACCTGTTCCCTGCATTGTGGTTTTATCACTGCCATCTGCTCGGCCAAAAGTGGCAGCTGCCAGGTCTCACAGATAACGCTGTCATGTACTGTAATGTAGAACAACATATTGTTGTAATTTCTCTGCTATTACTAGATGAAATAACTTTAAGTGAGATAAGGTGACATTTTGCATGGCACTTTGGAATTCTTCTCATTGCAGTGGGTATAGGACACACAGTGTTCTTTCTGGAGCAAGCTACATCAGCACATCCAGTTCTACTTTCAGAAATCACTGGAAAATGCCTGTTTTACAAACACATTATGTAACATCCATCTGTGACATATGTGTCAGTGCTGAGGTGCAACTGAAACAGTCAGTATTGCTTACACATGTAGCCTTAGTTACCTTTGTGGGATGGAAATTGTGTAAGACTATTTTAAAAATAGTTTTTTCCTTTTTCTTTTCTTTTATCAACTTGAATCTCCTTCATATTTGCATATTTGCAGATTTCCTTTATATTTGCAATCGTTCAGACAGCTCTTTCAACATTAAAGGAAACACAAAATCTTTACAACTCTCATGAATGAGTGTTTTGAGGTCACTCGAATCACTGGCAAAGGTATTGGCAAAAGCATGTTTAATATAAAAGTGAAAGCACAACAAAGTTTGGCAAGGTTAACTCTACTACTTTATTAAAGCACACAGAGAAAAAGCAAACTAAAATCTAAAATCAATCAGTCTAAAACCATCATCAACTCAAAAATTATCTATGTGGAGGCTGGAGCAGGGGAGGGGGTGAAGGGTAAGGGTAGGAAAGGATAAGGATAAAAAGGAATAAGGAAGACCCTCCTGGTGAGTCACAAGTTCCTTGCTATACTGAGCCTGGACTTGACAAACAGTTTAGGCCTAAAGTTTTAACAGCACTTAAGCTTAACAACACTTAATTGATAGCTTAAGTTAAACAATTTAACAAAAGATTCATATAGAATGTACTATAGAACAACAGTAACTCACAGGCCTAATTTACATACAAAT